TGGGCTGCCAGTAACGATGGTCAGTCAGATGTACTACGGTGTGCTGCCGAAGAGGGCTGCCCAGCCGTTGTCGAGCGGCTCTTGGCTGCTGGGGCAAAGATAGACTCAGAGTGGGCTGCCAGTTGTGGTGGTCAGTCGGCCGTACAGTGTTTCGCTAAGGAGGGTCATCCCAGACTTGTCGAGAGGTTGTTGGATGCTGGAGCAGAGATAGACGGATGGTGGGCTGCTGGTGAAGAGGGTCGAGCTGCTGTGACGGATGCAAGTGAGAAGGGCTATCCAAAGGTTGCGGAGAGAATCTTAGCTGCTAGAGCTGGATATATCCAGCCCGGTCCATAGAGCAGATTGTTCTACTTCTTCTAAATTGCTCTACTTTGTTCAAATTGTTCTACTTTACTTCTTCACATATCGTCATAGCATATCACTTAGGTACAAAGAGTGATTGCATAAGGCACGGTTTCACAGACGCCTCTTTATTACTCCTACCCGGAACCCAGAACCGCACTTTACTGATATCCAACGCTCTATCTCATTACATATCGCTAACTAATATGACAATCCAGATGTCCAATGCACTTTCAAGAAATTAAATCACACATGCTCGTATATAAGGTACGCGGAGTGGCCATGCCTAGTCACTCATGCGAGTATTCACCCGCTCCCCGACATACGGCTTCCTCCCCCAGACGACAAAAACAGGCATGTAAGCATGGATCTGCGGATTGGAAAGCTCCTCTCGGATTTTCACCAATTGGAGCTTCCAAGAAGGGAAAGAAGAGAGTCAGCAAAACAATACGACAGTCTGAAACAGGGGGGTAGATTATCCCAAAGGAGAGGGCCTGCGTCTCCCTTCCTTTGCGCTTATTTCGTCACACATTGTAGGGATACGAAATAAGGTAGTTGTATGCATGCAGTAACTCACCTCAATCTCAGCCGGACTCCGCCCAAAGACCCGATTCATGAGCTGGATCGAAAAGCCGTTCAGGCCCTGCGAAAAGTTCTCCCCCCACAGCCGCCCAATCTCCTTGAGGCGCTCGTCACGCGGCCACTCGTTGGTCGGGATCTTGAAGATGAGCTGCTGCACGTCGACGAAGCCGACGCGCTCAAAGACCTCCTTGAGCATCGAGCCTAGGACGGCCGGGCGCTGCATCTGCTCGGCGGCCAGGCGCATCTCGTGGAGCCACGTGCACATCGGGCCGGCCGGGTCCAGCGTGCCGTCGTCGCAGCCGAAGACGCCCTCGACCTCCTGCGACTCGAACCAGCCGCCCGGCTCCAGGGCGTCAAAGGCCTGCTGGGCAATCTCCGTCTCGAAGCAGCCCCAGCAGCCGGCCGTCAGGCGGGTGTGTATGTAGCCGAACTTTTCCGTAAAGTTCCATTCATCCGCCCTGGGGTCATTAAAGGGGACGGGTTAGCCGCAAAGCAACAAGTCCTCGTCTCCGGTTCTCGGGGCGTCCTGTCTTCCTTTGGACGAGGGGTCAACTTACGAGTCGTCGACGTAGAATTTCACGTTCGGAGGTACCATGTCGGGCTGGATCGGGGAAAGGTCCGTGCCGATGACCTCAGACGTCGGGAACATGTCCCCCATCTCAATGGCCCAGTCGCCGACGCCGGTGGCCACATCGAGGATGTACCGCGGAGGCCTCGATTGCGAAAGCGGAGCAAAGTAAAGCCTGTCTCCGAAGAGCCTCTTGATGATGGGCCCCTGAAACGCCAGACGCTCCTGCTCCGGGATATCGTTGGGGTAGGCGTATGCTGCGGACAGAGAAACAGAGAGGAAGCTTGCTATTAGCATTGGGGCCTTATCAAGAACGAATATTTTATGATACCTACATCCTGCTCGGTAGGCGTGATACGTGCGGCCAAACTCTCGGGGAAAGTCCCGCACGCTCTCGGATAAGGATATAGTGTCGTCTCTGTATGTGCAGAAAGAACAAGCGGGTTAGAGAGCTTCGACGACGCTGGCCAATTGTTTCTCACGCCAGAGTCCGCTTACTTGAATCCAAAGGATAACTGCACGATGCCAAGCAAAAGTAAGTTAGTAGGGTGTTCAAGTTGATGCAGTATGCACGAAAAGCAAGGAAAAGGCATGGGGAAATGGAGCTCGGCCGTAGCCAATGGCCAGCAGCCACGGATTCCGGGGACGCAGGAAAAGCACACATACATCGGGTTCGATAATATTGGAGCAGTCAAAGGTGAACTGGAAGTTCTTGAGATCCACAAGAGAGCTGCGGTTCGGGTTCTCACCCGGGGCTGTCCCTGAAGGCCCCATTTGGTCCGACTTGCGAAGGCTGTTGGTGCAAGGTAGTTGCTGGTGACGGGTGCTTAGATCGACAGAGGTGACGACGGGGTGGGGGGGCAAGATATCAAATGTGACGGTCACAAAGATGATGATACGGCGAGGCTCGTGATATCGACGATGGTGTTGATGACAATGCTTGATGGTGTTGTTGGTTGGTGGTAGGTTTCAAACCGTTGCGACAGTGCAACTGAAACGAAACCACCACAAGGGGTACTCCGTTTTAAACAGCTGCAAAAGACAAAAGGCCGCTAGACAGGGGGGGGGAGGCCCTCTCCCTTCTGATGATTTCAGCTGCCAGCTAGTGGAGTCAGCACGGACAAAAGCGAGCTTGTTCAAGTCCGAAGAAGCAGGAAGGGCGAGTAGGAAGAGAGCAGAGACAGGATGGAAAAGGAAAAGAAATGAAGTCAGTCCGGGGTTGTCGTCGTTCAGCCCGAGAGGCAGGAGAGGCAAGCCTTCTCTCTCTCTCTCTCTCTCTCTCTCTCTCGCCCTCTCTGTATGTACTCCGTACTTCTTTTCTCTCCGCTTTGGGATATCAGACACACACGTTCTAATTAATTTCACACCGCCAACAAACAAGTCTTGATGACGGACTTTTTTTTTTTTGGTAACCAATGAGAGGCAACTGTCTTACTTCTCCTTCCTTGGCCCCTTCAGATGGTGTCTGGCTCGACCAGAAATCCGGGAGACTGGGAACGATTAGCTAATGATGCCAGGGGTTGTGCCAAACGGGCTGGCTGCATGGCCGTCTTGTTAGTACGAGTAAACAATACCAGCCGCTTCCCCCCTCCCCAGCAGCCAAAGGAAATTTGGTCCAACTGGCTGCCTTGCTCCGTCACGCAGCGCAATTAAGAACAAATCACAATTACAAATCTGTAGCTGGATGTTCAATAGCGTCTCTTTGGTTCGCGGATCCTAGGGCTCTGCGTGTTTGTGCGCCGAAATTACGCTCTATCTTGCACCTCCGGGCTGCGCGGTCTAGCAGAGAATCCAAGTCAGGAGAGCGGACTTTTGGCCACGGACAAGGCGCATTCCTTCAGAGTTCCGCCAAATTAATAGACAGCTAGACAGCCTACTCGTCGACACGCGACAGTTTGGCATAGACCTTGACGCCGCCTCGCCTGGTCACGCCCATGGTCATGTCCCGGACGATGCGGACGTCGTCCAGCACAGTGTCGTGCAGCTCCATGTTGAAGCGACGGGCGAAATGCGCGAGCGTGAGGAACAGCTCCAGGTATGCGAGGCTAATGCCGTCAGTCAGCTGCATGCATTATGATGAGGAGTAAGGGCGGAGCTGTGCTGCCATATGGAGCACAGAATAGACTCGTAAAGATAAACGTAAAGAGAAAAACATGCGTGACATACTTGATACCGATGCAACCTCTGCTTCCCCGATTGAATGTAACCAGGTACTTCTTCAAGTTCTCTCCTCTTTCTGCGGCTTCGATCCATCTCTCGGGGCGGAACGTGTCCGGGTCGGGGAAGATGGAGGCATTGCCATGGATGAAATATGTGGAACTGCTGACAGGGGTCTGTTTTTTTCGGCGCGGGAAGAGAATGTGGGTTAGACGCGAGAAGCAAGAGAGGGGGAGAGAGCGCAATAAAAATCAGACTGTTCATCAAACTCACTCCTGGAGGGATCACGTATTCTTTATACTGCAGAGCTTCGTGCGGTGCAACTCGCGGGAGTCGAGCGGTGATACCATAGCCCAACCGCAATGACTCGTTGATAAAGGCATTCTGGCGGTAAGTGAATCAGCGTACTGGGTCCGAATTATGCATGTTGGTTGATTGTCCCGAGGGTGAAGACTGCAACGCACCAGATAAGGCAGTTGTTCCAGCTCAACCCATGTTGGCCTGGCATCCAGCGTGGGCATGGCCTGCTTCAACTCCGCCTGCAGCTTCTCCCGCACTCTGCTATCGTTGGCCAGATAGAAAGCCGCAATGGTTGACACCCGACCAGTCGTCTCCGTGCCAGCGGCAAGCAGGGCAAATGTCTCGTCCCGGAGTCGATAGTAGTCCCGTTCTTTTTCGGGGATGCTTGGATCGGCCAGGGTGGCCACCATCGTCTTCCGCTTGTCCACATGGGACTCCCTCAGTCCGTACTCCAAGAAGGACTCGAGGAACTCGAAGAGCTTTGCCTTGCCCGGCATGATCAAGGCCAATTGGCGTGGCGAAAGGGCGCTCATCGCGTAGACGAGCCACGGGACAAAGCGTGAGATGTGAGTAAACTCAATGGCATTCTCAGCAGCATTGCGAATGTCGCTGCGGAAGTTCTCGTCCTCGACAAAGTCCCAGTCCTTACCGCAGCAGTACGCCGTGATGATGTCGGATGTCAGCGCTGAGAAGGCATCGTCAAGCGAGACAATCGTCCCGTTGAGACTGTCCGCCTCCAGGCGCCTCATGAGCTTCTGCACCCGCTCGTTGACCGAATCAGACAGCTCGGCAACGGAGCGTCTGGAGAAGAAGTCCTTCAAGATTCCTCGTCGGAACCGGTGCTCCTCTTGGCTCACGGACGACACCATGGAGCCGGGCAAGGCATAGGTAGGGACATACTTGGGATCCTTGTTCCGCTTGCGAGAGCTGGAAGCGTAAATCTCGTCGTAAAAGTCTGGGTCGCTGATATGAACCTCTCGGGGATTGATCCGCACTATGGGGCCTGTTGCTATCCAAGCCTCGTTAGCATACGCGTCCCAGGTAAGTCGCCCAAACGACTGACCGTATTGTTTATGCATCTTCTCGATTTCGAACAGGAACATGCCCGGGCGAATGACATTGTAGTAAAATTCGTATAGATGCGTACATGCTGTCAGCTTTGGTCCAGGGATATGAGACAGCGGATGGAAATATAGGCGATATAAGGTCCTGACACCAAGATACAAGCCCAGGCCGGCCAAGGCGAGCCAGAGACGAGGCACTTCGTCCTCCATGATGAGAGACAATGGTGGTGATGTGATGACGGCGATGAGAAGTGCCGCCGGCGATGAGAAGGGCTAGGGCATCTGACCTGCAACAGGATCCAACACCACTAGTCGAGGTATCAATGACGGCAAACAAAGCTGGCAGTTGAGGCAAATAAATACACGTCAAGTTTGATACAGGTGGCTAGAGGTCAATAATATGCACCTAATAGAGTAGCTCCGAGCCAGAAGCCAACCAAATCCACCACAATGGCTGCATTGCTGCAGTTCAAAGTGATATATGCAGACACTGCACTAGGCGACGGTGACGGCGGTTCTGTAGGAAGCCGGAGTCAAGTCCAACACATGCCCCGAGGCCAATCATGCTCCTCCGCGTGGAAGAGATATCCAGTCGACAGGCCGTTGAACCCCACTACCATCAACCAACCGCATATATCACGTAAAACGAGGACGGAAATGACAAGCGAGCCGAGGGAACCATGAGATGATGCCATTGCCTGGCCAATGAAAGGATGAAGAGAGATCAAGGTGCACCCGTAACCCCGGGTCGGTGAGCTGACTATCATGGGCTTCGGACCCATCCAACGGGAACCCGTTCCCGCTCCGCCCTGGCAAGCGGGGATGGAGAAAAAGGATATATAGGTGCCCAAATTTGCTTTTTTTCCCCGATCAGAAAGGCATTTCAGGACATCACGGCACAGGAGCATAAAGAAAGGAGGGAAAACATCGCATGTTCCCTTACAGAAAGGGCGACAGTGACAACTCAACACTACGAGCAGGGTAGGAAACAATGCCGAAGCTGGAGGATAACGACCACGCCTCTTGGTCGGCGGATGACCAGTCATGGAGCAGTGACATTGACATTCACACGTCGGACATCAGCTTGTGCCAGGAGTGTAGGGTGAGCGTCTGCTGGAATGGCGCGCAGACGTGTGTCGGCTGCGTCTCCGGGCTCCAAAGACCTCTTCCCAGCAAGTTTCTGCGACAGCTGCGGGATGAGCTCGCCAGCCGGGACGATACCGTCATGCTGCGGTGGCTCGACGGCACTGGACGAGTTGTGCATCACGGAGCGGTGGAGCGTGCGCCAGCATGCCTTGACAAATCCCACAAGGCGGACATGTGTGATATGCTCGCTCTGTACGTCTTGAAGAACGGATGGGCCGCTTGGGCTCTGGATCTCGCCTCGAAGGAGCTGCGTGGAAAACCTGTGGAGAAGGGCCAAGTAAGCGGCGGGTATAAGCGCAACGGGCCGATCGAAGACGACGCTGGTCCAATTGCGCACTGGTGCTCGTGCGGCAATCGGAAGCTAGAGACGTCCGGACAGGCTCAATCCCTGTCCATCGAGGTCGCCATCGGGGCGCTGAGGAAACAGTCCAAGGAGCTCAAGGCGCCAGCCAAGCAACAACACCAGAAGCCAAGCACCTTGACGCGCCAGGCCGGCGTAACGAAGAAACCGGCCAAGGCGTCACAGAAACTGACGCCCGTCTCGACCCGACAGCTCAGATCATCGACAAAGCAGCTTGAAGCCGCCACAGCGCCGCCCGCAAGTTCCGATGCGGCTCCCAAATCCGAAGAGGTCGTCCGCGCGCGCGCGCCCACCAGAGAGCAAATCGAACTCGCTTATGAGCGTGGCATGTGGGCGGGTGCGACGCCTGAGATCTTCGCCGATGCACTGTGGTTGGCCGGGCCTGGTCGTCGTCAGATCGAGAAGAAGAGCGGCAAGGCCAGCCAAGAAATAGCAAGGGGCGCCCGCGGCTCGGTTGAGACTGTGCTGCTGCACTACTTCTTCATGAACAACCACATCAACACGCTGACCGACAGCCTGGAATTGACGGTCCTGGGCACCTATCTCGCCGCCCTGGACCACGGTAAGGTTCGAGACAGCGACTTCACAGCGTTTGCCGGGGACGTCGCGCGCCATGCAAGCCTGGCCCGTTGGACGGTTGCAACCATGGAGTTGGTGGTGCAGTGGCCAACCATCCTCGACTGGCACGCAGGATGTCTGTCGACGTTGGGGCTTGTCCGGGGCCTAACGCTGCGCGCGTGGGTGTACGCCTGTCACTGGGACGTCCTGATGCACTACGAGCTCGGCAGCAGCGCCGATTGGGAGGAGCCCGTGCCGTCGTGGCTGTATATTGCATCCGCGCTTGGGCACGACGCCGGCGACCTGTGCAGCGACACGCGATTGGGCTCCGCCGACAACGCCTACTTTGCCGTGGGGGCCGCCGCGGGATATGAGGGTGTGGCCGCCTGCATGGACATTGTGTGCGATGCCCTCGAGGCCGTGGTGCTGCGCGACACGCGCGGCGCGATCGACATCTGCTGCGTGGCCGGCAGTGCCTGCGCGACTTTCGAGCGCTCCGGCGGCGATCTCTGTGCCTGTTCCAGCTCCAAGTCCAAGTCCAACTCGAGTTCCGGCGCGACGTCGTCGGGCTCGTGCGAGGCCAACTCGGTGCTGGCGTCCATCTGTGGTGATCGGCGCATCAGTGCCGAAGACGCGGCCAGCCTCATCGACATCAGGGACGGCATCAGGGCGCGCAGCCGCGAGCTGCCTCGGTTCCGCGGCTCCAGAGACATGGCGCATCTCAGCCACGCAGACCGTGAGGTTGTCTATGGACACTGTACGGCAGCCATAGCGACGGGCGGCAGCGGTGCCAAGCAGGCTCACGCGCGGCTGCAGGTTGCGTATGCCAGTGCTGCGCAGTCTCTGTGCGGCCAGCTGCGACGGTCAGCAGCCGAGCTTCGTCAGCGGATTGGCGGGGATGCGCTGAACCTGAGCAGCGACTGCATGTGCGGTGGCGAGTGTTCTCTGTGGTGAGGTGAGATTTGTCTGTAGTTGTGGTGATGATGACTGGTTGGAGTTGAGGTTTCAGGTTGTGGCTGCGATGACACCTCAGGCAAGAAGCGGGAGCTTGCACGCTTGCAGCTAGAACCTCGCGGCTGATCGACAGCTACAAAGAAGGTGCTTAGGTACCGCTTGCCTTGGTTTGGGTTTCCTTCAGTGCGTCGGTACCGGATCAATGTTACTTCGTCAAGGTATACGTGTATATACGATAAATGAGCTCTCTTTTGAATGATTATCTTTCTTCTCTAAATTAAAGTTGTTTATCATAGAATGTCCCTGCCATGACTGTTGAGGTTGTGTTTGGCATCGTGCAGGTGGCTGGTTGAAGCCTTCGTCGACAGTACCATATCTGATGGCTCGATCCCTTCCAATTCTCTCTGCTATAAAGGACAAAGGGCTATACAATTACTCACTACTATCTGAATGTCTCATTAATAAATACTTCACAAAGTCTCATGATCGTTCTTCTCACGATCAACTTCCCCATCACTGTTAGGGTACATGTACTCCAATACCCGCCAAGTCCATCCTGAATTAGTCACAGCGTCTCAGACAAGTCATGGGACGAATATCTACATCATCGTAACTCGATCTTCCAAATAACTGAGATCGACAAACGTCGGCTCGACGGCAGAGCTGGCAACATTCTGGTCGATGAACTTTGCCAACCACCTGGGGTTTTCATCCGCTGTTGAACTGTCAATAACATGTCCTGGGCAAACGTGGTCGGACGCTTACCTAGCCAGTGTCCTGCCTTTGGTACAATTACTGTCTTGACTAAAGTTGCTGTAGGTCCCCATAGATCTTGACTGACTTCCTCAGGCACCATGCTAGCTTCTCCCCAAAGAACAGTCAGAGGAAGTCGAATTGGGTCGTCTCTCAGCGGGTTGAAGTATTCAACCTCGCGCCAGATGTTGCCGTTGAGAAACTCCGTCATGGAGCGCAAATATCCCGGCTTTGCCAACGCTGCTGCATAGCGCTTGACATGCTCCAGCGATATAGTCGCGCCTGCTGAATACGAACTATGCCAGAAGTACCAATTAAGAAACTCCTTCTCACGGCCGCGAATGAGAAACTCGGCTGCCTCGGGGATGGTAAAGAGGGCGAGATGCCAATGCCCATACAGGTTCCTCGACGGCTCTGGGTTCTGGATGATTTCGTGTCCAAAGGCAGGTAAAGCATATTCGCCAACACTTAGTGAGGTTACACGGTCGGCGTACTTCCAGGCGAGGACGGATCCAACCGAAGCGCCTTTGTCATAGCCAAATATAGCGACCTTCTCAATGTGTAAGAAATCGAGCAATTCAATAATGGCTTCAGCTGCTGCGGAGGAAGTGTATGTTCCGGATTCGCTGAGCGTCGACTGGCCCATACCGGGTAGGTCTGGGCAGATTACTGTATACTTTGTAGAAAGTAGCGGGCCTACTTTGTGCCACATCAACTGCGATATGTTAGATTAGCTCTATTTTGAAGAACCGTGAACAGGTCCAGAGTCAACATACAGAATGCTGCGGACATCCGTGCAACAACAGAACAGCTGGGCCGGTGCCATTGTAGCGGGCGAAAAGACTAGTGTCCGTTGTTTTCATTCGAATGGACTGCCACTCATCGAAAGGTAGAGTATTGTCTTGGGTAGACATCGTGACAATTCAGATGGTCGATTTCTGGGGGTAAGAAGCAGTGATTACTGTTATAGCCATTTACCACAATGAAGGGGTTTTGTGTCTTATATAGTCAATCTCTCATGGCGATCCAAGAGTTATCATGCTGAAGACGACCGTTAATGGATAAGGTAATACATGCGACTGCTGGAGTGGTGCTGGAAACTCTTCACTAGGCAATATTATGTGCCAGCCTCGGATCCGAGATCACACTTGCACGAATAGCTTTGTCTATAGTCTCACGGCTAAAGTAATCCCTCTCAGTAAGCACGATTGATCTAAATGAATCTTATATTAGCGTTATATTTCAGGTGGGAATTGCATATCTGTCTTAGCCGGTGCGTCAAATAAATTTGTCCACAACATGCACAGTTCCCATCATGGTTCAAGGTAACGGATCCGAGTCTGCACGTAGACGCCAGTTCTCAAGCTGCGACCTCTGCCGCAAATCGCGCATCGCATGCGATGCTGCTCAGCTACAGGAGCGCCAACTCACAGCTCCCGAGACTCGCGCATCCAGAAATCAAGCATCCGGGATTTCCGACGCCGCTTCGACGCGGATTCAGTGTACAAACTGTTCGAAACGGGCTGTGCCCTGCACATATGAGGTCCGTTTGATGCTTCATGTTCCGTTGCTTACCACATAGTTCAACCCGTTATAACCAAGTCTTTCAGTGGATTCAAAGTCACGCAAGCAAGAATGCAGCGGCCGCAGTAAGGGATGGCCATAGGTCAAAGACTCCCCGTCAGTCATCTCGTCGCTCGGTTCCGAATCGGTTCCGGACAGCTGGTACACGGGCTGTGACCAGTGATCCAGAGACGACTGTAGTAATACAGCACCATGAAGCTGCGCGTACCCAATCTGCTGGGACGGCAAATGAACGTGAAAGAAGCTCGCAGTATGTTTACGCTGTTCATTTATAAGCCTATTTATCAGCTTCCAATGCTCACATTGTTAGGTTGACGCGAGATGGCGAATTATCACGACAGATAGAGGCCATGGCTCTTCACAACCAGCTCTGGAAGGTCTTTACCCTCATCTTTGAGCCCGTCCTGACACTCTGGACCGGGCCTGATTGCAGTCCATATGTGGTCCCCGATCATGTGAGCCAACTTGATGATCATAGCGTGTATCAGTATGTTCTAGATACATGTACTAAATGACAAATAGATGTCCAGCCTGACAATGCTTCAGCTCGCTGTCTCCCTTGATTGGGCAACCTGTGAAGGCGACGCCAGTCATGCCTCAACTCGCCATGCTTGCCCACGATGCGATCGAGATGTTCGCCTGGCACTCATCGCTTCAGTACATACATTCTCTCTCCGCTGGCTTCCGCTGGTGACGGACAGCGCAGTAGATAGCCAGCAACTCTCGTTGCTTGGTGATCGGCTCTGGCACAATGCCAAGTCTAGAGTGCTGTCCATCTTTGACAAATTGAGCTACCAGACGGTTTTGGCTCTGTATCTCTTTGGACTCACTCCCATTTGCGACGCGGTTTCAATGGATGTGGAGAATGCTCACAGCGCTGGCGAGGTCAGCGTCGATATGGCCCTCCGTCACATCCACAGGCTGAGAGTGAAACGACGAGATCTCAGATTCTCCGGGACTGGTCTTTCAGTCGGTCGAAACGGTGGACAGGGTTCCGGTGCTCATGTTGCTGTCAACGAAGACTTCATCCATGCCGAAAATATGATGTACTGGGCCGGCGTCGTTTTTGACACCTCTTCGGCCATGACCAGAGGGTGTCCCTCCATCCTCTGCAGTGGAGTTTTTGGCTTCGAAGAGGAGCCGATTTTCCGTCTAATGAAAGCTCGGGTTCAGCTATTCCATGAGAGTACAGAGCCATGGCGACAAAATGGGTTTGTACCAACCAGTCAATCTACTCTATATATCGTTCATCGGGCATCGACTTGGAAAGGATACACATGGAAAATAATCGGTGCGCTGCGAGAGGCGATAAACCATGGCTACGACGAGTCCGTCATCGCGAGACTGCAGATACTCATCGGCCAGGCTTTAGAGCGCTTTGATAGAACCTTCAAGCCACTCCTGGCCACCTGCGAGAAACATCTCTTGTTTCTCAGCAAAGATGCTCGACTATGTTATTGTGAGTTGATGACCACCATGCTACTCTTCTCAACGTTGACTTCTAGACTAACGTTTTTAAGACCTTCTTCAGCTGCACTATCATATGGGATTACTCCTCCTGTGTAGTATAGCCGTCTCGATCGAGCGTTTGGATCTCGTCCCCAAGTTTGATATTGTTCGTCGCGAATCAGTTCATGCAATCTTCAGCACAATCAGCTTCGGACTCAGGTGCCAGGTAGCGCTCAATCAGGACGGGACACAGCGTGACCGCAGACTGTCCTCGATGATCAGCTTGGATCCGTACCCGCACCATATCCTCGCGTCGTTACAGCTATCGGCTGATGTTCTGCTCGTCTACCTGGAGAGAGATGAGATTGCGAAAGACTCATTCGATGGATTTTGTGGAATCGTCTTTGATGCGCTTAATGAGCTACCTCAGAGCTTACAATCAGTGCAGAGGGTGAAAAAGCTCATGCATGAGAAGTTGAATACCGCTGTTGAGGCTCTCGATACATATTCGAGTGCACGACGCGAGCACCGGATACACAATGAAGATGCCATGTCTGAAACAAATGAGCTGGGCTCATTGTCGTCCGTGAACATGGCAGATGTCGATGAGGCAGGGCATAGCAGTCTCACCAACACACTGTTCGCTAGGCCTGCAGTGTGGCTGAGATCAGAGGCTGTGTCTTAGACCGTCCGAGAAAGATGCAGGTCACGACTCAGGCACACCGGGAATATCATGAAGACTTCGCAACCTTCCGAAGCGGCTTCGAGTTCATATGGATAATCTCACGTATTTCAAATCAATCCCTGTATATCAGGATCTCGGTCCCTGTACAAACCCATCTCTAGCGCAGGGGAACTACACGAACTTATTGGTGTTTACTTGATACCATCGCGTCACTGGCGCCCATCACCAGCAAAAATAGCTTCGGTTCGGTTGAAACTGCCCCGCTATATATGCCGGTCGACCCTCTAAAGGATCGCGACTCACTGCCACGATGGTATCAGCAATGGAGACTCAATCCTTAGGTCGACTCATAAGTAGAGGGCCCCATTGAAGCCTTCCAACCTTCAGTGTCTCCCAGTTATCCTTAACCTTCTCGAGATCCAGAGACACAGTTGGCACATAAACTATCAAGCACAATAGCGAGAGTTTACAGCCATGTCTAGCCACGATAGTCACAATAGGTATGATGAAGGACGGATTCCGACATGAAGAAGCACACTCTTACAGACGACCAGGTATCTACAGCCGGGAAGCTCACCAGGCGGGGTCTATGGGCGCCAATATGAAGACGACGGAACCGCTTCGTCATCTCATTCGAGATCTCACTCTCAAAGTAGCACCGGCGGTCGAAGACGCAAAGGCATTGTCAGCAGCCTTGTGAGAAATGTCGCTGCTGGTATTGGTCTCGCCGCTGAGAGTTACCACAATCACCAAGAGAAGAAGAAAGCGCAAGCTGCTGCTGCTACGTCTAACAACAATGATGAAGCCCGGCCGGCCAGTTATTCGGAAGGATCTCGCGATGAAAGGCGCCACACCTCATATGAACATGACGGTAACGGATCTTCGGATAGCGATGGCAACGAGGAGCTAGTGCGCGTTGATCAAGAGACGTCCCGAGATCTGGAGGAGGCAGCATGGCAGCTCGATGCTGCGCAATCACAACTAGAGCCACCGCCCGATTATGCTACTGTCATGGCCCAAGACATTGACGTCGACGCAATGGCTGAAGGATTTGTACGAAGTCATACCGCTCCATCAAACCAGCAGATACAGCGCCAGGGACTGCCGATGCCCGTGATCCTCCCGCAGCGCCGTCCCGGAGAGCGTGCCCGCGGCTTCATCCACGCCTATGCACCATTGCTTCAAGATGTGGGCATTGACGAGGCGACATTCTTCGACTTTATCGAGCAGCTGAATATGGCAACAGCGCCATCGCCTTGGATCAACGCCATCAACCTCGCGGCCGTGGCTGTGCAAAATGTCCCGGAGCCTGTTTCCATAGCCGTTTCCATTGCGGCACGTGTCGCCACTCAAGTCGGCCTCCAGGCTCACAGCCGTTCGAAAACAAACGCTTTCTTGAACAAGATGAACGCCGGATTCTTTCGCCCGTTGGGTCTTATTGCCGTCATCATGACCTGGAAACCTAGCCGAGCCCGTGAGGTTGTCACACAAGTCAACTTTGACGCGGCACTGGAGCAAGCCACACAGAATGCTTCTGGTCCGGGCTCTGGAACAACAAGCGGTTTCAGCGATAGGATGCAAGCCTCACATGGAACAACAAGCTTTGAGTGGCCAGAGTCAGCGCCGCTGGTGTTTCCGACGTTAGACAAGCTCGCTGGTACTCCCGAAGGGAGGCAGGCCGTTGAAGATGCTGGGCAGAAGCAAAACGGACTGAAGCGCAGCATGAACTTTGCTATGGACTACATGGATAAGCGGGCTCAAGCCCAGTGGGCAAACGAGCATCCGGAGAGTCGTCTGGCTCAGCTGAATGAGAAGCCTGAATTTCATTCACGCTACGCAGATCCCAACCATCCAGCGAGCAGCGGCAGTCTTGTGGCTTTACTTACAGGAGGCGCTGTCACTGGTAGACTGAGTGGCAGAATGCAGGACAGGCGTGATAGGAGGGCTGCTAGACGTGAGCATCGATCCGAACGAAGGGAGGCGAGAAGAGAGCAACGTGGAACTACCGTCTTGGGCACGGTCGGGCCAAGAGCTCTGATACGCGGCATCAGAAAGTTTATGCATGAGGTTTGTTTATTCTTAAAGTCTGCGAGGCTGATTCCCGAAGCATGTGGCTGATTATTTGTCGTAGGACGTCTTATACCTCATGATTGCCAACCTGCCATCAAGCGAGGAAATGGCAGCAGCGGAGCAATTTCTACAGACGCATTCTGTGCAAGGCTGATTCAGACACGATTTGTGTTTTTCGTGAGTCGGTTATACACATGTTGTCATGATTGCCGAATTATTGCGACCGAGGCAAGTACCTGCTGGCATAGCTTGCTTCACTGCCACATTACGTGCACGACACGATATTAGCACTACTTCGACCTCAAATCACGGCGTCATGCATCATGCTGTGAATGAGTGAGATGTCAGACGAAGCCAAACAGGCAAGATTGCTTGGTGCTTGAAGGTGCAAATGCGCTAGCAATCATCAACACGGCAGTGCTCATGTCTCAGCGTCATACATCGGTCTGCAGTCGGAAGCACAACGATGACGATAACTGACGATAACTGAGAGTAAAGCCACCGTGTAACTGTAGAACGACCTGTATATATACGATAGCAGTCATTGAGCCACATTTACTAAAATGCAATCTTCTTCACAAGAAAAATCGTGCTGAGTTTACACTGAGACTCTTCGACCACCAAGGACGTCTCGCAAAATGTTCCAACGAACCCTAAGACTCCTTGCCTTTGGCAATCATTTCGCAGTATGGGTGTCCTCACTCATAGTCACGGGCATTCTGTCATTCTTCCTCGCCAAGTATAATCTCAGCAACAACGCCCATGTCATCTACCAGGAGGTCATCGTAAGCTCTCCCTTTCTCCGAACTCAAGATAACATTCTCACATTCATTAGGCTACCATCACGTTGGCTGTCTGGACCTTTGGCATGATATTACCGCTCGTCAATGCCTACGGTGGCCATCTGTGGCTTGCGAACCATATCTTGTCCTACCTTTGGCTCACTGCCTTTATCTTCTCGGCACAAGACTGGGCTGGTGGTCGATGCAGGACGCACGCTCCCACTTTTGGCAAATGCGGACTGAAGAAGACCGTTATTGCATTCAACTTCTTCGCATTGTATGTTGACTATGCGCCTCCTGTCAATTCACGAGACGCTTGTACTAACAATTTGTAGCTTCTTCTTGCTGGTCAATATCTTCGTTGAAGGGTTATTGTTCCGGGCTCATCGAGACGAGCGTACTGGCGCTTCCAAGTCGCGGCCAGGTACTGCTGCACACAATGGAACCACAGCTCCTGCCGTGTAGTTTTACGCCAAATAATCACACCCTACCTAGTCCGAAAAGCAGAGTGCCGTAGACGAGAAAGCTTGGAAGGAAATATGGATTTCTAGACGGGTATCATAAGGGTATCATGGTGGTGAGGGGGTAAAACGACTCGACGAATCTTAAATATACAATACAAAACATTTTCGTAACAACTTCCTCAATAACACTAAAACAGATGTGATTATATCTTAAATTCAATCGCCTATAATCTAAAGGGCTTACGAGGAGAAGCTTAAATATACATGTAATGACATGGCATCCTTTCCATATAGCCAGTCAAGCAATGGACCCAACAGCAACAGTAGATTCTATTTGGTCTGTTGCTACGACATGATCATTTCTACGATTGTGCCAACTACATTGACTATTGTGAAGATGACACAATGTTTTCGATGTGTAAGAACTGAAGTAGTATTATTTTCCTATGTAACGACTCTGCTGGTGTCTACTCAGTCAATCCTAACTGATCGTCGCCGGGTTCGCGATACGATCCTCTCGGCTTGGCGCCACGAATCTTCTCATCAATGATGTTAGATTTGTCAATGGCCTCTCTATCATCTTGCTCTGTCGGGTATTTTAGTAGATGCTTCAAGAGTAATCTTCAGAGTGTCTCTTCTGAAAGTAGACTCACCCAGCTGTCTATCGCTGTCGGCAGATGATGCCTTGATCGGATCTTCGACGGGCGCGTCGTCGCTTTGAACAGGAACCGACTCGTTCTTAGTGCCCGTCACATAAGAGTCATCTTGGACCTGTCCCTCGGGAACATCTGCGCCAAGGGTGTCGTTTGTATCCTTATCATCGATCTGTTGATGGGCGTATTTCGACATGTTGCGGGAATTGGTAATAGAATCTATGTATAGAGCAGTGGGAAGGACTCAGGACGTCGTTGAAATTGATGGGTAGCAGATGTAATTGCTTATTTGCGGAGGTGTTACTGTCGGTTTATATGATAATGGATAAGCGTGACATCACTTCGCTATGATTCAACAGTGAGGGCCTCCTTGCATCCACTGACGTGAAGGATTCGGGCTGTTAGACGTGGAAAGCCGTGAGATGAATCATATCAGCATTGCCAGAAAGTGAAATGTCGATATATGCTGAGATAAACAAGGTGTTATCCATGACGACGTTCATTGCATCATCATTACTCCCAACACGTGCCAACCGCCCGGATCGCTAAGTGTTCTTTGCCTTGAGCTGGCCGATTGAAGGTCGACATAGCCGTATATTCGCCATCGGGAAGTTTTGCCTTCCATCTGCAAGCCGAGATGGTGTTGGTACGAGCGCCGAGCGATCAGCTATGGTGGAGCATGGCATTTCTCCATCCCGAGCCAAGCAGACCACCGCATTCTTGACAGTTTCTGTGGTTTGAGGTCTCATACCGTCAGCTCTGTAGAATGACGAACATTTATGCCTATGGTTAAACTCGAATTGTCATTGTCTCTACTTGTTTGGAATATCGTTGCATGTGTAAAATAGCTTCACTGTTGCCTTCAGTCACTGGTTTTCGAGCCACCATGCCCGGTGAGCAATCGCATAAAAAACCGTGCATCAAGTATTCGCTTCAAGGTGGTTAAAGTGACGTGTTAATCCTTCAAAACGTTAAGCTACGACTGATCGATAGACTATATCATACATCACTGCATCTCCTGAAGCTTTTGCTTCGCATTCTCCTTTGCTTCTGCCGACACGCCCTCATTTGCGAGGGAAGCCTTCAAACCACGAGCACTATTCCAGGTGTCAATACCCCGCCATGTATATGATAGGTCACATAGATATGGTCTTACACATTGCCAGGATCCTTTTGCTTGGACTGTGATCCGGTAGTCCTGGTAGTTTCCGTAGCTTCATTTTCTTGGAACTCATTCTCAAGAACAGAGCGGGAGTGCTGCTTCGCTGCATCTGATACGTCTACAGACGTTCGTTAATAGGATGGCACGGTGACGTTGACCTTGAGACGTACTCGGATTCGCTAGGGTAGCCTTGTGTCCGCGAGCGACGTTTTCTGGGTCTTGACGGTAGTCATCCTCCAGAGGGACCTCCTTGGGAATATCGCTATAATCGTCTTGGTCTGCCATTGTAAAGGGAATGCTGCTATAATTGATCTGGAGCTGCCGCAACAATGGTCAATGGTGATAGTAGATGCCGGCTATATATGACCATCGTACACTATAGTTGCGGCCGGGGGCCAGATTCCTTCACGCCCGTCGAGATAGGTTGCGTTATTCTGAGATGGTGATGTCAATGTACACGCCACGTCTCGTCAGACCGTTGCCATGAAATCATCGGGGACAACGACTCGTATGCCAATGCTATTTATCACATGTAATCAGTGCTGTGGCTTCGGATGGGAAACCAGAGCATCCTGACAATCCGACGGCTGCCACGGAGACCTGGGTCGAAGCCAATATGACGAAATCACTTTCAGCCTCCAGCCTCGTAGACTCCTATTGAGACTGCAAATGCTTTCCGATATGTTATGGAAACACTGTTTGGACCCGAAGGCGGAGAGCTATCGTGACGAGAGTCACAGATGGAGTGGGTATGGAGGAGGTCATATTGAGGTCATAATCATGCAGCTTCTCCATTACAATGAATATTTCAGATGTGACTGAATCTGCCAAGGCGAGGCGTATGGAGTATAGATGAGGTAAGTCGGGAGGGATTCATGCGTTATGGCAAATCCTGGGATGCTAACTAGACACAGAGTATATGCTATGATGAAGACTCTGAGTTGCGTAGTAGCACGTTAAGATAGTCCAAGATACAGATACCATGTGATTAAAGAGTTTATCAAAACAGCGAGTATTTTCTTTATTAATGGTCACGAGCGAATTGGCTCACGCAGGCTTCTGACCACCCATCATGTTTTGAGCCGTGCCGCCCATAGCACCCTCAGTCGTAAACTGCTTGCCAATCATTCCCTCCTTGTCGAGAGGGCCACCCACCTTCTGCGCCATACTACCAAGCATACCCTTCTCTGCAAGTATACGGTAAGCTTCGAATTATACACTGGATCGAAGGACCACAATTGCATTGTCTGTCATACCTGTGAACTGGTGACCAATAGCGCCCTCCTTGTCAAACACCTTTGGCGCGGTTTCGTTGGCACCCTGGGTGGGTGTAGTGTCGGACGCGAGGCTCGACTTCGGTGCGGAAGTGGACGACATGCCTGCTGTTTGTTTCGGGCGTTGCAGATATTGCAGTATGGTTGATTCTGTTGGCGATTCTTAAAAGTTGCAATTGCGCGACCTTTTAATTTCTTGAGATGTTTGTGCAGAATGATAGTTTTGTAGAACGTTCGAAGAATTACATCAATATATGGCCGCCTCCATGTGACATAGATGGAGGAGACTTGATGGCGCAGGTTCATGATTCTTGAATGACGCAACATATCAAGTCAGCACGAGCCTTGGTCTACTGCACTTATACTTGTCTGTTCTGCAATTCCTTAGACATCAGAATGCTTTCTGATACTGTTGGTGGCGCTCGATGACAACTGCACTCTCTATCGATAGGACTATTAGGAATGAGAAACGGGACTTACTCGGTGGAATGCCATGGCAGACGCCTCCCGATAGCCGCCACGATGGAGATGAACTGCGTATCGGAGATTTCACAAATTGAAGCCTAACGTCGGTAATCATCGTACTGAGAAGTTCTGCTCATTCAGTCTTGTCACATGGAAAGTTGTGCCGGTACACAATATCTGCAGACACAAAATGCTGACGTCGTGATGGAGGTTTACACATAACAGCCTCAGCCTCTTGTTCAATATAGGCAAAAGAAATGGTAGAAGTTGACGATGAGGTAGAACTTCACTGCGGTATCTGAACCACAAAGCGACCGACTATGTCTCCGCGCTTGATTCGCTCAAACAGCTCCCCCGTCTTCTTAAACTCAAAGACTTCGACTCTAGGGACTATTTCCTTCCTCGCTGCGGAGACGAGCAACTCTTTCAACTGTTTTTCAGTTCCAACATGACAGCCTTTAATCGCCAACCCTAATCATTCTATCAACATTTTGTCACAGCCATTATTCTCTTTCCGTTTGCAGTTCTAACTTACCTCTATACTCAAGCTCGGTAGGAGAAATCGGAAGGCGATAGTCCATTCGAGTGATACCAGCACAAATCATTGTTCCAGTAAACTTGAGGTATTTCAGTGCCTGATCAAAGGCCTCTGTTGCCGCTGGCACAACGATAGCTGCGTCGGCGCCTTTCCCATCCGTCAGTTCCATGACCTTTTGGACAACATCTTCTGCCTGGAAGTCGACGAAAGCAGTTGCTCCTAGACTGAAGCTGAAGTCCTTCTTCGTCGATCCTCTGTCGATGGCGATGATCTTCAAATCCTTCTTGCTTGTCAGATTAAAAGCGAGCTGTAGTCCCAAGTGTCCTAAACCACCTCCTGAACCAGAAATGACCAGAGTATCGCCATCCGCAAGGGCATCATCGCAGAGTGACAAAGCACCAGCCATGGTGACGCCGCCACAGAGAAATGGCGCAGCATGAAACGATGACAATCCATCAGGGATTGGCATCAGGTAGTCCGCGTTGGCGACGACGTATTGCTGCATGGTCCCCGGCTTATCGGTACCAGTGTTGGCTTGATTCACGCACCAATTATCGCGACCAGCAGTGCAGTTGTAACATTGGCCGCAGACGCTGTAGATCCATCCAAGCCCGACCCTCTGGCCAAGCAGAGTATCTGCAGCATCAGGACCAAGCTTCACTACTTTGCCCACACCTTCGTGGCAGGGAACTTCGTTGTAATAAGGGTTGTTGCCCGTGTAAACGTAAATGTCGGAATAGCTGGAGTTCGCCCGGAGTAACTGAAGTCAGCTCATTGACGCGAGAATGAAGACGTTCCATTTAGAACCCCAGGCTCAGATACCCTCTAAACAATACCAAACTTACCATATGCCTGAACATTCCATCTTCAGCAAGACTTCATTTCTCCCTGGCTGAGGAACAGGATAGTCATGGCAAATTTCGATTCGCGCATTAGGCCCGGGATCTTTGATTAGAGCCGCAGCTTGTATGCTGGGGATTTCTGCTGTCATTGTGGAAATGTTTTGGCACAGCATCTGCAGCTTTGCAACGGCATGCCACTCTAGAAGGACAAGGCAGACATGACTATTTATGCGAGCAACCTTGGTTTGATCTGGAGAAGCTCCTAGACATGGACAATGCCGGCAACTCAGAGTGTATAAAACTCAATGTATGTGGTTGACTTGACCTATACTACCTGTCGTATGTGCATGTCACGGTCCGGATGCGAGGGTTAGTAGATAAGCTACTGTGGTTATTGGTCCAAGTAATCGGATCCGGTTGAAGCGCCCGGGAGGGGCTGTGACCGCTTCGGATCCGAGTTGACAACCTCCCCACGTAGTCAGACGCTATCGTTTAACTTGATCACGGCAGCTACACCAATGAGCGCATCAAGTTTGACTATAAACAGCCTTAAGCGGCAGTTAAACACGGGAATAGACTACAATTAGTCAGATTCATGATAAATGCCTCACCATCTGTCATTCGACATGAGAGTCTAGAGCAAAGAGCAAGACCTCAGAATACGGGGCTTCACGATTGATTGCGGAAGTACGATGCTCAATTAGTCAAGCCATTGTAGGTGGCGGAAACGATTGTACAGGATTGGCTGGTGATGGTACCATGCGGTGGAGTTTACAACGTCCAACGTCGTACTGGTTTGATGAGTTGTGAGAACATAGCCTTTGCTTGAATAGTCTGTCAACTGCTTTGGACACTTGTCATGTCTCGAAAGATGGCGGCCGGTTCATCGTGTCGTCCCACTCCGTGACTTGTGATTAGCAATCAGGCAATACTTCCTCAGAATGCAGTCTCGTCAAATCATGTCGAAGGATCATTTGCATGAAGTCCACAGCTGGGCGATGCTTCCAATGGATTAACATATATGGTGATACACGAGCACTTACATCCTTGTGTGAAATATAAAGACGAGTATATCTCAAGCCGAATATTCTTCTGAAGTCCATCACCCATCATCCTATACTCGCATCTGATATTTTGAAAACACCTTGTCAACCCATACCACAGCAGTGAATCGACGACAAACACGCAAAAATGGCTTTGAGAGTCGCCGTGGCGGGTGCTACTGGAGACTTGGGCGTCCCTATCGTGAAAGCCCTCCTAGCTGCAGGTTACCATGTGACAGCCCTTACACGAGAAGGCAGCAACAATACCTCGAAACTTCCCAAGAGCTCCAACCTTTCCATAGCCCAAGTCAACTACTCCTCGGCCCAGTCTCTCGAGAATGCTCTCAAAGGTCACACCGTCGTCATCTCAACTCTGACATCTACATCAGTCGGCGACCAGAATCCCCTTATCGACGCCGCCATTGCAGCTGGCGTGGCAAGATTCATACCATCAGAATTCGGCAGCGATGTCCTCAATGAGAAGCGCAACCAGTTGCCGGTGTTTGAAGGCAAAGTCAAGACGCACGAGTATCTCAAGGCCGCAGCTGCTAACCATCCCGGCTTCACTTACACGGTGATTTGCACTGGTGCTTTCTTGGACTGGGGCCTGCATGGCTTTGTTGTCAACGTCCCTGAGCGTACAGCCATCATTTACAATGGCGGCGACGTCCCTTTCTCGGCGACTAGTCTCGATACGATCGGCAGAGCTGTCGTTGGGGTTATTGAACACCTCCCTGAGACGGCTAATCGTCCACTATACATTCACGATGCCGTTGTCACTCAAAATCAGCTGATTCGTTATGCCAAAGAAAAGGATGGTCGAGAATGGAAGGTTACGCACAAGTCTACCGAGGAAATGCGTCTATCTTCGCTGGAACAAGTGGCAAAGGGAAACACTGATTGGTCGGTCCTGCAGAATTTTGTTTTCAGCTCCTTTCTTGGGGAGGGATACGGAATAGACTTTTCGGACCACTTGGATAACGAGCTTTTGGGCATCAAGGGGTTAACGGAGGCAGAAGTGAGGGAGCTGGTTGAGAGTCTTCTATAGCGTGTCCTAACCGACTACTTCTCTAATAGGCCATTATCGCTCATTCTATTCATCCATCGTAAAGAGAGACGATCTTTTTGATCTCTATTTAGACCGCGGGTCGAGTAAATTGCGAGAAAAACTCAATCACAAGAGTAGTCGCCGAAATGTGAGTTGGCAAATCTCCAGCAGCGATTTGTGAAAAGTTGATATCGGGTGAAGCCCAGTCGTGCTCTATAAGTAGTTTGTCAGTCAAATAAACCTTGCGCAAGAATCTCAGTTAGAGAGGGTGGCTCATACTCTGGTCATCGGTCTTGTAGTGCTGCATAACACCCTCCTGGCCGCCGCAAGTCCAGCTAAGGTGATGAACATCGTTATCGAACAAATCTTCCTGCTGATACGGTTCATCACACTGGTTGCGCTGCGCCCATCGGCTGAGCCTATAATTCCTCACACATCAGCAACAACCCCATGCAGAAGCAGACCTTCCATCCCGGCGAACTCACCAGTTGGGAATGGAGGGCTCAATGCCACCCTCGCCCTCTCCACCGGCATACGGTACATCAGTGTCTGCGCCGCCGTGAAACTCGAGAATCGGCACAGGCACACGCGCAGGCTCACAAGCCTCGTAATTTGAATCATTGTCGGTATAGAAGGATCCAGACGCAGGCGCAAAAGCCGCAAACTCGCCGCCGACAGTGGCATTGCATGCAATGGTATCGACAAATCCTCCACCAATCGACATGCCGGTCGCATAGATCCGGGCACTGTCAATGCAGAAATTCTGCCTCAAATCGACCAGCATGTCCCAGACAAATTGCAAGTCTTGCTCGACTGTGGCCTCGGAATAGTTCGCTCCAGCCCAGGCGCCGCCCAGTCCATTGGGATACACCATGATCTTGTCGCCGGTGAACTGTTCGCTATCAAACCCGGTGTCGACCTCAAAGAAGAGGCCGATGCTGTCGGAGCCGTGGAAGCCGAGAATGGTCGGGTACTGTTGGTCCTCGGAGTAGTTGTTCGGGACGTGGATTGTGTAACTGCGTTCCACGCCGCCCGACTGGAGGGATCGGTTCTGTGGGATGCCGTTGAACAAGTGAGACTTTCCACAGCCGGAGGTGTCACCGCCAGTGTACGGCGCGGCAGCCGATACACAGGCGACGGATAGAGCGAGGAAGCCGAGTCTCATGGCCTTCATCATTGCGGCTGCGGTGATGCTGCTGAGCTTGATGGCATCTGCGAGCCGGATCCTCGACGTCCTGCAAGGGCGCCCATGGCTTTTTATTTAGTGCTTGAGGCAATTTCCGATTGTTGAAACGCCATTCACGTGTCAAAGATTGAGTTCCTGTGAGGATCAGGCTACACCGAAGAGGGTGGATTGGACTCTTGTCCAAGACACGGATTAGGAAGGTCTCGAGGTTTCACAGTACCTTTAACGTTCCATGCGCGCTAATAATGCCTTGCACATTGGGCTCGGCTGAGGAATCTTCAATCATCGGACCTGTGACATGCGACGTATCACGCGCTTGTTGGACTGTTCCCAAGACTATCGCTCCGATAAACGGAAACTTGTGATACGAATCGGGATATATCTCCATCTGGATCTTCAAGTGCAGAACGGTCAAATCTCGTCACGGCCTCGCTTGCAAAGGCGCTCAGCCAAAAGATAGTTCGAAGTCACATTCCTTCTAAGGGGAGGTTGGATGGATAGCTCAATTTCGCATAAAATGCGCCCATGTTCTCGCAATACCGCATCTTCTCACTTCGTATGAAGTACCTTACCTCCACTTATTATTCCAACCGGCCTGTTCAATGATAAAGGCAATGGCAAGTTCGGAGAACCGGGCCATGTGCTACAGCTGATTAGCATTGCTGTTCCGTGAGGAAATGCGGACAGGGAGCCTTACCTCAAGGGAGAACACGCCAGTCTCGTCATCAATATGCATTGTGTCCTTTTCCGTGTGGATATAAGGATCAAACTCGCCATTCCCAAACTCGGCTTCACCCGCCGAAGGATTGCCTTCAGACGCAAAAGCAGCAGGGTACCCGAGCTGTGTGTAAGACATGTAGTCCGAACCGGCGCCACTGCTCTTTGTCAGTAAGAAGAAAGGAAGGAAAGGCAGCTTCAATCTTACCTAGGCAGCCTGTAGACGTTGGCAGGAATAGAAATGTACTCTTTGGCCAAGTCGGCGGCCCACTTCGTCAGAGGGGCGTCTGCTTCAGTCTCAATGAACCCAATGGACTCGGTGGCGTTTTTCGCGATGAAGGCAGTCATATCCTGAACTTGGTGTTAGTCGCAATAATGAGAACTTACTGGCGCAAGTGGACTCTGAAAGACTTACAAACTCCATCATGGCGCCAATACGAGTCCCAGACTCCTTCTTATATCGCGCAACCGCCTGGCTGCCCAACAGCCCGCCCTCCTCGGCAGCGTACCAGTGGAACTCAACAGGTCCGTTGCTCGGGATGAAGCCGCTCTCCGCCAGGACGCGGAAGGCTTCGAGGATGCTCACCGTGCCGGAGCAGTCGTCGTCGGCGCCCGGAGCAGGAAGCAGCGGGAAGAGATAGTTCATGGAGTCTTGGTGAGCGCCGATGATGGTCAGCGGCAGCGAGAAGTTTCTCACTTTGGGCTCAAAGCGAGCGATAATGGATGATTGCGGAAAGGAGTGAGTGAACACCTCGAGAGAGATGTGAGTGTGGAATGGCGCATTCTTGATGATCTAAACACATCGACATATTAGGACGCAGTACCACCAACAGGAGGGAGAAGGGTCGACGGGCAAGCCATACCTCGGCAATGTGGTCGTACAGCCACTGCGAACTCTCCTCTCCAGTGACGCTGCCAAAGTATCGCGTATAGTAGCCCGTCATGTGCTCAAGAACATCGTGCATCTTTTCCGTCGACACGCGCGGCAGCAATGACTTGACAAGGCGCTGGTGAGACAGCTTGGGCAAGTCTACATGACATATTAGCAATATTCCACAGTAGGCTCGTGTCGGCTTTCAAACTCACGAGCTTCACCAGCCAACGCATGCACCTGCTCATTGTAAAAATCTTCGTGATCGGTGATGTCCGTGAACTTCTTGCCCTGGCGCTTTAGGCGCAGCTTGTCGCCCTCGGTCATCCATTGGGCGCTCGGCTCTCCGAGTACGCGCAGGAGACGCGGCTGAGCGAGCTGCTCAGCAGCCTCGGGATGCAGCGAAACAAAGGCGTCGACGGGATCCGAGTGCTTCTCCAACGCAGCGAGAATGGCCGGGTCGACTTGGTTATGCCTTCCTGGGGCGGTGAGGTGGATCTGGGCCTCTTGAGACGCTGCGCTGCCGGAGATCAGGCTCGCGCTCAAGAGGAGCAACGAGCTCGTGCAGATAGACTTTAGCATGATGGTGGCTGATGTCAGTGTGTCAAGTGTCAAGTATCAACAGGGATGCCAGGATGGAGTCACACAAACGTGCCAGTACGAGAACACGTGCTGGCAGTCAGAAGGGAGAGTGTTCAGGTTGAAGTCGCGACGCTGACGCCATCTCGGCTCCCCACATCACATGCCGGGATTCGTACCCTTGAGACCAAGATAAACCCCGGATTCCGTAAAGATAAGGATGTATTGATATGGCTACGCAAACGCTGCAGCCTGAGCATATGTAGCGAAGAGTATCAAATTCTTCAGGTTCATACATTAATCCTGAGGTATCCAAGAATACTGGGAAAAAAACTCGGCGTTTTAATTCGGCCGGTGAATAGGTAGTCCTCGGGGAGGTGAATGACGTCTCCTCGGCCGAGTGAGACACAATGTACTCCGTATAGCGGCAATGATCTCGAGACTAGGATCTGCTTAGTAGACACAACAACTGATTGCTCAAAACAGTATGACAACAATGAGAAGTCTTCCAATTAGGTCTTTCACTCACTTGTTTTATTCCTTATGCGGTAGAATAGGAGTCTATTATCGGACCTATACTAGTAGCAACCCCTCCCGCGTCGTCTGGCTTCTTTCCTCACATTATAGGTTAGTCTTGCGATATCCCACAGAAGCAGCAATACTCGGCATATCATCCGGACATTTTGGCCTCTATACAATGCCAGACTTTCACACGAGGTCCAGCGTGGTTCCGCTTAGCCCAGAGTATCCAGAGTATTTGGGCTAATTTCCCCCCTGTACATCGACGACAACGCTGACCACCGTTGGCATACAATACTTGTCTTGCTGATATTCAGGCACGAGAAGCCACCAATAGCGTGGAATGATTAACCGGGATATCGACACTAGTAATGAGATCTGGGGTAAGTTGCACGCCAGGTTTCTGGGGAGTAAGCGGCATGATCTACCAACCATAACCATATAGGAGATAAAAAGCTGGTTGAACGGCGTTTTCGGAGATTCAGTTTGATTACTTCTCGCTCACCGACAGCCCGATGAGTTGAGTTGGCAAGGTTGCTTATGACGTGTGGTTGCCGATTAGCCGTTCCTCCATGTCAACTTCACAACAGGTTGAGTGTACTTACCTCAGGCACAACTTAGTGTACTTCGAGTCTTGAAATCCTGTAGGTGAAGGCTCCAAAACATAGCCTGTTGCAGAGCATATTGTGTGTAGCGATTTATGACTCGACCAGAGCCATCTAAGAAGATATGTTATTGTATCGTTTTGGCAGCCCAGTAGACTCGTTTGTTCTTGCTATAAAGCAACTTGGTCTGCTGGGTTCGTGTTGATGGATGCTCGTAGGTCAGCGTAAACCCTGGCTTGCTGGCTATCCGAGCAACGACGTAGAATCCGCGGAATTAAAAAACCCGGGTGAGTCTGGTACTTGAGAAACGCTTCAATTTTATTGTCATAATGATGTAGAACTCAGATCCATACGTACGGAGATACATTACCATGGGCAAATCGGGAGCCAGCTTATGGATGGATCTCGAATACAGGCTAAAAGAAGAGAACAAGCATGTAAGTGCAGTCTGACTGACGTCCCTGTATAGGGGCTACTTTACTATCGTTATTGTCAGTCACGAGATAGCCGCTTTTCGTATCAAAGCCCTCTATGAGACTATATGTATATAAACTGTCACCTCTGGCAGCAAGTGTCCTTTTTTTCTCATCCTCAAGCTGCCTTCTTGTCCACCACCCTCAGACAAACACACAATCAACCAAACAACTAAACATCCACCACGCAACGAGCACCCATCAAGAACCATGAAGGCCACTCTCTCGTCCGTCCTCCTCCTAGGACTTTCCCTCGGGGTCATGGCAGACTTCCAAATCATGTGCGGACCCTGCTGCGATGCCGGCGGTGATTTCAGCGACGGCTGCTACTCCGACGCCATCATCTCTGCCCAAAACAAACTGGGCTGCAGCAACCTCTCGAATGCCAACGGCGTGGCCACCAACTCGTTGATCAGCGGAGGCTTTGGAGGAGCGCTGGGTTGCCCGGAGGCTACAAGTTTCTTCCAGATGGGCGGCCTTTGCGGCGTCGGGACTTTGAACTTTTATCAGAACGGCGATACGTACATAGGATACATTGATGGTGGTGATGGGTCTCAGGTTGCTACGTGCTATGGTACTTCGGGGACAAAGAGTTGTGACTACGGGGCGGCTTCTTGCGCCTGGCAGCAGACTTGGTACTGCGACTCTTACATTTGCAATGAGTAGCTGCCCTTGCTATGGTTACGTGAGAGGACTCGGAAGATTTGGCTACACATGATGATTCTGCTTGGTTTAAGTGTATTTTAGACAGCGGGAATAATCGATAGTTATTCGCAAACTATTTACTCTGATATAGGCCGATTGTGAAAAGACCTGAGCAGTTCAAGCTCCCTTGAAGATAACTCATTCTGACTACAAAATCTTGATCCGTCTACAGAGAGTCCTCTCCTGATATAACTTCTATGTATATCGGTAGTTCTAATGAACAAACTGGCTGTATATTTATAGAACTCTATTAAGGCTGATATTTCTTGGATAGAGAAGAAGGCATTACTGATGGTATTCAGCATGTATAAAGTACGGCGTCAACTTGCAAGATATTCCTGATAGCGAGTATGCCTGTGCTTTAATCGGTGTCGCTTTTTGCGAACTTGACAACTATGCGTGCTCAAGCTTTCGACCTCCTTTCACAACCTATAACTAGATCCATCTTCCATCCTCAGTTCGATTCATCCTTGCATCAGGCGGCTGCCATGTGTATTCCTGCATCCGATAACTCTCTTCGTAACTCTCTCTCCTGTCAGATATTGTCTGGATAATGACAGTAGATACTGGAATGACGTGTTTATTATCTCTTCGAGTGGACTCGGGGAATATATGATGAGAAGATGATGTCGAAAGCTTCGGCTGCTTAAAGTGGCTGTCATCCAAGTCACTATTCGCAGGGATGGATTTTCCATCATCTGTGCCGTATACATTCGATCCTGATGGTGAATGCTTCGAGCGGAGATGTGAGAGGGACCGAATAGAAGCATATAGCCAGCTGTGTGAGAAAATCTTCAGCCACCAGGCGTATATGCCTGGAGCACAGCTGACGATGATACTCCCGAAAGTATCTACATACCTAGAAATGTTCAGCTTGATGCATATAATGTGGCTTAACAATCCTTAGAAGCTTACGCCGTGATAGATACGTTGGTTCCGTTCCAGGTGGGATCAACGGTACCATTTATGACGACGGCTCTGTAAGCTAGGCCGACCGTGCTTGTAACGATTATTCTCAAGGTTGAACCTTCTGTTAGTATGCATTCGGAAGTTTGTAGAGGTTATGCAGGAGCTGGACGTACGAGAAACCAATGAGGAAGACAACGACGAGTCCCTGTTTCTTCTTCTTATCCATGTTCAACCTAGAAATGATGGGAAAAGGCAAGACAAAGATGGCCAAATCAACCACCAAAGTGCACACACCAACAGCCAGCGTCCCCGGTGCACTTCTAGCACATTTTGCCATAAGATTGGCATCCCATACTTCATGCCCATATGGAACGCAAAGCACTGCAAATAGTCCCGCGTGAGTGATGGTGCCCATGGACAGAAGCATGAGGAGCCCGTAGCAGGCAATGTGAACCCAACGAAGGCTGCCAAAGATGCGGAGAAAGAAGGCAAGTAGAGATGCTTTGGCGAACCAGTTACCAAAGGCGCCGAAGAACTGGGACACGACATGTCTCTGAGGGAGGAAAGTCGTGATCAGTATAAGCACTCTACACTCGGTTCTATTAGAATACCTACTTTGAGAAGCCATGGGTCGATGACGCTCACAGGTAGATCCCAAGCGTGCTTTCCAAGGCCTTTGCCGACAACTTTTGGCAAAGAAAAACATGTTAGTTTCTCATAGGTGCCCGGGAAAAAAATGGTAGGGATGGTGAGTGGTGGCTCTTGAGCCAGTTGACTTACTGGCGCTGAACAATGCAAAATATACAACAGTAGTGATTTCCGCTGCCAGGCAAAGGACTGGGTGAGTGTTCATGTTAGCGACATTTTATCATCTACAATGTCAGGTTTGCACAGATTCTACTCACAATCATCTAGGAAGAGACGTCCGACACATCTGCGGCCCGCATATATACGAATAGTGACGACGATCGCGCTCAGGGCGATGAGGATCACCCCAACAATAAGATTGACAGTTTCCAGAGACGGGCCACCTGCAAGATTTGGTGGACTGCCATCCGGGTTAGCAATCAATGGAATCTTTGAAAGATCAACAAGGTCTCTGGGAAGGTGAATCATTCTGATGGTATCCCAACGGGTAACACTTGTCACTGAAAACGTTCGGTAACCGGTAGGAAGCGGCGCAGGTGAAGATAATCCTCTTCCACAGCCCTACAAATATTATTCCCAAGAAAAGAAGGAGTGATGTGGAGTGGGCGAGAACATCCCATTTATTCCTGCAGAGAGTGAATAAGCCCCCATGATGCCGTGAAGGAATCTTGGCGTAAGACGACGCCAGAAAGCCTCGACACTACGCCATACTTCGTGGAGTCGGCACCGCATGTGTTGTGTACGTCGACCACGCCTCCTCGCCTTGTTGTGTTACGTCGAGCTTGTACGATGGGTATGACCACAGCCTCTGCTTGGGAGAGAGTGGCGTTTGGTTGGAAGCATTTTCTCGGGACCGACACATTCATTCATCGTCCGTCCAATACTTGGAGGCTTTCCTCCGCGGAAAAGAAGGGAATCAGACCGATGTATCAGCATCCAAAGCCTAATCCTAAGATATTTATATGCATATAATGGTTTCAGACGCCCGGTATACGTGGATAAGGTCTCTTTTCATGAAGTACCGACCTAGAATTAGATACACTAAATGACACCTGCCTAGACAGGACGCTTTGAGCCGGAAAGGGACGCATAGGCGGTGATAGCTACACAAGGAGCCATCCATGGGAAGAGGAATATGAGTATGAAGGGATACTCCTGGTTGCTTCATGGGGGCAGAGCAGAATCTTACTCGTCTCAACCGATGACTGTATACGATCGTATGCTACGTGTCGAGACAAACGTATTGTCTGCTTTGAACGCAACTGAAGAAGAGGCTGGCGAGGTAGAGGTATAAATTGTGTATGAAATGAAGAGATATCCACGTGTTCTTGAAAATTAAGCATCGTCATTATCTGAAGTCTCTTGCAGCGTAACAGCTCTACAATTTTCACCGAAAGTATAACCTTCACTACGAGTCATGGATCAAGTTCTCTACGCCTTTGTCAGTTGCTCTGCTTTGTGGTTGCTTATTGTACCCTTCCGGTCTCTCGAGCATGGTGTTTCTCCAACCATGAGCAAGCTTAGTGCTTGGCTGTTCACCTCGAGCCTGCTTTCGTCTGTTCAAAAGCGCGTCGATGCCTGGTTATTCCTTTTAAGAGGCCCGGACATTATTCAAGCAAAATATGAAGAGGCAAGTCAATCAAAACTCGCCTTTTTTCTCAGTACATGGTACTTATTGAGCCATTCTAGTCTAAAGGAGCCCCATTTTGGATCCAGGCCCCTGAGAATCGCTATCTCGTGGTATCGTCGTGGGACCATATTAAGGAAATCGATGCTGCTTCGGAAGATGTTCTTTCTCTCCAAGCAGCTGCCAAAGAGATTCTGCAGCCACGGTACACCATGCAGAACTTCAACTGGTTTGACAAAAAGGGGGTAGATGGTACGCCGCTTGTCAGAACTCTGCGGACTCTTCTGACAAACCATCTGCCTGATATCTTGCCTGATGCTAGGCGATCTATATCTGCCCTTTTGGACAACATGCTCGAGTCGCGCCCCTTCGCAAATGGTAAGATGCCAGAGACGCAGCAGCAAACATAGACTAAAGTGGACTACTAATACTCTGATAGGATCGTATACTTCTCCGTTGTTTCCCATGGTGATTGAGGCAATTGCCTTCACGAATGCAACAGCTTTCTTTGGAAATAACCTCAGTAAGTCCAAATCGAGTCCATGAAAGGAACAGTTACTGATTCGGTACGCGAACAGGTCGTGACAAGGCCTTCATGACCGCCGCCATGAGTTTCATCGAGCAGACCTTGATCACAGCGGAAGTCGTGCGCCTTCTTCCCAGTGCCGTCGCGCCGTAAGACTCGATTCAGCGTGAACATAATAGGTGCGGTGTTTGCTAACACCAAACAATCAGTCTCATTGGAAACTTCATGGCCAAGAAGTTGGCCTCTGGGAAGATACTATACAATGCGTTGATACCCATCGCTGAGGAGCGCCTGGGGGAAAAGGCGCGAAAGAACCTTGGGCAGGCTGTGCCGGAGCATGTAAGCTGTACTTGCTGGGCTCTTCTTTCCTCTCTTTAACTAACAGCTGCCCATAGCATGATTGCATACAATGGGTCATGGAGAGCTCACCTCGGGCAAAGCCCTGGTCGGCCGAGCGAATAGTTCATGAACTGATGGCCCTGTGGTTTGGGTCAGTGCACATCACATCAACGGTAATATAAGACTTCATGTCCTCCAACATCACACTCAAGCTGAGTGTAAACTGTGATTAGACTGCTTGCTTCGCTCTTCACGACCTCTGTATTCACCCCGAGTACATTGAGCCCATACGGCACGAAATCGAAAGCACAGGATGGGCACAATTCGAAAAGGCGGGAGGCAAATCTTTCCCCCTGCTCGACAGCTTCATGAAGGAATCTGCCCGATTGAATCCGGTAGAGTCAGGTAAGTCGCCCAAGTAATTGCCACGCAAATATAGAGAACAGACAATGACTATCATTTCCAGTGAGTTCTCGCCGCATGGCTCTCAAGCCCTTTAAGCTATCCGACGGCTCTCGAATCGAGCCAGGCGAGTGGATCTGCACAGCTCCTCGAGGCATGATGTCGGACGCTCGTTACTACGCAGATCCGCTGCAATTTCAAGGTTTCCGATTCGTTGACCCCAAGCTGCTTGACAAGCAACTCTCTGCAGTCTCTGGTCACCGAGTTCCACAAGAAGCGCCCTCCAGCTTCACCGACGTCAACGATTGGCAGCTTTGGGGAACAGGGCGTTCGGCATGGTAAGTCAGATCGAGAGTCGAGTCACAAATCACAAGTCTCGGTCACTGGCTAACACTCTGTGTGCATTAGCCCCGGGAGATTCTATGCGACCGCCGTCATGAAGACGCTGCTTGCGCTGTTCGTCACAAAGTACGACATGCAGCTCGAAGATCCCAAGGCTGCCCGATACTTTGCATGGCGCACATTCATCTACCCCTACGCAAGCACTAAGGTTATTCTCCGCCCCCGTGCTTCTTGTATGTAACTGGCTGCGGCTTAGAGCAGGAGATATGGTGGGATAGGTGAAGGCTAGATGGAGTTTCCCTGGTTGCCTGGCCCCTGGTTTGCTGGAGCTTGGAATACATACTAGTAGAGTATGCAGTCATATAGATGTTGCAATTTGAACACCGTTCTTTTCTTAACTCACGGAAGACATGATTGTCGGATGGTTCTTGAGAGGCTGCATACCGGAGGGCGGAGTAAGTGATATAAAGGTGTTGGCTCGTACCACGAATGAGACGGAGTTGCCAGTGACAGACACGGCCGGATGTAGCTGATCCTACGGCGACAGAGCCAACAGCGTTAAAGATAATCAAGTTGGGTGTAAACCGTGTGTGCATTTGCAGTTTCTGGTGAGATCCTTCAAGCCCGCAGCCAGTCTTAAACCATCGACGCCTTTTCTCCCATCGAGCCACATAATCCTGCTCCCTTCTCTCCTTCATCCATCGCCTTTCCCTCGTCTTGCTTATCTCACTTCTTTGGGTAGTGCAAGCTTCCTTCAACTCAGCTGATCGACAACACTCTGATCACTACGCATCATGTTCGAGCACTTTGCGTTACGGCACATCCCGCCGCTGTTGGTCGCATCCGCCACGACCTTTGGAGGTCTCTGGCCCTTCTGGTCGCCGAAGAACGCCATGCTCGAGTTTGGCCTACCCGAGCGCATCGCCGAATCGCCCGCTGCGCATCCCGTCATGGTGCTCTGCTCGGCTCGGACCACTGCTCTCGGCATGCTCATGTTCGTCTTCTACCGACAAGAGAAATTCGCCGCAGTGGACACTGTCATGTCTGTCATGGGCGCGTATCTGGGCCTCGTGGATGGCTACGTCTGCTGGAAGGAGGGAATGCCCGGCAAGGCTGTGTTTCGCTTTGTCTCGGGCATGGTGATTGCCGCTTGGGGGCTGGTTGGACTGACGGAGGAAGGCTTCTGAGGCCGCAGGATCAAGACACCGAGACCCATGTCCTGTTGACCTGGTTATTGGTGCAAAATTCCAGGTGCTGAAGTGTGGATTAATGAAATAGGTTGATTAAGAGCATCGTTACACCACCCAATTCGCTTATCTTTCCAAGCTGCCATTGAAGGATGGAGGATGACTGCCGTGATGCGAGACGTCCGTGCCGACTGAATAACAGGACTCCGCCCGAGTTGTATGGCCGGCACTTGTAGGAATGTGACATCAAGCCGCCCATCGACATCATGCTGAGTTGGAAGCTGGGGAGCTGGGGAGGGCGTAGAGATATTGGTCCTTATAGCGTCATACATAGAAATCAATGCACTTAGCAAAGCGAGTCATGAGTAGGCCGTTCGTTGGAGGCTGGGCGAAGGAGGCGAGAAGCCAATGGCTGCTTTCGTCTGGGATGTGAGCGCAGACATATTATACACAGTACCATAATATCGACCGACATCTGAACGTCAAGACGAGAAGATGTCTTAAAACATTGTAGCTTGGAAATCAGCGAGTCAGTCGAGGGTCTGTCTCCATGCGAACGGCGTCTTTCACGTGCATCGAAGTACCACCAATGCAGACATCCCATGATGATCTCGGATTTTGACAGATGCAGGTGCATGTGCTCACCAGATGCAGCATCAGCTACTCAGCGAAGACGTCCAGACGCATGGATCAAAGCGTAGTCCACTACTCATAGCGATTGTAATTCTTTTTTACACATACATCGAGAGAGTATGTTGGGCTTTGGGTGGCCACCCCACAGAGTATAGATCATCAAAGAATGACAGCGAAGAGGAAGAGCATCGGACTTTGATCACGGCGATGGCAGAGAAAGTCTAGCAAAGCTGGAACGCAGGAAGTCGGTCGACATACTGAGAACTTGGTGCTAAACGCGGCTCAGCATTGGAATACGCTGATGGCTGACAGTAAAATTGTCCAGCGCATCACCGATATGATGCATTAAGCCACTCTGTGAGAGGATTGGGGGCGCCTATATAGGCTTATGCACAATGCCGTAACATCATGCACATCTGGACCTGCCATGTGTCTCTTATGGACATATTGATAGAGTCTCTTCCGAATGGCTGGCTGAAACTATTTTCTCTTGGTCCACGTATTCATGTCGGCCCCTCTATAAGGCGGCTTACTGGATGTTATTCGAACATTGGGTTGTCGGGCATCAAGTTGGCTTGGACTTATGCAATAGCGCACTTGCCCTGCAGTTCATGCCCATTGATTCTCTTTTTCTGCATTATCGGGAAGAACAGTTATCATTTTCTACTGGTATATGAGTTCACATGCCCCCGAGATTGATCTGAGCCATGACCGTCTGCTTTGATGGAAATGACTGGTCTACCCAAGATATCTGGGTCTAAAGAAACGGCATCCTATTTGGTCGTCCAAGAGCTGTGAGAGCACAAGTCTTTTCCCACACGCACATTGGAGCAGATAAAATGGACTCTTCAAAGTATACCTACGAAGACTACACCATCGGCTGGGTCTGCGCCCTGCCGAACGAGCAGGCAGCCGCAATGTTCATGCTCGACGAGAGACACGAGGACCTCCCCAACCCATCAGGCGATTACAACGCGTACACCCTCGGAAGCATCGGCAAACACAAGGTTGTCATTGCCGGCCTACCCAAGGGCAGATACGGCAACACCAGCTCAGCAACAGTGGCAACGCGCATGGTGTCCACGTTTCCCAACATCAAGTTCGGCTTGATGGTGGGCGTCGGCGGTGGCATTCCCCAGAAAACCCGCCTCGGAGACGTGGTCATCAGCTGTCCTACTGCCTCGGAGCCGGGCGTTGTCCAGTGGGATATGGGCAGAGCAGAGCACAGCGGCAACTTCAGGAGAACTGGGTCGTTGGCTCCTCCGCCAACGTCTTTGCTCACAGCCTTGGGAAAGTTTGAAGCCGATCAGATGGCTTCGCGCACAAAGATGCTCGGGTACCTGGATGATATGAGATGGATGCCGAACGTTCGGAAAAGCTTCTTAAAGTCAGATTCGCTCAAGGACGTCCTGTACAAGTCGGAATACAGCCATGTTGAGGGAGACGATTGCACCCACTGCGACCCGAGGATGGTGGTTGATAGAGAGCCGAGAGAAGAGGACTTGGTGATTCACTGCGGTCTCATTGCATCGGGCAACCAAGTCATCAAGGACGCCATGCTTCGCGATAGCCTCTATCGGAAGTTTGATGAGAACCTCTTGTGCATTGAGATGGAGGCTGCGGGGCTGATGAACGAGTTTCCCTGTATCGTCATCCGAGGGATCTGCGACTATGCCGATTCTCACAAGAACAGAAAGTGGCAAGACTATGCCGCAGCAGTTGCATCAGCGTGTGCAAAGGCGTATCTGACAGTGGTGCCGGCGGGCGAGGTTGATAAGCTTCAACGAGTTCAAGGCAGGTTGACATTTGGAAGATCCCTCTTGGTAGATGTGTGCCCTTGCTAACATTTTCGAGCAGTTTCCATCACTCCTGATGTTTTCAGCGGCGCAAAGAACCTTGTGACGAATATCTGGGATAAGAAAAGCATCTTTGCTTCATCTGGTATGTTTCCCTACGCGTGCCTGCTCTATGCCATTGTTTATTGACCTGTTATAGCTAAGAAGGGGCCTTCTGACGGGGTCGAATCCGCCGATAAAGATGGATTGTCGGAAAATTCGACACCAGCCACTACTCAGTTGGATCAGACAGGCTCTGATGCCAAGTCTACAGAGCTCCCTGATGCCAAACCGGGAGTATCTGGCCTCGGCAGCAACGCGCCTACAAAACCAGATGTGGAATCATGGTTCCGAGAAGCATCAGTCCATCTAGCGAAGATGGTAAAAGAGGGACAGGTTGAGGCTGCAATGGCAAATTTACTCATGGGATTGAATCAACTGCAGATTTCCCAGAAGGGAAAAGGCATTCCGAAAGATGTCCATCCCAGCAACATCCCACAAACACCTCCAATGTCGCCAACGGGGGCAAACAGTCTGTCCAACGAGTTCAACGGATGTGCGGAGGATCCTCGTGGGCTTGCATCGAGAAGAAGCAGCTGCGTTCCCACGCAGTCTCCTCCAGCATGCAGATACAAAGATGCCTCTACTCAGACTAAGCCTCTGCAGGAACTGCTGCAAGAACTGCTGCAGGAAGAGCAGGGAAACCCGCCTTTAGCGAGGAGCCAGACGTTTCCTAGTGCTATGCGCGTTACCCAAGCTGCCTTCTCTCAAAAGCCTGCTCAGGCATTTCCTCAAGCATTTCCTCAAGCATTCCCTCACGCATACCCTCAAGCATCTTCTCCATCACCTTCTCAACCACCTCCATATACCGAGTATGGCAGCAATGCGTACGACGGTGACCATGGGGCATTGGACAACAACTATTACCAAGCGCAACCACCACGACCTCCCGTGTTCCGAGGGCAGTCTGTTCCAGCGAATGGCTACGGGAATCTCTACCAACAAGATTACAATGCTCGTCCGATTGCACGGGGACACAGCTTAGATGAGGGAGCAAATGGCTTTCAATTTGCAAACGCAAATGGCTACATGAACCCACACGGCCCTCAGATGCATCCGAGCTACACCGGGGTCCCTACACATATGGCCCACCCCCAGCAGCACACAGCTGGAAATTTCCATCAAGGTCAAGGATATGGTCCTGTGGAATGGAATCATGGAAACCCTGCCCAGAATCGAATGGTTCAAGGTCACAATCAAGCCGCCTACCCTCAGTACCAGTACGCACCGATTGCAGAGCTTGATGCATGTAATTGTGACGGCTGTTACGATGACTACTAGAGAGTTTGAGCCTTGTCTAAGGAATTGTATGTGATAGAATACAAGCACACCGAATGTATTATGAATCCAACACGGTCTGCGTGACCCTTCTCGCAATGGCCTATGAATGATAGTTTGTGAGAACTGTTCATTCTCCTGTTTCGCCAAGTATCTCACAGCATAGGTACCTAGGAAATGCTGAAGATACTCCCGTTAATACTTTGTACATCTACACTTATTGTGTCTTGAAGTTGTTTGCTCTTCATTCTTGCAATTACATGATAGATTTTGAGCATCGTAACATAGCTAGTATTGTTGTATTTACTCACGAATAGGTAGGGACCAGTCAAATCGGTCGATATTCTGGCTCGGATCTCTGGCATTGTCTACTGATGGCGAAATCCACGTGAATTGGCGCCACCTCGCTACACGATAATTCTCAGAGCCTCTGAGTATATTTCCGTACTGTGGCTGAATCAAGGTTTAGGGCCCTCCAAGCTAAAGGTCACAGTCAAGGTTCGAAGTAAGCTTAATTATTATGATGAACGTCGCCAAAAGTGGTCATATTAGTGGGCTTAACGTTCATAGATTCAAGGCTGCAGGAGCCTTGCTTGGCTTGTTATCACATCATGGAAGCGCCGAATGGAGGCCACGCGACGCTCTACCTCGATTGCACTTGGAGTTTCTACGCAAGAGTGGCAGTACTCGAATAGATCATGCCTCGAACAGACTTCTCTGAAATACGAAAGGACTGAACGCTCGGATCAGAAGCTTCAATACAAGACAGGTACGTGGCATCGGTCAATAGTGCATAGTGGCTCGGAAGCTCCTCCTCCAGATGTGGGAATGTTGGCCATCCCCTAGAGTTTCAAGCTCGGCGTCAAACCACCTTTGTATATAACGAGATGTTATCCTGGTGCTGGAAATGATAGACTCACCCAGCTGCCTTGAGTGCTGTGCTAAGCCGCTTCCACTGCTAAGCTTTTGGGCTCTCGTGGTTGCTATACCCAGTTCATGATGGCTAAGGAGTATACACCATTTACAGAAGGGACTTCGATACTCAGTACGCCTCAGACTATGCCGCCACCTCAAACTCTATGATAATAGTATTGAATAGTCTCTGATGAGATCTTCCAACGAGATCCCTCTACAGAAGCCTATAAAAGGGGGCCTTCCCTCCCAAAAGAAAAAAAAAAAAAAAAAAAATGAGAAGATACCTTCATCCCCCAGATATATCCCATTCTCAAAACAGCTCCAAGAATCTTTTAAGCAACATCATAATCAACCTATCACCAAGATGTCTGCTGAATGCCCCCGTTTCGAAACTGCCAAGGACAGGGTCCTTTGGGAACTGCACCGCTTGGAGGGCATGGACGCAGTGATAGAGCTCCTGGACAACATCAACAACAGGAATCGTCTCCTCTGCATCCAGGGAGCAATTGTTCCCGAGCAGCGCTTACACACGGTTATCCTTGGTAATACGGGAAGAGGTAAGTCCCCAGCTGCCCGGGTCGTTGATATAGTACAACAAAGGACTGACATTGTCGGAACAGGGAAAACCAGCGCTGGCCAGCTATTTGGGCAATACATGCGATGCACCAGCATGGTCGGTTCAAACACCTACAAAGAGGTGACTGGATCGAAGCTCCTGCGCATGGGGCCTAAAAGAATCGAGCAATTGTTCCGCCCGCCTCCCGTGGATGCAACAGTCAGACGGCGCAGGCTTCTCGCCATCAACGATATGCGTCCCACGCAGAATCCTGCCATCGACGTGAATGATCCCGCCAATTTCACCCTCAATCGGGGTTGCCTCCATAGAGGGGGCGTTCTATTCATTGACGACGCGGACCAGCTCGTGGGATCGCATGCCGGAAGAGCCGGGCAGATAATCCTCCACATCCTCCAAGAAGCAATGGACACCCTTATTGGCGACTTGCTCATCGTCTTTGCGGGTTGTGAAGAGGAGATGAAGCCCCTTTTCGAGCAAAACCCAGCCTTGAAAGCCCGGATTCCTCACATCGTCCGTCTTGAAGAATTCAGCGGTTCTCAAATGCTCGGGATGCTCCTCGACCTAATCGACGAGAGGTTCCAGGGAAAGATGACCGCTGAAGGCGACCTGGATGGAGAATTTATGCAAGCGGCTGTTCGTCAAGTAGGCCGAGGGCGAGGCGAGAAGGGATTTGGCAATGCGTATGCCGTTAAGAACTTGCTGGATGAGATATGCGCACGCCAAGCAAAGAGAGTCTGCGCCAAGTACGATCTCAGGGATGTGTCCCCTGGCAGAGATGTACTCTTCCATCTCATAAAGGAAGACATCCTTGGGCCTGATTCCTGAGATAAAATGACCATCGAGAAAGAGGCTTAGGAATGGTCTTCGAGCCGCAGATTCTCTGCGACACTCTTGAGATGGAATTGGTCAGTGTATGTTTGTTTGGAGATCAGGCGGTGACGTTTTTGCAAAGAATAATTGGACTGCTGTTTCATGTTTGAGGCCTGGCTGTTTATTCTTATATATGATTAAAGAGCGGAGTTTTCAGGCCCGTTTACCTCTCTATTGATCGGAGCAGTTACCTAGTCAGAACTCGGTTTTGCAATAGAGCGGACGCATGCTCACGACTCTTTCAGTCCGTCATCCAGCCCTTATTTCCTGATTCCATCCCTTAACAGTTCTAAACATTGGCCAATACGGTGTACAGCTCGCATAATAATTACTTTCAATTAGATTCAAGATCACAACAGTTGACTGACTATCTCTATACGTAAGCCACAACTCTACCTCTCATGTAGTAGCCTTTGCTCCTTTGCCTAGTCAGCGCGCAGGACAGAGAAAGAATTGGGTGTAAAGACACCATATGGATCAGCTGCCTTCCTGGCCCTCTGAATCCTCTGGTACTTTACCTCATCCTCGTAGTAGTGTGGCCAAACGCTATGAAGATTATAGCTGCCCCATGATCCCCAGAGGACGCGTCGATCCTGCGTGCTGAAATACTTGTTCTCACCAATACCCTGCTCTTCGTTGATAGCCGCCCATGCCTCTGCCTGCTCCTTGTGACCGTTTCCAGGAACATAGAAGTTATCGAGAATCAAGACCACTGTCGAGTCTCGCCACTAATTGTTTCATCAGCTGGCAACATTATCCTCTCCAAGATTTTGATTACTTACACTGTATGCGCTTCTTCCATCGTCGTTGACCCTAAAGCGAGAGTTCTTCCCGCCATACGGCTGTACTTGAGCAGCGATATAATGTCCCGTGGTCTTGACCACCTCGTCCACGCGTCCGGCCGTCCACTTCACCCAGCCATTCTTGCTCAGGTTCGTGGCAGCGGTTAGGTAAGTACGCTTCACATAAGGAAGATTGTATTCACGATCTTTGCGGAAGATCCACTCAGCTGTCAGTTCCGACATGGGTCTGACTCTATCGTCGGTGATCACGGCACCGTCCTTGAGCTTGCCAAACCACGTATCATCTGGTTTGTCGATGGTGCTGAATGGCACCCACTGTGCATAGATGACGATCAAAGACATAAGTGAAGTTCCGTCCAGTCTGCAAAGCCCAGACTTTTGCTTAGTAAGTCGCTTCAGGTCGAAGATGCCGTCGAGAGGGTAGTCCTCACTGATCACTGTGATGCACAGATCATAGTTGCGAGGGAAGTCTTCGTCGTCGTTCATCTCGGCCAAGACTTGTAGGAGCTTCTGAAGAGATTCTGGTGTGTACATATGGAGACACTTGAGGCCTCGGGAGCCCCGATAGTCTGCATCTTGATAGACCTTGAGCGTGATGTGGGTCAGGACTCCCAGATTTCCAGGGCTGCCGCCAGTCCAAGCGAAGAACTCGTCAGGGTGGCTCGCTGGAGTGATCTTTTTCTCGGTGCCGTTGTGATCTATGAACTCAAGCTCGACAATATGGTCTCCCATCAATCCAAAGCTGCGGCCCAGTTGACCATAGCCCCCAGTTTGAGCATGACCGCCCATGCACACAGACTGGCACTGCCCATGCGGAACGAACAGATGGTTCGCGCCCAAGAAAGAATTGAACTCGAGCAAGCTCCAGCTGACACTGACGCGAACATGGGTTTCATCGTCAAGTTGTATGAGCGACAGATCTTGTCCGGGGACCTTGAAAGTGTTCCGAAGGTCTAGCTGGATGTTGGATTGACCTGTGGACGAGGCGCCGCTGTACTGATGGCCGCCACTGCGTATGGCTATAGCTTTGCCATTTTCCTTGGCGTAGGCAATTACGGCCTTGATGTCCTTGGAGTTCAAGGCACGGACGATGTGTCCAGGATGCATATCGTGATCATTTTCATGAGTGGACGTGGCGTACTGTTGCCTCCATTGCTCATAGCTCGCAGTGCCAATTTCGCTTTGCTCGCCGCTGATGCCAGGAATAGGCGCCATTTCCTCGAATGAAGCGTCAGATGTTTGGCTATGTCAAAAGAGATTTGTATTTACGATGAATATTGTCCTCGAGATTACAATCTGGAGCGACATTGGACGGGCAATTTATACTTGAAGCTTTGCTCTTTCTTTTTCCATTCTCATAGGTAATCAGACAAAAGACTCCTTTTCAACCATCATATGATTAACAAGCCACAAACTCAGAGATCAGTTATGCCGAGTTGCTGATGAAGTTTGTGATACAGAGATGCGTCCACCCCAACTGTGGTATCATCTGAGGCTCTGCAAAGGTGATGGTACCACCATACATAATCAGTCTCCAGCGTATCGGGTGTCGTCTGGGCATGTTTGTGTAGCCGCACTAAGATTCTGGTAGCCATTTCCGGCAATGCGTGGACTGTGATAGCCTCATTCACGCATTCGTGAGCGTCAGCCTTGGTTTTATACGAACGCTTACTCCCTCTGTCGGTCACATGGAATGTCCGTCTTAAGTTCTGCCATCGTTGCCACGGCCTGTGTAGCCAACAGTTACTTCATGCCGCTGACCCAACTCCGTTCGCCTGACTTCTGACAGAAGGTCCACAAAATGGTGACATGCCGAGTTGGAAGAGCATCGTTGGAGAACTGATAGGAAGGAATGTGACGGGATTGGGCAGCCAGGATGCAGCCAGGATGCAGCCTGACGACATGGCGGCAGAACCCACACGGCTCTGCATGCATTTCAGCTGGCCATGGGACAGACGTGCAGTTCGGTGATACCTGATCAAGGGAATTATTTGTCAGAAGCAGATTTCTCAGAACCAACAGCCGAATTGCAGTTCATCTATCTACTCTTCCAGCAGGTTGTGTCGTGCTGTCAAGAAGCCAGATATCGAAGAGCAAAGACCCCTGCCACTTTCAACCGTATCAGAAGCATATCAAATACGACCAAATAATAATGAGTTATCTTACACGAAATGACACCCAGCATCCTATGCTTGTCGAGAGTCTCCGTTTGTTCGCCACCATGCATGCTCCCCATAATTCTTCCCCATTCGTGGAGGAAATTGAGTGCCTTCAGCCGCATGTGTACCTAACTCCCGCCCTTCTCGTCCATGCTCTTCACCCCAGTCCATCGAAGCCGCTGCTGAGAACCAAAGATTGCCGATTGAAACCCCATTGGAACAAGAGAGAATTGTGAAATATGATAGTGTCTGACATTCATGAACCACCGCTGCCAGTAGAAGTTCCCACAAACACCACAAGCACCGCAGCGTACGTGGCCGTAGAGACCAGCGTGTCGACATTAGAAACGCGGACGCCAAACGACAGAAGCAGAGAGAAGATGATGACGGCAACAGACACCGTCACCAAGCTCTTTGTTTGCGACGGGTCGAGCGTCATGATGATCATGGGCGCGACGAGAAACACCGGCCCGATGAAAGAGATGATGAACCGGGCGAGGCGGTCGACAAACGGCGAGACTGTACGGGGAGGCTTTCCTTCGGGGAACGCGCCTTCGCCCTTTTCGAGGCACTTTGACCGCGAGAAGGCGAGGTTGTCGGGGATGTACTTCATTAGAGATTCTCGAATGGGGTCGATGTTTGCGTTGACGTCCTGACAGTACGCGTAGTGCGTCTCGAACGGATCGTCAAAGTCCAGCTCGGAGTCGAAGAACCTCTGTAGCAGAAGTTTGCGATGCGGGATGCTCGTCTTTTCCACGCTCTTCATGTTCCTGAGAAACTGATAGTCGCGTATGGCCGTCGCTTTTTTGCCCTTGTGTCAGCAGCCGCTTCATTTCAACCGTAGCACTTCGCATGAGGGGTGCGTATAGGCCTTACCATAATGCTTCAGGCCAACTCTGAGTTCCTCGAGTGACTCGGCATCTGATACATGCTTCCGCTGAATGCGCTTCTTTAGTGCCACCAGCTTGAGCTGTAGCTCGACGATATTGAGGCGCTGGAGAAACTCCAGACGGAGGAAGTGAAAGTCCTCCTCCTCATTGAGAGATCTGACCACATAGTCCAAGATCTTTGAGCCCTCTCCTTCGGCCTCCATGGGCTGCCACTGTGATTGTAGAGTAGACTTTGGATAAACTCCAGCAACTCGAATATTGGCCATTTTCCGCGTGAGGACATGCCTTTTCTTTTCATACAATGACATACAGAGCTCCGTGACCCGTCCCCCACCCAAGAGAGGGGCGCGGCTCTTCTTCTCGTCATTCTATGCGTCCGGGAGAAGCAAATCAGCAGCGTACACGTCGAGCTGCATACAGCATACTGCAGAATTGCACAAGGCCATCAACTCAGCAGCCTCCATGCATGTATATGAGAAGCATCTCCCCTCTAACCCCGCTTTTCGCTGAAGAAGACAGCTCCCACGAACTTTCCACAAGCCACCCATTGCTGCCGGGGGAGCACGGGAGACAGGAATAATGATGAGTGCAGTGTCTTCTTCATACTCAGACTCGCGCGAGTTGCTGGGCGTCCCTAGAGACGCTCATTCGTTCAGATCGTCTTACCACAGGTTAGCCAGCAAATGTCGTCGCAAGGCCTCCTCTCCATCGATTCCGACGACGACAGCGCTCGTCTCTGCGGCGTTGACTTCAGCAGCGCCGGTCGTCAAATTCGAGGCTCGCCGGCCGCGCGTGTTGTTCGTGCCAGAGACTGCGACCAAGCCTTCACATTCCACCAGCACACTTTCACATTCCCCTTCCGTGAGCCAGGCATCGTTTACCACGGCTGTCGAGGGTCAAGGTGCCCCTCTGCCGACTCCGACTCCGTCTCCAGGCCCTACTCCAGCCCGCGTGCGCCCTCGCATTTCCATCCGCACAACTTCCAATGATGAAGGCTTTCCTCGCAAGACTACGGCTGCTGCCAAAGAAGCACTTTGGATGAACAGCAGCAAAGATTCACTAGTCTCTCCAACACCATCATCTGCAACACCAGCGTCACCGACATCGCCATGGCTGGAGGTCCCTACTTCACCCCACAGTCCTCGGCGAAATCGCTTTAGTCGAGGACATTCACCTATCCGCCCTCTGCGCAATGCATCTCAAGACTCTCACACTTCGCAAGCTTCCTTCAAGACCACAAAATCCCATGTGTCGAACAACTTTGAGTACATCTTACAAGCCATGGGAAGCATGGTCGACGATCACGTCAGACAGCTGCGAGGCTCATTTCTTTCCCCTGTTAGCAGGTCATCGAGACTGCCAAGAGACCATTGTCGGGAGACTCTGGTTTCCTTTCAACAGGAGATTCACGCCCTTCTCCAGAGGCACGCTACGGATGGTACAAATAGTGAGTATCTCCAGACCACCCATTTAAGAGTAGTTCGGATGCTGAACTTGTCGTGTTTTCTAGCTCTCCGCTACCGTTCGCTCTGGGAGCTGTATCATGAGCTAAGAGAGAAGCTTGTCAGCTTTCAACGTGACCTGTCAGCCGAGAGGATCAGTGACAACTACTGTGAAGATTTCTGTCAGAGTATTGAGAGTTATAAACATCGGCTGGCTTCTTCTGTAGCCAATACGTGGTGACTGGGAAAAGGGAAAAGAAGCAGGAGCAAAATTGTATTTGACGACTTAATTGTACGAGTTATGTTGGTTTGTGCTTGTCATACACCTAGCTGGCACGCCAAAACTGGCCCGTACCTCGGTGACTGCAAGAAATATTCAATTTTCTTTGCAATATCATATCCAAACTTTGAATGGCAAGATTTTCCAAGCGCTGAATAGAAGTCCACTTGGCGTCGTGACTCAATTGCGAATGATGCGCCTTGAGAAGAGAGATCCAATCAGATATGCGAAATATGGCTTATATTCATTGTATAATCGCGTGTGCTATGCGTTACTCAAGACATTTTCCGGTATTGTTGAGTATTCTGTTTCAACCATATAAGAAGTAGCCTCACGATGAGAAGCAGGCACAAGGGTTCGCTGAATATCGATGCTGATCATCTAACTATCTGCTCTGTCGCTCTATGTTCAAGAGTGCCCATCCATATCAGGCCTTGTGAAATTATCACTGTCCTCACTGAGCGTTGCAAAGAGCCTGGAAAGCAGGGAAAGCCTGGTCTGGAGTACAGATGTTAGTATTTCTCTCCTCTCCCCAAGTCGTCATGTTTTGCATTCCACATGTTGAAGTCAGGACACCTACTCTCAGCAACATCCTCTCCACAAGCGGCAATCACACAAGACTGTCCCGAAGCAGCAACCGCGTCAGCGCTGTTGCAAGCGCAGGCGTAGTCCATAGCTGCGCAATCGGTGACAGAGGTGATGGCGGTTTGGAAGCAACCAAGTGCACAGCTGGGGATGTCGCTAGCAGTCTGGCCGTAGACTGCTGCGGCAAAGGAAACGATTGCGAGAGCGAACTTCATCTTGAAAGACGGGGTGAATGTTTTTGTCGTTGTGGGTAAGAAGCTGTTAGGTGTGAGATTGTTTGTTCGGTGCTTGATCTGAGAATATCCAACGGCGAGAGACCTGTCTTTATAGTCACTCATGACAATACGCCACCGAGTAAACCCGTCACCGCCCTGTTGGTATCCATGTTCTGGTCTTTGAGTGTTCCACTTGAACCTTGACAGATATGGAGATTCTCCGTGAAGATGATGATGCAGATCTCATTTCTTCTGCTGCAGTCCTCCCATGCTCCCCATCATCCAGACGAGCATGCTGCAAACATTGGTGCTTGACCACACGGAAACCCCGTCCCTCGGATTCCTCGGTCACTTTTTACTGTGGTTTACATCGGCTCCGGTGTGAGTCCCTCCGTAAGGTATGATTGACTCAGAACGTCGAAGTCTTGAAGAGGAAAAAGCAATGTTTACCCCTGAAGACGCAGACCAGAAAACTCAAATCATGACTTCTATCAACGTCATCTATAAGCCACCACCACTCTACATACGCTCAGGTATACAGAGACTTATCACCTTTACACCTCGTCCTTACATAACGATTACTACCTTCTCGTTTAACTTCAGGTAATAGTCTCTCGTCGGCCACTTTGAGGATCAATTACAAGTCCTGTCCCATCGGCTACTTTCGATGTCAAGTACGAATATTCCGGGAGTAACTTTCTTCCCATTTGGCTCCAACGGGACCATCAAAAGATTCCCCGCGCATTAACTCTCTACTATATGCAGTTGATCGATGTCCCCCAATACCGATGTTAGTGTCGGCAGATGTCAACACTAGACGTGGCCTCATCACATACGGAATATTACTTGCCACGTTCCATGCACCCCGGATAGAACCGGGGTCAGTTGCCATTTCCCGAAGCCGGATCTACATTACACTCCAGAGTACCTCCGTAGGATATCCCAGTCCTGAGTGTGGGGTATGAAGTCGGACGGGGCCCGAGAGAGGCCGACGATCCGTGGATCGGTAGAGGAGAAGTACTTGGATGGGGATCGAGAGATACTTGTTGATATAGAGCTGCCAGTGTCGTCGCAAGGCTATGAATGAACATGAACTGAGTGTCCATATCTCAGAAACACCTACATGTTATGCTTTAATAGAATGGTAGAGAATGTATAAGAGGCGGAACGTATTATGAACGCGAGTGTGATAACCGTGCCTTACCATGCCCTTGTTCTGCATACCGTGTCCTCGCGTCATCTACGAGATTGCAGAATCGGCGGTGCAATTCCAAGTTGAGAGCAGAAAGTAATCCGGGGTAGTTTACGGAGAAACCTGAACCTGTGCAGATGAGCGGCATCGCCGAATGCACAAGTATTTGGCTGGGGTCTTTGCCGACCATCCGCGCCGTAGTGTTCCCCATGAGTCAACCTAGATGATAACGAATGGTGAGGTGACTTTGTCTGCGGGCTGCCGCGCTTGACGAAAATGTCATGATTCCATGTAAACTCAAGCCATGACCTTTCGGGGAGGGAGACTCCTCCTTCATCCTAGCTATGTACATATCTGCTACAACACGTCTTACTCACGAGATGGATATCCTGCCACTCACTATAAGTGGTAGGAAAGCCAGACCGAGATATTCCATCTTCTTCTTACGAAAGACCAACTACCTCATAGTTCCAGTTGCAAGTAGCGTTGGAGCTCTGTGCTGCTACCTGCTTTGTCCCCGTGGCTGTAGCAACCACCGAGCCAGCGCTATTGACGACTTGGATATACTGCCCCCCGCCAACGCTCAATCCTGGGACAGCACGATAGTTGAGCCCAGTAGAGCCAGCAAAGCTGCCAATGAGCTGGTTGTTACTGTACACCTTGATGGTGTAGCCATTCGACGGCAGTATAACAGCATAGTTGACCGTGTCCTGACCCTGCTGGTAGTTCTGGATCGACGGCGAACAGCTGGCGCTCGTCAGCAACGTCCGGTACCACAATGAACCAACGGGAGCTGATCCAGGAGGCAGAATCTGGCTGCCGCTGGTGGCCGTGCCGCTCTTATATGCCTTGATGAAAGGCGTCACCAGCTGCTGCCATCCGGTGTGGTCGAACCCATTCGCGTAATCACCAATTGTCGAGCCTGCAATCTGTTCCGGGAAGAAGTTCCCAACGTAATGGCCCTCACCCGCGTCGTTCCATGTGATTAGTTCTACAAGATCGGGCTTGAGTGCCAGGACTTGCTCAAAGCGCTGCGGCAAGTTGACTTCGCCGATGCGATACCAGTCCTGGCCGGCGCCGAGGTACTTGAACTGGAAGCTAGACACGGCTGTTGACATGTTAGTTGACTTAAATAAAGTATAACAGATATTGGGATGAATGCTCACGCATCATGAAGACTTTGTTGGCTGCGTGTGCCTGCTGAAGAAGGTTCTGGTCAACGGTGTCTGACACGTTCGAGATGGTGGTACCTGGGTCAGGCCATGCCGACTCCCAGCTAAAGACACCATCAACAGAAGGATAGCTGGAAAAGAAATTGTCCGGCCAGCCGCTCCAATCGCCAAAACTGGGAACAAAGTACGGGTTGATGCCCTGAGCTTGCAGAGGCTGTTGAAAGCCCGACACCCAGTCCGAGTTTGCAATGAAGCCACCGTCATATGTGCTGACAAAGGGCCGACCGTTGATGGTGTAGTATGACGGGCGGGAAATGTAGTTGAGCAGAAAGGGTGGGATTTGCGACGGCGTGATGGTCCGCCAGCTCATGTCGAACGACATGAAGAGTTTGAAGCCGTTCTGATCTGCTGCATCAAACAGGTACTGCGTCGCATTTAGCGCCCATGGGGACGTGATGTCGTGCGTGTTGAGCGCAAAAGCGTCAAAGCCGACTGCTTTTGCGTCTTTGACATCTTGAACTGCTTCATCTGCGGTCATGCTGCCAACCATGTAATGCGCGAACCTAGAAAACGGAAGCCTGAGATCAGTATCGGTTGTTCCCAGTTTTGGAATTCAGTAATTGCACGTACACTGCTCTCGGCACCGCAGTCGACGTTGGCCCGCTTGACATGCTTGACTTTGTGGAGGTTGATCTGACTGTCGTCTGAGCCGATGAAGTAGTGGTCTTCGATGCAGGAACCGATGTGGCCGGGCTGCCCGTTCCTTTGCTCACCTGTAATACACAGTTAAGGAAGAAGCTTCGCGTTGCGACAAGACTCGCCACTTACCAATGAGGCAGTAGAATAGCCAGAAGGAACCGAAGGCACGCAAACGCCAGCTACAGATCCTCCAGGGATGAACGCTCCAGTCAGGCCAACCTCGCAGCAGAATCCGTTTCCGAAACTCCCTGTCCACAACGACCAGGCGGGACTTGCGCAACTGGGCGCACCTTCAACACTACCCCGACAGTTGCTTGCTATTGAGAAGAAGAAAGAAAGCCAGTTTTAGTACGTCGCTGTTGTCGTTCAACTTCACATACAACTCACTTGTAGGGCAGCAGGCAGTCACTTCTCCGTTTCCGGTCGCCTGGCAATGTGAAGTTGCAGGGCAGCAGGACCCGTTTCCGCATGATTGGGTTCCGGAAGGGCATGTAGAAGATTGCAAGGACCAGCCTTGGCCGGCGACAGCCCGGTTCTGGAGAGAAGAGACCACGGCCGAAACAGCCGGAGACGCAAGGGTTCCCGCAACAATAAAAGAGACCAGAGCCCTCATCGTTGCTCGAAAATGGCAGATGATACTGTAGACCGAAGAGCTCTCAAGAGCTTGCAATTTATGTTACATCCCTTCCGTCCTTGCAGACATTCAGGCTTATATAGGTATGTCTCCAAGTGCATCCTACACGTATTCGGGACTCAACTCCTGGCAATATTGCTCCGGGCACAGAGAAGCATCCACTAACCTCATTCTGTCTATGCCGAGCGCAGGAACGAATACCGATGCCGAGAATCCTCCCAACGCACATCTCGATCGGAGTTGCGAAGGACAATCCCTTAGCATCTTCTTGGATGGGATTGCCTTGAGCAACAGAGCACGAAGTTCGGACAAAAGCACCCCGCATTCTCGCTTCACGTGGGCCCGAATCGGCCCGCCTTTGATGCTAACGGCCCGTGGGATTCGAATTCCTGGAGAGCTTCTAGGCTGTTGTGTACGTGTATTCAGCCCCCCATTACATCCGTTTATTTTCCATATAGTATACCATAACTGACGCGTCTCTACGTGAATTGTCAAAGTCAGGCGGTAAATGCAGGTACGAGGCTCTGAGAACAGAGCAAGCAGTTGGTCCATATATGTAGATCCATCTGTGAAGTGCTACAGCATCTTCCCAGATGGATGATGGGGTGTGGAGAAGATCCTTGCATGACACCCTAAACCCTGCCAGATCCATCTACAGGCACCTTAGCATACGGAGAAGATGTACATATATAGTTGTCCTGCCGCGAGGAAGCAGCATACTAGCTGTCTTTTGAGACCAAGCGTCTATGCATAGACTCGGTTAACGATTCCTGGAACACGGCTCATATGCGACGGAAACTGAAAGAATCCTTTCGCGACGAGCCGTCTCCGTTGAACGCAATCGGCCAATTTTACTCGTACTCGTACTATGCTTCGCTCAACCTGGATGCTGGCCAAGATTACGGCCTGCGGGGCTTTGCGACGCAGTCCGGTGGCTATTGGGAATCCTGTGGCTTGAGGGTACAACTACATTTCTCTTGCCATGGTGAGTGATGAGACACTGCTCGGGCAGTCGAGCTGAGAAGCCGTATCAAACAGCCTACATGCTATCGCCGTCAGCGGGCTACACTTGCCAGCTACCCCAGAAGAGAAGGACAATCAACAATTCCAATTACCCAATAGATGCGCATTTGGTTACCGTCCTACATACAACATACAAAGAGAATAAGACCAGAAAGGGACGAAATTGCCGAGTAGTAGTTTCCTTATTGTTTCTTTTACACCTTTTTCATCACCAAGACAACAGCTTGGGATGTTAAAATTGCAGCCAAGCAAGCTGCTCATCATCCGTAACAAAGACTCTTCAGCGAGGTCGCTATTGCACTTCTTCCTCCAAGTCACTGGTTACTAGCATAAAGCTACCCTTGCATCAATCAAAACATCCCGGCACCTCATATCGTGCCTATGAAGAGAAATGAAAGATTGATGCCGTATCGAGGACACAGATAGTCATGATTTCCAAACTTATTCGCGGCAGACTATTGAGCAAAGTACATGTACGTCTTATCCGAAACAGCAGAAGGGTAGCCGACTCGTAAGTCATTGACATATTGGCCCAACTATTTTTCTGACAGTTCTTGATCGTTGATAGTTGATGTCAAGTCCAAACTGGGGTTCTGCTATCGTTTCCGGCTCGCCCTGTCGTGACATCTCCTGGAGGGATATGGAGTGATACAGCAACGAGCCAGATGTATCAGCCTACAATATTATCTTACCTAAGGTACGCACGGTATGTAGCCTACTAGTACCTGCGTAGGTCAGATCTCACTCCTTTTCTCCAACTGCCCTATTTTAGCTTATGATAAAGTCTGATGGATTAGATCTCGATCACGCCTAGTACATAGATCCAAGGGGTCACGGTGCGGCTGAATGTGCTGATTAACTTTTATTATATTCGGTAGTTGTACTGGAGGTTTGAAGCTGAGCACTAAACTGCAGCCCTTGGCTCCGACTTGTACCAGCCTCCCCCTTCGCTGTATGCCCCATTTTCCATTGCACGACACAGACAGATAACTCCTGACCTTTCTAGCAATCATTCAGTCTATCGTGCTCATTGACCAGGCGCAAACAAATCGATTCTCTTTTTGTCCATCCCTCAGGAACAGTGAAGTCATCGGTTCCATCCGGTCTTTGCAGGGTAGCGAGTACGTGACACTGTACGGGACCAGTTACCGACGGGGCACCTCTCCGCATTCTGATGGACGAATCACAGCGTTGCGAATGCCCGGTTTGCCACTCAGCTCCAGCGGTTCAGCCGCCTGCAGCCGCTGTTGTCTCACTGTAGCTTATCGATACCGAATGAGGTCACGACGGGGTACCGGTGCTGCTGCGGCCCAGTAGCGGATACCTGGCGGTACACCGACGCCCGGGTCGCGCCTCGATCCGGAGATCCGCATGCCGATCGTCCGTCAGTCCAACGTCGAGTGAAGCACGTCTCGCTTTCCACCCTGTTCCATTCCTTGCTTCTGTGCATCATCGACAAAACCCCCCTCAATGGGCTGCAACTCCATCCACGACCCGTCTGTGATGGCTCACCAGCTCGACAGCTAGCATCATCTACAGTCAACTGCTCTCCCACCACCTCAATCATCACTTGATCCAGTCACGGTCCATCGCAATTGGTCTCGTCAAGGCGCTGTGCTGCCCCAGGTGGAGCGGTGAAACCAACCTTGAACGCTGAGGTCGCCATCATCGCCATGTCCGAGCCGGATCTGATCGGGGCGGTTGGCAGCCCAAACAGCCCCGACAGCGTGCATCGACAGGCCGCCATTCTCGACCGCCATCTCCCCGAGGGCTACTCGGCCGACCCAGAGGTCAGCCTGGCCAACGGGCCCGTCGAAGTCCCTGTAGAGCCCATCGTCGGCTCTGCATCAGCGAGCCAACGCGGTGCCTTTGACTCCCCTGCGACAGCCTCAGCGACGGAGTTGGGAGGCTCCAACAGCAATGGCAATGGGAACAATGGCAGCAGCGATGCAACACCAACCCTCGAGACGCTCGAGTCCTCGCTCAAGCTCCAGGGCGGCGACATCCATCGCGACATGTTCAAGATCAAGGCCAAAGCCGGCTCCCTCCGCCGATCCAACACCTTCTCCCACCGTCGCTCGCCCGACCTGAGCCCGGCAGGCGAGTTGACGCACTCCGAGCAGCTCGAACCCGGCGGCTTCAGGCGGCAGCACCTGCGTCGTCGAGCTCGACAGAGGCGGCAGAGCGGGATGATTGTGGCCAACACCTTCGTGGACTTCCTCGACCTATACGGCAGCTTTGCCGGCGAAGCGCTCGACGATACGGACGATGATGATGAATCTGCCGTCACTGATGAGGCGGAGGAAGCCGCTGACGAACGGCGTCCGCTGCTTGGGAGACCGAGGGCCGATCGTCGGAGAAGCTCCCGACGTCTCGGCCGTGAGGGTGACGCGAGCACAGTCAAGACCTTCTTCACGCTTCTAAAAGCTTTCATCGGCACAGGCATCCTATTCCTGCCCAAGGCGTTTCGAAACGGAGGTATTCTCTTCTCTTCGCTGGCGCTTATCTCCGTATCCCTGGTCAATTGCTTCTGCTTCCGCTTGCTCCTTGACTGCCGCCACAAGTACGGCGGTGGCTATGGAGACATTGGCGAAGCCGTCGTTGGCCCCCGGTTCCGAAGCTTGATCCTCGCGTCGATTGCCATCTCTCAGCTTGGATTTGTTTGCTCGGGCATCATCTTTACTGCTGAAAACCTCTTCTCTTTCCTCGACGCCGTCACTCATGGCCTCGGTCACTTGGGGGTCTCGGGTCTGATTGCGCTTCAGTTCCTCCCTCTCATCCCACTGGCCTTGATCCGCAACATCTCCAAGCTGGGCCCTGTCGCTTTGGTAGCGGACGCCTTCATCCTCATTGGACTCGTGTATATCTGGTACTACGACATTGGAAGTCTCGTCAGACACGGCATGGAGCCGAGCGTCAAGCTCTTCAACCCTTCCGACTTTCCCCTGACGCTGGGCTCGGCCATCTTTACATTTGAAGGCATCGGCCTGATCCTTCCGATCCAGTCGAGCATGAAGAAGCCCCATCACTTCAAGGGTCTCCTCTACTTTGTCATGCTCCTCATCACGGCCATCTTCACATCGGTTGGAGCACTCTGCTACGCGACCTTTGGAGAAAACACCAAGATTCAAATCATCTCCAACTTTCCCCAGGACTCGCCTTTTGTCAATGCAGTCCAGTTTCTCTACTCGTTGGCCGTGCTGGCCGGTGAGCCTGTGCAGCTGTTCCCCGCGGTCCGTATTCTGGAGACGTCGATATTCGGAGAACGCGCCACTGGTAAAAAGAGCGCGGCAATCAAGTGGAAGAAGAACGGCCTCCGGACCCTGACCATTGCCGTATGCATTGGCGTGGCGGTGGTGGGAGCGAGTGATTTGGACAAGTTTGTGGCGCTGACGGGGTCTTTTGCCTGCATCCCTTTGGTCTACATGTACCCGGCATTTTTGCATTTCAAGGGCGTTGCTGAGAGCAGGTGGGAGAAGACTTTCGATGTCGTGACGATGGTGGTGGGAGCAGTTGCCATGGTCTATACGACATCCGTCATTGTGTTGCAATGGATTCAAGGCTGACCATATTGGCATGTGGACGGATTGACGAGGATGTACGTGTACGATGAGGTGGCGTCTTGACATGCTTTCAGCATTGAATTGTTTGTCCTTGAGCGGTGTATCACGAGTGTAGCTCGTTGTTTTCTTATTTGTACTACCACTAGCGATCAATTGAGGTTATTTGAGACCATCAACAGAATCTCCTTTGAATTCAATCGTGTCAAAGATGGCAATTGTCCCCTACTGGTGTCAGTCCTGATGAACGATTGATTAGTTGGCGGGGTTTACGGTGTCCCGCAACAGGTGAAGCCAGCAAAGGCATGGAGATGTGTATTTGATACACTCATTGATAGCTTTCTTTTTATTTTATTTCATCAATTGTTGTAGATACATATGTCGAGACAGCATGATTTGCTCCTCTTGTCTTCGGAGCTTAACCTCTACGTAACCCCTGTTTGCTAGAGGGACCCCTAGAGACATTGCGAGTAATCTATAATTCAACGGTTAGCATCTCAGAACGCTTCCATCTGGCATAATGACACTTACAGTCGTTGCTGTACTGGCATGTAGTACCCGCCGCGCAAGTCTTGCAGCCCGTGTACCCAATGCCATTGCACTGGCCATAATGCGTCTGCGTGCAGCTCGGGCTGCTCGAAGTCGTCGAGGACCTCCTAGTAGTCGACAAGGTCGTGCTGGAAGCAGGCGGCGGGGGCGGAGGAGGAGGAGTTGTACCAGTCGAGTTGGTAGTAGACCCAATGTCTCCCCAGCGGATGTTAGAGAACACAACATGCGTGTTGGGGTTGTTAGCCAGGATGTTGGTCGGGTTGCCCTCGGTGCTGCTGCAAGGGCCCGCGCTGCCGCTGTCGAGCCAGTTCATGTACTGGCTGTTGTCGTTCCAGATGCTAAACACGAGCACCATGCCGCTGCTCAGGGCCTTGCCCATGGTGGTGAGGCCGAGGCGGACGGGCACGACGAGATGGTGTCGCCGCCGGGCTTGGCGCTGGGGATGTCGACGCCGTTTTGCCTGTACTTGCGGGTGATGCTGACGAGGTTGCCCGAGGGCGAGCCGTTGTCCGTGTTGAACTGGGTGATGATGGTGAAGGGCTTGGAGGTGTCGACGGTGTCTCCGGGGCCGAAGTAGCTGGAGGGGAGAGTGTCAGTCATGCTTCGTGCTAGGAGTTGTCTGTGTCGCGGCGCATTGTATGAAAGAGACAGCCCCTGAGAGCAGCCATGAGGAGGGGGAAAAGGAAGGGCATTGACTCACTTCGGGTAGCCGCTGCCATAGGGGTTGAAGCCGCAACCGGCAGAGTGGCCGTGCAGGAATGGGGAGTTAACGCATTGGCCCTCGAGTTGCCTTCGAGGATATCCATCTCGTTGCAGCAGAAGCCCTGGTGGCTGGTGTTGAGGGTGCCGTTCCTCCAGGTCTGGACGGGGCACTGGGCATCGCAGTAGCCGCTCCCGTAGTTGGCGCCGGCCGTGTTATACTGGTTGGCGCCTCCCGTCTCGTCCATCTCGGACAGGTAGAGCGAGCCGTTCTCTCCACAAGGCAGGGCCGAGAGGTCGACGTCGAAGCTCAGCTCCTGGCCGTTGAGCTTCAACAAGACATACTCGCCATCAGAGTCCAGGAGATACAGCCGAGGAGAGACGCTGCTGTATCCGCCAGAGCTGCTGGGCATGTACTGGTTCATGGTGAGGGAGGCGCCCGAGGTCTGGACACCCGAAGCGGCGTAGTCGACGCCCTCGATGAAGCAGTTCTTGCCACAGGTCGCCTCGTCGGGGCAGAGGGTGGTGTTGACGCCGCCGTTGACGGTGCACGAGTTGTAGTTTGCGTCGTGCATCCAGCGGTAGTTCCAGTCGAGGACCACCGAGGTGTCCTGAGCCACGCATCCCCCGGACTTTGTACACTTGTAGGTTGTCAACTTGGGGTGGACCTCGGGGGTGCTGGTACCTGGTTGCTGGGCTGCGACGAGCCGGGCAATGGCCAGGATGGCCGTGGTCAACGGCAGTGTAACTGAGGGCGCCATTTTGGACAACTATAAGGGACTAAGAAAGGAGGAAGGGCCTTGGGCGGAACGATCTGGATGACGACAAGACGAAGTTGCAGTCTCTTTGTCTTTATAAGTTTGAGGTCGTACATAGCATACGTGTGTTTCTTCGATACGGAACTCGGCATTCAATCAGCTCGGAGTCGAAACGACTACTGATTTCACACTGCCTGTTAGGCTATGAGACCTTGGAAATAGCCTCCAAGACCCGATAGGTTGACCCGGAGAATCTGAGCAGAAACCAGGCTTTTTGCCGTCTTCTACAGGCCCGATGTTACTGTCGTATGCTCTGGAAGGGGCATCATGGGAAAATAAAAAGAAATGAAACAGGGGCTGGTGTCTCACTACTATCTCCTGCTCGAGCCGTTATATTGACATAGGACTTTCCGCCCCGTCGATAGTACTTTTAGCAAAAATCTCGGCAAAATCATACTGTATCATCGTTTGAAATAACGGATAATTGGCAAAAGGAAACGAGCAAGGAACAGTTTACAGATTATGCTAAGGCTCTATTGTATACAATCAATCATTTAGCCTGATTGGTCAGGCTCTATACAAGTGATGCATATTGGGAAATAGTCAGTTGCACTTGTCTACATCTTCCCCTGGCTAGATGGTCATTTACTTGAGTCGTTTCTCTGATTCAATTCTTACCACGTTCCCGCAACGAGTCTCATTGGCTCGCTTGAGCCGCATCATACGGAGCCGTTATCCTCCTGGGATCTGGCAGTATCGCTTCCATCTTGGAATCTGTCCACATCCACGCCTTCACACAATGCATAGCTCGTCTAACCGGTATTTTGTCTTTTTGACCTAGGCATAGATTGGCATGTGGTAGCTTGCCTATCTTTTCGATTCAACCAACCCAGCAACTACAACTATTGTTTCTCTATGAGTGGTCTGTATCTAGATCGAAACCGTCAGAATACAGTCTTGTTCGTTCTTATAATGTTCTTACATAACAGTATAGGCGCTGGGGCTATTGGGTCATGTTGCGCACAATATGATCCCGCCTCTTCATAGGAGAGTCCATAGTGTCATCATAATTTGTGTGTACTCATGATACGCTTGATCCAACTGGGCTGGGCCAGATATCAATATCATTTTCTCTCGAAATGACTAAAGTATGGCCATGATTTGCCAAGCTCTTTGCTTCCCACAAACTACCAGAGACTCATAATGCAGAATGGACACTATAGCTTGAACAAGCTGCTTCGGATCCATCGAAAATTGGTGATGGCGCGCCACGGCGTTATGAAGTCGTCTGGTGAGTGTTCTGATGAAAGCTAGAAAGAGACCAACTCGTCGAATCACAAGAGAAAACGCCATTGGCGCACCATTACGTAGCGTTCATGAAGCCCATCAAAGTATAGAAAGAGCTGATATCTTCTCAAAGACCTGCGAATGTTATTCATCACTTTCAACTCAGACGTCACGTATTTCAAAATGCATCGTTTGCGGTTTCTACGTCGATTACTAGGCAAAGGCCGCCGCCATCACAGGGACCACGACCAGAAGCATCCCAGCGCCGCTATTCTCCAGCTTCCGCTAGATATTCTGCTTCTGATCACCGACAACCTGGCTTTGCATGATACATTTCTCCTGTCACACACCTGTAAAGCACTTCGGCAAGTTACATTTCAAGACTGGGATGCTGACATCTCACGGCTTCCCTTTGAAGATCAGATTGCGTTTTGGGCAGGACTGGCTTACACCTTACCAAACCGCTGGGCCTGTCTGCAATGCTGCAAACTACATCCTATCAATATCTCAGATGTGCCCGCGGCCTTCCGGACTGTCAGGAACAGGGCTTTTCCTTGCAGCATTGACTACTCTCGAGGAATCGAAATCGAAGGGTATTCTGTCCAGCACTACCACGTACAGTTTGCACTCAAGCTCTCTCGCCTGGGCAATGTACATCAACAATACCTTGCGGCCCTGATGGATTCTTATACGCGCACGGGGCCATCACTCATACCGCCGCTAGCAGAGTCCTATGCCGCAGAGCCCAGGATCATCAATGAACGATTTATTCTACGTGAAGAGTGGAAAATCAGCAATAATACGAGTACCGCTTTGCCACTCCTCTGGGACAATACAGACTTACATATCCCAGTCTGCCCGCACATGCGTATGTCAGGCGGACCCGCGAGGTCTCGCAGCTGGAAGGAATCGTCCATCCATTGGATGGTGCGAGTGTCTAATAGTATGCAGCAGCGCGAAGGATCCGTCCTGCTCAAAGAAATCACTTTGCTCGAGGATGGCATTGCATTGGCTTACGAATCCCCTGGCCAGTGGATCTTCAATTCTTGTCTACACTGTCCTACAGATTTCGCCATCATGATTTCTACAGATGAGCAAGAGGCGACAATCCGGGCTTGGCACGACTTTGGGGTGGAAGGGTCACCATTGGATATTAGTTGGAAGGAACATGTGAAAGATGAAGCCACACATTATTTTGACGTAGGTCCCTATCTGGATTATCCTCACGGTGGTGTCCGGGAGTCATGGTTGGAGGGAATTTCTCATGAGACCGGGACTAATCAAGCAAAGCTGCCGAGCTTCTTCACGAAGCTGATAGATACCCTGAGTCAAGTACAGTATTAGATATCAAGCTTAGTATATCATGAGAGACTCAACATGCGGTTCCTCCCGTGCGCAGAACGTATACGTAATGTCTACTCTGCCCGCAGACTGTCCACCAACGACATGTACCCAAGACACCTCCTCGATCCTCTGCCACACAGCAATCTGCTCCATTCTCTGTGTCATCTCCCACTCCGCGATCCCACCCTCCTCAATCTCTATTACCCTTTCAACTACCCTGGCAACGACGAGGCTATCCCATACCGCCTCCCGGATCGGTTGCCGCCTCAGAACATCCAAGGCCTCGCGCCGGACCACAGGATGCCGGCATTTGGCCCCGATGATGTAAAGCACAGGGACGATTCCAATTTCCGGCGTGAATGTCGGCTTCAACGACCCCGAATATCGCTCATGCGCTGCCGCGAAGTCACCTGCTAACGCTACGCATTGTCGGAACTGAGGCAGGAAGTTGTCGTATTCCATTTCCCTACTAGGTCCGGAGCTACTGAGCAGAGTCCATGCGATGGTATATTGTAGGCGTAGCAGTGTGATGAGCGGATAAGTCTCAGAATCTGTCTCGTCGGAGCTGCCATGTTGCAGCAGCATGTTTTCGAAGAGAGTCGACCACGTTCCCAACTGCCCGAGAAGTGTATCCCTGTTTGATGAAGGTGGCAAGCACATGGTACCCGTTGAGGGCATTTGCTGCACCGTATTGCGGAGACTCATTACTCGAGCGACGAGGCTCTGTAGGTGGTCAGCGGCTTGGTCGAGAGACTGAAAGGCACTGTTTGGGTGTGCAGCAAGGTGCGATATGAGTGTTTCTTGGATCTCGGCGGGAGTCCAGTCAACCAGAAACGTTACGGCCTGCATGTCGAGACGACAGATCTGTCTTGTGACCTGGCAGATGAGCGCGTGAGCCCCTGAGGCCTTGGTATCGTTATGTGTATTGCTGTGATTCAGTATAGTCTTGTGAATATTTCGTGACAGTTCAACACCTCCGCGAAGGTGCTTCATTGCTTGTACGTAGTTGCCTGCCAGCTGATCGAAGCAGATGAAGAGATAACAGACCAACAGTGTAATGGCTGTCGTATCGTCGCTGTCTCCACTCTCCTGGTTCAGAAGAAGTTGGATAGCTCGGTTATAGTACAGCAGGGGAACTTCGCTAGGATCGCGATTCAGGTAGTTTCGGTTGGCCAAGGCCAATGCGATAGCAGCATACCGCACTGACGGTACCGTTTGGGAGAAGAACATGAGGCTTTTCCGCCATGATTCACTGGGGCGATATTCATTCAGATGCCTGATCGAGATATACTCAAAAACCCCCATGGCCTCTGTTTGGCCTGATCCGGTCACTGGTAAGATCATCAAGGGTCTGAGATTCTGCGATATGAGGCCATGGTATTTCGCATGACACCCTTCTGTATGATTCGCACTGATCGTGGTTCCTCTATCTGCACCATTGGTCATGCCGTGAGGATGAGCTGACTCAATCTCGAGGGGCACTTCGCCGTAGCCATCACAGACGCGACCTGTGGACTGGCATTTCAGGCATGAAGGCTGAGAAAGATCGCATTTGATTCGTCTTATCCTGGGAGGCGCATCGGGGTTGAGTGTTAGCTTGCGGGTCTTTGCACGCAGTTGATCGCAGAGTGAAATAGCAAAACACGGAGTAGAGCTCTCACTTGCAAGTCTTACAGCCCAGTCTTGACTTGGGAGCAAACTTCCGAGGCTTTCTTCTCCAAGCCTGATTGGCTGCCGTGGTGTTCTCTTTCGCAATCCCGTCCATCACGGTGATGTTCGCTGGCCGATCATTGCGGTAGGCGCCGATTCAGCTGAAGGCAATCCTGGGACCGCTACACCCCTGAAGCCGCTAGTTGCATGCGGCAATGGCTTTTCCAAGCAATTTATACCAGGTATCGATCGAATACGAAGAGGGCCGTCTGTTCGTCTGTTCGTACAGCAGCGGAGTAGCCGTCTCATGATCACTTAAACGAGAAAAAGATGGGCATTATATAGAACAATGGAACAAAGCTGAATAGCTCGAGGGGCCGTATCGTATTAATCCATCATGATATATGTTCATTGGCTAGTTCGTACAAGCGGGGCGAACGAAGGAGCTCGTCTGGCTGAGAGACAGGGGGGGTGTTTACACTATACACTCGTTTCCAACGCGGCTCAGCATCGTACCACAATCCTGAGGGAAGCTCTGTCAACAAAGTGCCAGGTACCAACGAGCACCGCCACCGTATCCCGTCTCCCTACCCATGTAGTTGAGATGGGGATAAGCTTATTATAGTGATACCTGGCTCTGTTAGAATACACCGATTGGACACTTCGTACAAGCGGGGCACCAGAACAGTGTCCTGGAACTTCAGCTGGTATAAGTAGTTCTCTGATATCCCGATTGTCCAGCTGCAACTATGACAATCCCCACCAACAACTCCTGAGAAGCAATACAAAACAATGAAAGGGCTTTTGAACGTACTCCTTCTGTTCACCAGCTTAGGATGCAAAGCCTATAGTTGGAATGATAGGAGCATGGTCTACGGATTTGCTAATGTGAGCCTTGCACTTTGGCAAAAGTTTTCCATCTGTCTGACTATCCATCTAGATTGAACCGTCAGCCAACCTAACGTGGACACCATGTTTTGATGACTTTACATGCTCTAGACTGGAGGTGCCTTTGGACTATTCCAACGCAAGTCTCGGCACGACGTCCATTGCCTTTATAAAACTAGCCGGAAAGAACGCCACCACTGAGTCTCCAAGCCTCATAATCAATCCCGGTAAGGTGGCCGCAATCAGATCAATCATACAAAGCTGGCTAAAATCCATGTGACTGGGCTGACCCTTCGTTAGGCGGTCCGGGTGGTTCTGGCATCGACCTCCTCCTCACAAACCGGGCCCTAGCAAGCCAAGCCTTCGGAGAGCAGTATAATATCGTCTCTTATGACCCTCGCGGTGTAAACAACAGCGGCCTGAGCCTTGACTGCTTCTCGGGAAACACAGAAGCAAGAAGTACCTTCAGTCGCCTACATAGTACGGGCGTTACCAACATCTCATCGTCCTCATTTGAGGAACAGTACTACTCAAGCTCCATCTACGGAGAGTGGTGCAACGATGCTGTCGAAAAAGAGTCGCCTCATGGATTCTATGTGACTACACCGGCAGTCGCCAGTGATTTGCTCACCTTTATAGAAGCCGAGGCCGAGTTGGCTGGCCAGGCACCGTCAGATGCCAAATTGTGGCTGTATGGCATCAGCTACGGCACTGTAGTCGGTGCCACTTTCGCCTCCATGTTTCCTGACCGAGTGGGGAGAATGATACTCGATGGCATTGTGAACGCAGAGCTATACTATGACAATTACTGGAGTGTCAACGTCGATCAGATGGACGAAGCCATGGCAAAGTTCTCGAGCTTCTGCCATTCTGCAGGTCCCGAACGATGTTCCTTCTGGGGACCTACGCCAGCAAACATCACCGCCAGGATGGACAACCTCATCCTTCAACTTCAGAACCATCCGGTCCCTATAAGCGGGGTCCAAAGTCGAGGCCTGCCGGCGTTGGTCACCTATTCAGACCTAAAGGCCCTTTTCGTCAACACTCTTTACATCCCGATAGCGTCCTTCCCAGTCATGGCCGACATCCTACATCAGCTCGAGCGTGGGAACGCGTCTGCTCTTGTGGGCATGTTTGACGGGCTAGGTCTCACGATCGATGCCGGTCACGTCATCCAATGCGCCGATTCATCTCGGAGAAACAAGCTTACTTCTATTGAAGAATTCAAGAGCTACGTCGAGTACACGGTCTCCAAGAGCAAGTACATCGGCGATGTCTACCCCATCTTCGTGGACTCTATATTATGTAGATCATTCCGACCCCAATTGCCTGACAGCATGGTGGTTCAAAAACGTGAGCATCTCTCTCTTTCTCTGTCTTCGTCCTTTGTCCCCTCCGTTGCTTTTCGATTACTCGTCTTTCGAAATGGGGGTAAAGGAACATCGGTAACGGACACAAAGACTAATCAGCTTTCTTCTTATACAGATCAAGTCATCGGACTGGACAGGCCTACATCCTTCCCGATCCTGATAGCGAGTAATACCATTGACCCTATAACGCCATTGATCTCGTATGTTTTGGTTAATCCCTTTCACCAATCTGTTATGTTGCTAATTGACTTTGCCTCTTCGCAGAGCGCGCAAGACAGCTTCGCGATTTCCCGGCTCGGTACTTCTCTTGCAAGAAGCCGTTGGTGTAAGTTGATATCAAATTTCAACCACAAAAAAACATCCCAAATAAGAGTCCAAGCTTACTCGTGGGCTATTTCTCTCGAATGCAGCATACGGTTGTCAACAACCTAGGATCGAATTGTTACTTTGAACATGTGCAGGCATACCTTCAAGGCATAGTTCCATCATCCAACATTACATGCCCGCAGCAATACATACCCTTCATAGGCAGCGCTGCTTAAGAATTGTCAAAGCGGCGGAGGAGTCGTTCTGTAACCTCCAGCAAGAAGATTAATGTTGCCACTACAGTGCTTAACTCAAGCAGTGAATCACAGGTGTAGCTTTCTATTGCTTTCCTTACTAATAATAGCACTAGCAACTATCTCAAGAAACTTAAGCTCTCTTAACAAAACTCTCTTAGCCTTTGTCTCCTGTGGAAAAGTTTCTTCTCTTCTCTTGCTCATATAACTGGGTAGTTGACATACCACCTTGGCCTCGTTCCTAATCGACAACAGCTCGTCTCCCACGTCACTGAGCCTCTGCTGTTTCTCTTTGCCGCCAAGAGATGCAATCTGATTCTCACCCACAGCATCATGAACTGTCGGGCTTGCTGCTAATCTTCTATTTGTTCCCTAACAACCACCCGACGCCGTCTACAGCATCTCGCATCCGTTTCCGGGAAGCTTTCAGGTCAGGATACTGTGTCCAGAATCCATGAGGAAGCCCATGATACACATCCATTCTCGTAGGCACTCCGCACTCTTCGCGCAGCATGCGTTCGTAAATGAGGCTGTCGTCCCGCGCAGGATCCATCCCAGCGACTTGGAAATATACAGGCGGCAGGAAGTTACGTCCGGTTGCAGTTGTTGTAGTGTTGGAGTGAGGCTGTTGGCCAACAGGAGATGGATTGCGGAGGGGCAAGGGTTTATCCCCCTTATACGCGCTCATATATTGCTTCAGAGAAGCCGTATCGAGGATGGGGGCAGACTTGTTCTGTTCCATTGAGAGATATTGTTCCTTGTAACGATCGGGAACACTATCAGGATCGAAGAAAATCCCACATGCAAGGAACAGCCCGGTAAGTGGAGGCTCTAGACAAAGATCCCGAGCAAGGTGTGCCACATCATTGCTGATGGCTGCCCCGGCCGAAAGCCCACCAATGATGAAAGCCGTCTTTGGGTCGGCATTCGCAGGCAGAATGCCTCCTCCATCTTGCTCAGCTGCCTTGCGTGCGATATACCGCGCCACTACGAAGATGTCGTTGACGTCGGTAGGGAAAGGGTACTCCGGTGCAAGGCGGTAGGACGGCAAGATGCAAGTGGCCTCATGTGCCAACACCAGTTCCCGCGCGGTGGTGAGCTCCAGCTCCGGGTACCCAACGCAGTGGCCGCCGCCGTGGACGAGGATCACGATGGGAGACGGGGAGGTGCTGGGCGTGGCGGCCTGGCAGACGATTGTGCGAGATGAAAACGTGTCGTCGATGGGGATGTCGATTTCTCTCTCGATAATGTTCGGTGGTCGGCTAGCTGCGAGCATTTGCTGGGCGCTTGGGAGGGTTGCCTGGATGGTCTTCTGGAACGTGGGAATGTCGCTGGGGATGCGTCCCGGCGGCGAGCCATTGGCTTTCCAAGCGGCCTCGAACTCCGGGTCCATGATGCCCGTAGCGAGGATTTCTTCGATGGTCCATGGAGATGTGTCCATTCTACGCACGGCACCGTAGAAGGGTGACCCGAGAAGAAGGCAATGGCAGGTTAATGAGGGGTTGATTAGAAGGTTTGATTGTCAAGTTGATTGGCAGGTTGATATGCAGGTCCATTGTGTGAGTTGATATGCAAGCTGATATGCAAGCTGCGAAGCCTTTGCTATAGGTCGTTCGTTCATATGCCTTGAGAACGTCGATTAAGGATAATAAACACATACGTGTATGTAATGAACAGCATCTCTGCGGCCCGGCCACACCGAAATGAAGCGGCTCCTAAACCCTCGCATTTCAGCATGAGGTTTCACGTAGGATCCCACAAGGCATTTGGGTTACACCGGTTGACTCACACACCGAACCGAGTCAACACCAGGTCCACTCAAACATAATGCTATGGCACTTTCAGGAGTATTACCAGCAGTTCCAATTGCACTTCCTCTACAGGATCAAAACCATCACGTTAGAGGCCATGGAGACAGGGTCTTCGACTCAGTTCGGCCAACTATAAATGCAATGGCGCAAAGTAGCGCCTGAGCTGCCAATATATAGGTCTCCAACAAGCAGCTGCCTCCGATCTTTGCTCTGGGCCGGCTACAGCACGCAGCTGTTTACACTTCTACCAACAAACCAAGCTCACCATGGATGAAGTCCGCGAGCTGAGCAACCTGCAGGCCCCAGACCGGCTCCCAAGCTCTTCTACACACGAGTTGGCTACAAGCAACGAAGAGCCCACACTCATCCCGGGGCCCATATCAGCGCAAGACGATGGCCCTCGACCTCCCGACCTCCGGACATGGCGATTCTGGGCCATCATCATGGCGTTGGGCATCACGGGGCTCATGTCCGCCATCGAAGGCACCATCATCACAAGCGCCCTCCCAACCATCACCAACGCCCTCGGCGGCGGCGACGCCTACATCTGGGTCCCCAACGCCTACCTCCTCGCCCAAGTCGCCATCCTCCCCCTCGCCGGCCAAGCGAGCAACATCTTCGGCCGCCGCCACCTCCTCCTGGCCGCCGTCGCCCTCTTCACCCTCGGCGGCGGCCTCAGCGGCGGCGCCTCCTCCATGGGCATGCTCATCGCCGCCCGCACCATCCAGGGGCTCGGCGGCGGCGGCATCAACCTCCTGATGGAAACCATCGTAACGGACATCGTCCCCCTCCGGGAGCGCGGCCAGTACATGGCCATTGTGGGCATCGGCGCCGTCGTGGGCGCCACCCTGGGTCCGTTCCTGGGCGGCCTCATCACCGATCATGCATCCTGGAGGTGGTGTTTCTACATCAACGTGCCCATCGGCGTCGGTAAGACCGGCCTTTGTCCGTTTCCTCAGCTCCCGCTTCTTTCAACTGAACCATGTTATAGCCTCTTTTGCGATCCTGTTCGTCTTCCTCAGGGTCAAGTATGACCGCGACCTGACCTGGTCATCTCGCCTCCGACGCATCGACATCTCCGGCAACGCCATCTTCGTCGCCGCCATCGTCTCCGCCCTCATCGCGCTCACCTGGGGCGGTACCATCTACAGCTGGAGCACCTACCACATCGTCGTGCCCCTCGTCCTCGGCCTCGTCGGCATCCTCCTCTTCGCCGCCTTTGAGTGGACGCCGCGCCTCTGCCCAGAGCCCTCGTTCCCGCGACAAATTGTCTCGAACCGCACCTCGGCCGCCGCCCTCGTCCTGACTTTCATCCACGCCGTCGTCGCCTACTGGGCATACTACTTCCTGCCAATCTACTTCCAGGCCGTCAGGGCCCTCTCGCCTCTGCGCTCCGGAATCTACACGCTACCCAACGTCGCCGGCGGGCTCGTCTTCGCCGTTCTGGGAGGCGTCCTCCTCTCCAAGTTTGGCCGGTACAAGCCCCTCCACCTGGCCGGCTTCGCCGTCACCACCATCTCCTTTGGCCTGCTCAGCATCCTCGACGCCCACTCCAGCGACGCCGCCTGGGTCTGCATCCAGCTTCTCAACGCCCTCGGCAGCGGCATGCTCAGCGGCGTGCTCCTGCCCGCGGTCCAAGCCCCCCTGGACGAGAGCTACGTCGCCACGGCCACCGGCGTCTGGAGCTTTGCTCGCTACTTTGGCTGCATCTGGGGCGTCACCATCCCGAGCGCCGTCTTCAACAACGAGTGCCGCCGTCTCGCGAGCACCGTCATTACCGACGAGGACATAGCTAGTAAGCTGTCGGGGGACAGCGCGTATCAGCATGCCACGGGCGCCTTTCTGCTTAGCATTCAGGACCCGGAGCTTCGCGCAGAGGTGATCCGAGTCTTTACCGGGGCGATGCGGACGGTTTGGCTCGTTGGGATTGCATTTGCTGCGTTGGGATTCTTGGTCAGCTTCGTGGCCAAGGAGATTCAACTGCGGGAGGAGTTGCACAATGACTTTGGGGTGGAGGACAAGAAGGATGCTGCCGTCTCGTCCACGGCAAATATCGAGGTTCCATCATCTGATCCAGTCTAATATAGACAGGGGTTTGGTCCATTTATAGAGATATAGATGTTGTATAATACTCACATACATATATGCGAACTGTGATATTACATACGCAGTAGCTCAGCTCTGGATCGTTCCCGAGCCATCAAAGCTCAAGGAATGTCAAGCAGCTCCGCATTGCCTATTCGGGTAACCCATCTCAGCGCCAGCTCCATCGATCCATCCATCCAGACTCTCGCTTCTTCACTTCAATTCTTCTACATACCACAAATGCTTCACTGGAAGACGCCGCAACACTCCTTCTTCTCTACCGAGGTCCAGACATCGCACCCCGGGTCTGGCTATACAGTAATGCCCCATGCCCGATGCTGCCGTGTTACGGATGAATGAATGAGGCTTCCGATCACGAAGTGCCTTGCGCTGCCTCCCGGTTGAACGTCAACAGAGTCCATCCATGTGTACCTTAGGTATGCACAAGTAGGCTTTCCCTTGACTGTACTCCAAATAGACGCAGAGTAGGTGAATGCGCGTCCACCCAATAGAATGCCGTGAATACTCAAAGTTGCAATTGACTCCCGAGTCTGCATGTCATCTCCAGTCGATCTTTGCCCGCCATGGTAGCTCAATGCATCCTATTCCAAAGTCATGGCATCATGTTTGACCACCAATTGTTTATTCGTTGCCTATCAATCTCGATATGGCCATCCAGCCTCTCCTTGCCCTCCCGTCCGCATCCATCGTTTGGTACAGCAAAGCAGGCACCGCAAAGGAAATCCCTTTCATCAACATCCTTAGACCTTCGGCTTACTCCTCCGTGGGGGATTGCAGAGGAGGCTTCTACCGGCGGCTAGTGGCTGAACTCCTCCACAAAATGCCACCCGGAAACGAAACGCCAGGGGCCATTTCGAAAGCCGGCTAACCGTCGCTGGTAATCCGAAGCTCAGCGTGGCACTTACAAGCTCGACCTGCCCGTGACAACACGCGATGGCTTCTCCAAAAAAATGAACCCATCTTTTGGTACTCCGTACCCGGATGAATTCCAATCTTGTAAGCTCGCATGCCCAACCTTGGAAAAGACGGAGACTCTCCAATATTGACTTCTGCCCCGCGGCTTGCCATATCCCCTCCTCTTCACTGCCACACCACCTTTCCAGAGACAGAGAAGCTCCCCGGTCCAAGTTCCCGAGCTCTGGTAGAGGCTAAGCTCTGTTCTCACATCATGTCGCATCCTGGTGCCCGTCTCGGCCGTCGTCTGGCTTCGATCCTTCATTCGATTCTCCTGCCCTGCAACCACACCTTTCCCAAAGCCAATTGTTCACTCCCTTCCCCGCCCGTCCCCAGTCTGCTTCGATGCCCTCGTGATGACCTGCGGCTTGCCACACTCAATGCTTCCGCCATCGCGATGCTGCTTGTGTGTATCGTGAGTTTGCCGTAGTAGTGCCTCCGTTCCCTCACGCCACCAAGCCTTCCCCGCAGCTGCTTCAGCTGTGTTGAGCTATGGCGGTCCTCGTAGAATTTAAAACCAAAGTCACGTCCGCACCCTCTCAGTAGCTGATCGTTCACTTCCATTCCATCCACCTCGCTCCAGATAGCTAGCTCATCAAACGTCGGAGTATCTACTCAGCATTCATTGAGCATACCTCGTTCCATACTACCAAGCCTTCAAGCTTCGCTCTCCATCATTGTCGCTACCCAAGCAAAAAGTAATGTCTCGCTTCGCTCCCGCTCTCAGACTGTTCGCCAGACAGCAGCGCGTCGCCATCAGAACCTCTAACCGTACCAGCGCCCCGTTAGCTGCCGCCGCTCATCGAACCATGCATACCTCGCCCACTCTCCAATCTCACCCAGTGCTGCCTGTCAATGGCGCTGCGAGACCTGCCGCCCCGTCTCACTTGCTCCCCGAGTTCAGTCTGAAAGACAAAGTTGTCGTCGTCAGTGGTGGTGGAAGAGGACTGGGCCTGGTCCAGGCTGAAGCATTGATGGAAGCAGGCGCCGTTGGTAAGCTGCATGACATCTCCGTTGACGTTGGATCGCGCTGAACAAAATGCCATCTCAGTGCACTGCATCGACATCCTGCCCGATCCGTCTTCGGATCCCACGTCCGAGTTTGCTGTCGTTGCTGGGCGTGCAAAGAAGGAACTCAACTCCCACTTGACATATCACCAAGTGGATGTCACCGAGGAGCCGCAGGTGAAGGAAGTATTTGAGAAGGTCGCAGAGAAGGAAGGTCGCTTGGATGGCTGCCTTGTTGCTGCCGGGATCAACTACGAGAGCCCGGCCCTCGAGTACTCCCCCGAGCAGATTGACAGAATGCTTCGCATCAACATCAAGGGCGCATTCCTCACAGCCCAAGGCGCCGCTCGGATAATGGTTCGGTTTGGAACGCCCGGCAGCATCTGCTTGATTGCCAGCATGAGCGGCACCATTGCCAACCGTGGAATGTTTGCATCGTAAGTCTCCTGCCTCCAATGGCTCGGGCGTATATGCTTCAGAAAATCTGACTCTCTCTGTGTACCAGACTATACAACACCTCCAAGGCTGGCGTTATGCAGATGGGTCGAAGCTTGGCCGCTGAATGGGGTGTGCACGGCATTCGTGTCAACACACTTTCGCCTGGATACTGCCTAACCCAGATGCTCCTCAACCTATTCGAAGAGTACCCCGAGCGAAAGAGGCAGTGGCCCACGGAGAACATGCTCCAGCGATTCAGCGAGCCTCACGAGTATCGCGGTGCCGCCGTCTTCCTCCTCAGCGATGCCAGCAGCTTCATGACGGGTAGCGACCTTCGTATTGACGGCGGACATTCTGCCTGGTGATTGTCCAAGCTTCATCGCCACAGCATCGTCGGAAGATTGCAGACGAGATTGGCTGGTGAACATGCTGAGGGATTGGGGGTTATTGTGTGTAAAATCTGAGTGTTTCTCTATGTTGCATATGTCTGGTGTTAGGAATAGGGGTGAAAACTCAAAAAGTCAATAGCAATGTCGATATAGCGCGCGATTATTGAGCGGGAATGTGCGTCAAGACACCAGAAGGTCCAAGTTTGCTCAACAGTCCAGGCGCGAGTCGTAGTCTCTTCTCGACATCCGCAGCAGAAAAGCCATTGTTCAGCATATGGACAGCGTCAAGGATGGTCCTCATATCGGCCAGGCGGCGTCTTCCTGCGTCTCGTCCCATGTTCTCGAGGTCCTCTGCGGCTATTTGCTCCAGGTGGCGCCGTGCTTCGAGCACAGACAGCGTGGTGTTTCGCTTGGCAGGCGCAAACTGCGGCCCTGGAGGGACGTCCAATGACTCGGGCGAGAGGTTGGGAGAGGCGGTAGAGGAGTGTGAAAGCGTGGGATTTGGCTGCACGATGCCCATCTGGTGGAGGCGGCGGGAGAAGTCGCCGGGGGTGAAGTCGGGATCCATGGCATCTGCGCGGACGGCTGGAGTGAATTGGTGAGTCACATGCTTGTAAACGCTGTGTGTAGAGAGCATCGAATAGGTACTGACCTTCATCTTTGGATCCGTCGCCACGAGACGCAGTTTGAGACGCAGGTTGCTGAGGTCTGACCCTCGTGGTAGCTTGGGGAACAGCTCCGGGGGTTCTGGTGGGATATTTGCGAGCTGCTCCGCGAGCTGCCGCCTTTGACGAAGAAGCGCCCATCTTTGTTGTCAATTGTCTGTCTGGTCGCGTTGCTAATGCAATCAGGTAGGTGTACTGAGGAAAGAGAGTTGTGTGTATGTACAACTTCAATTGTTTAAAGCAACACAGGAGCTCTACCGGGATCAAGAACTTCTGAGAGCGCAATGACGAGATGGAAAAATTAAAGTGCGGGATGGTTATGTAAGGCCGGAAAATAAAAACGTTTTCGCCCACAGGGGTTCACCCCACCAAGCCATCGCTAAAGCCAGCCCGAGACGCGCTGTGACGTTATTGCTCCAGTACTTCTCCCAGGTCGATCCACCTCCTGCAACCTCACCTCGTGGATGAGGGCTGAGATTTGACTGTTTCTGTTGCTGCTTTTGATACAGAATTTCAGGATTATGAAGTGATACCTGAATACCTATGTGGAGAACGGTGGCTGATTTGTCTGTGAAAGAGCCGAGCCCATACAGCTGGGCGATTACGGCTCCGCGCAACATGTACGCTCATTACTGAGTGAGAATGGAAGCACACTGTCTTGAATATACATCCAATCTCTACTGTCACGAAGTCGAAAGGAAGTATGGATTGTTGATCAAACGAAAGTGTCGACAGAGCAAAATCTTCTGATTGAGCAACCCTGAAACCAACAAAGGAAACCAAAAAAGAAAAAAAAAAAAAAAAAAAAAGGATGGAAAGGAGAAAAAGCCAAGTATTCCTCTTCCTACCTATCTCCCCTTCCCCTCTACCGTCCTCCTCCCCATCCTCTACCCCCCTCCAACTCAGACAGACAAGCCGTCACGGAGCTCCTGTTCCCAAGCCTCCAGCGGGAGCACATCGCCGTTGTCGTCCAAGAGGTCCAAGAACGAGCGAGTACCCCAAACCAGAGCCTGAGACACCTCCACCACCTCCATCTCCTCCATCACCTCGCCTTCTTCTTCTTCTTCCTCCACTTCGTCTTGCTCTTCCATTTCAATCTGCTTGTCCGTTTCAGCTTGCTCTTTCACTTCTTCATCCTCCTCCATAACATCTTCTTCTTCCTCTTCCTCAGCTTTATTCACCTCTTCGTTTTCGTCCTCATTCTCGCCCTCTTCTCCTCCTTCTCTTCCCTCCCCCTCCTCACTCTCTTCTTCCACCTCCTCCTTCTCCTCCTTCTCGTCTACCTCCTCCTGCACATCCTCCACAACGGGAGCGCAACACTTTCTCCTCACCTTGTCCACCGCCTTGATATACTCCCTCCTCGGAATCCCCACCGCCTCCCCCGTGTTGAAATCGATTTCGTACAAGAAGCCGTCAATCTCATACACGTTCCACAATCCCCTCGAGTCGCGCCTTTTCGCCAGGCGCCGCAGCCACGTAATGTAGTCGTTGCCGCGATTCCCAGCCATAATCTCGACCTGCTGACAGAGGGATATCATGTGGTGCCACGACCAGTGCTTACAGACGAGGAGCTTGTCCAGCCGCTCCTGGTCAATCACGGGAGGAATGGCCCTTGCGGCGAGGGTGTCTTCGAGGTTCGGCACGGACGGGACAGCCTCTGGAATGGCAGCTGGGGCGTGGGCCGGAAACTCATCGATGATGATGGCCTCGGGGGCAGCTGTAGGCTGTGGTTCAATGGGGGCTTCGTCTTCAACAGGGAGTTGGGCGAGGGCATCAAGCATCGCTTCTCGAAGGAGAGGACAATTTACCCTGCGAGGCTTGACAGGAAATCCCTTGGCGACTTTCGAGCTGTGCTGCGCAGCCAAAACCTTGGTCTCGGTTTGGTTGGCCTGCTTGTGCGGTTGGGTAATGATACCGGAGCCAAGAGCGTGTTTCTGGGGCTGCTTCGTGATAAGTAGGCTAATAGCAGCGTTCTGATGGCCATCGGAAACAGGACGGTATGGTTGAGGAGGAGGAGGCATGCTCATGTTCGGGTTCTGGTTCACTCTCGTGCCCGTGTTTAGGTTCGGGTTTATGCTTGTGCTCATGTTCATCGGCGTATTCATCGACATTAACTGCAAAGACTGCATCTGGGGCGCCGAAGGCGTCGACTGTACTGAGGGCATCGGCATCGACATCTGCATCATAGCAGGCGTAGAAGGATTGGCATACTGCGCACCCTCAAACGAGCCCAGAGCAGGTCCAAAAACAGCGCCAGCAGCGGTAACGGTAGGTCCAATGAATCCAGTAGAGCCTTGGTTCGGCCGCATGCCCATGACGGGAAACCGGGCGGACTGGCCATCGAGTGCGGTATGAGAAAGCGTCGAAGCTCCATCTGCAGTGACATTGTCAGTTTCACTGTTCAAACGCCGCCACTGGAGAGGCTCATGGTGCATGCATACTCTAAGAAGCATCGGCACCCATTCCAAACTGCCGCTGGAAGCCTGTCGGGTAAAGAGACTGGCTCGTCTGGTCCTGGGGGCACAGAGTTAGCAAGCGTCAGACGTGTGCTCAGGCATTCCGGGACCAGCCAGTCAGAGACACAGGAGACTCGGAACAGAGCATACCATAAACCGCACATGGCCGTTGGGAGGCAAGGCATTCGTCAAGTGCATCGACTCCATCGAAGGCGTGGAAGGCGTCGAGAACATGGTCGAGCTTGGATTTAGAAGCGGTTCTTCTTGGAAGCTGAAGCATTCGTCGTCGTAGAGAGCTGAGTAAATCGTCACTGAGTCGAAACCCGAAAGTGGTCGAAAACAGAATGACAACGACGCAGAAGAAGATGATGAAGAGGACTAGAAGAAGAAGAGGAGGAGGAAACGGAAAAAAGTGGCCAAGAAGGGCTTTATGTACGTCTCTTGAATGACTTTACGGAAGAATTGTGACGGTCAAGGAGCTGTGAGTAGGCGAGGGAATCCCCACTTGGGTGCATGCGCCAGCTGCTGACGAGTGTCGAGGTTGAAGCAAAAGTGAGCTCGAAGACAACTTCCTCCCACAGGACTTTCTCCTCGTTACTCCTTCTACCAACTTTTCAGAGTCTCATCATATTGAGCTTCACAAAGAATATAATGTTGACACATTCTCTATGCAAGCTGAGGCGTGCAGACGCGCAACAACTTGTCGTCGGAGAGCCTCGCCTCCGGGACCGGCTTCACTTCACGATTCACCTCGCCTCTCTCTCTCCGAGCGGCATCTCCACCCACACACCAACCGCCTTAATACTATTTTCTCTTCTATTACAATGACATCAGTAATCTACTCATGCAGAAAGTAAAGAAGGGAAGAAAAAGAAGGCAATTGTTTTCAGTTTGCGGCGAATAGCACGCCAATCTCGTGGAATATCCAGAGCCACCACCCCCACCATCCAAGCATCTCATTACCCACACATCACATCCTCTACCCACACCCTCCCATATGTCACCCTTTTACTTCGTAGCCACACTCTATAGACCCTCTAGCACTTGGTAATATACAACCCAATAGGCGCCGGGTTATAATCCTGGAACCACCTCACCTCCGTCTCTCCCCCATCATTCGCCGCCGAAACCTCAAAAGCAACCACCTCCCCAGCCGGACACTCAAACGTGAAAATCACATACCCATGCCCCGGTGCCACCGTCGTCGTCCCCAAATCCGTCCTCACATCCGGCTGGTTGTTCCACGTCGTGCCCTCGCTCGCGGGCTCATCCAGCCATGAGAAATCCAGAGCGCCCGAACCAGAAAACGTGAAGGAGGAAGTTTCCAGGTCTTTCTGCTCAGGGAAGAGAAACACGAGGCTGCACTTCTTGCCTTTGTCGCCCTCGGGAATGTCAAAATTAAAGATGGACGAGACGGCGTCGGACACTTGGCCAAAGTACGACGTCCCAGGGGCCTTGTCAGGATTGGCTTTGTCAACGGGGATGATGAGATGCGGGAACTCGTAAGCACCGTCGAGATTCGCCGGGCACGACTTTGCTGGAGGACGAGGAGCAGGAGTAGGCGTAGGCGTAGGCGTAGGCGTAGGCGTAGGCGTAGACGTAGATGTAGGGCAATCCGAGCGGCAGCTGTCCGCCTTGAGCGTAATCTTGTTGCAGTCGACGCCGTGCCCGTCCTCCAAGTAAACATTATACTGGTCCTCTTCACTCGTCTGGCACTCCCAAAACTCCGTCTGCCCGTTGTAAGAGACGGAGCCATCGCAGCCAACCTTGAATCCATCGTCTGGCTTCTGATTCGCGTCGCACTGCAGCACATGTGCCGGCGCTGTCTCACGTCCATTCGTCAGCGCTGAGTCCACGATTCCAAGACATTGAGTGATACACAATGTGCATACTACTAGCGCATTGCATGTCTCTAATATGAGAAACATCCCCAAAGACAAGAAACCCAAAAGGAATGAGAAAGAGAAGAAAAAGGGAAACTCACGCGTCCACCAGCATCCACGGCCCTTGTCGTCCCAAAGCTGGTCTCCCTGCAGAGTAAACGTCGTCGAGGACACTCCGCCGCCGGCTCGCACCTGGCCAGACGAAATCTCGCCGACAGCACCAGAGATGGCTCCCGAGGCCGATAGGTGTAACTGGCATACTGAGGCCCGCGCGACGGCGGCTTCGGCCGTGGCCACGGCGAGGCCGAGGGCAAGGAAGGAGGAGAGCATGGCGAGTGGAAGCTGAACTGCTCGTGCCTGTGTGATGTTCAGAGTGCTTGGGCAGCCTCTTGATTAGACAAATGATACTATTCGCAAACAGATATGCGACAGTTGCTCGAGGTCGTAGACTGTATGTTCAGCAACGGGATACCCTCAGAAGACAAGATGGACAAAAGAATGTCGGAAAGCAGCCACCATTATATACATACGCAACAAAGGCTCCCTGTCAAGTCCAACCCATCATCCAGGCCTCCTGAAACCTCATCACCCTGCCACTTACCTCACCCTCTCCGAACACATACATCTTCACAAAGGACCTCCCCAAAGGAGACTGAAATGATCATCACCAACTCACCAATTGACCTCGCCACTTTCACCTACAATACGAGCAAAACGCCAACGCACCACGTCGTCATCAACAAAGATCATCGGGGATAAAAGCAGGTATCAATTTCTATGGAAGTGCATGCAGTCTCACCGATGGACTGCAGATGAAACAAATCCAATCCCGGGCAGAGAGAGAAACACCAGAATGGCCTGAGATTTTGAGGTGGCGTCAAATGTCTCACTCCTTCTGTGACAACGCATCACAGCCCCGGTGAGACTGGGCATCGATGAACTATAGAGATTAAAGCAAGAAGAAGTTATTCAGGCAGCATCCTGATCCTTCTTGGTATCTCGACTTACAGATTACAGTAGGCCATTGCAATCGTATGGGATCACTACTATGCTCCCCTGTCATAGTTGTCACCGGTTCTGATAACGGCTCTTCAAGTACCAGTCTCCTCTTCAAAGCTGCATCATTCCTCTACGTCAAGTATCCACAAGTCACCAAACTTCAAGTCTCAGCATGCATGTATGTAATATCAACTTGAAGAGCAAAAACAAGGTGCAACAACCCGAATTTCCCACCGAAACAAGCAACATCCCAGCTCCAATGGCACCATCAGACTGCTCACTACCCTTTCTCCCAACTCAACGGCCATTGTCCCAGCAAGCTGAATCGGCACTGAATCCGCTCAAAACAACACGAGTCTTAAAGTCATACAAGACAAGACATACAGATCTCACAAAGGATGGACTGAGGAGAAGCTCGTATTGATGTGGCCCACGAGCCCAGACGGGAAAGTTGGACAGCATGTCGTTCAACATTGGTCGCGATTGAGTTGCTGTGGCCTCTATCAAGATTGATCAGCCATTAATACGAAGTGCTACAGACTCCATAGGTGGTTCGCTTTGAGCAGTGGTCTTCTGTCGTGCGAGTCATTTCACTTGTACAGAGGAGGTGGAACAAGCAATACCCTTGCAAATATGCATGCGTTGGATGGTTAAGAAGTCGTCAGAGTCATGAGACGCAAGAGTTGAGACAGACACAAAAAATAGATTGCAGTCACGATGATGGCGTACAAACAAGTAGTGGCCAGTATTGGTGGATTTGTATTATTTTGACTCGACATATTTCGATTCACTAGATGTTGTAGTCCCAAGTGTAGGTCTATCTACCTTACTTCCCAGTCTACCTGGATAATCTGACGTAGTCGATCGGCATATTTCTGCGAGGTTGCCCCAGCTTCGACGATGCCTTCACGGCAGATTACCGGATTGTAAGAGAGGGCGCGCTTGTGACACGGCGGATTTCCTAGAGCGGACCGCGGCGCACGATACACGCGATGAATGCAGCCTCACAAGAGCGGCGACGAGCACCTCCAAGTGACGTGTTGGGGGAACACACATCGCCATATCCCTGCTCCGGCAACCACTGTATGTGGAATACCCTACAATTGTGTATTTCTGCTGGAGACTCCACAAGGCCACATGGCAGGGCCACTCAACGCCACCTCTCGCAGATTATCATCGTGAGTCTGTGGTGGGCGATGAAGGACTCTGACTGGCCGGTGCCGAACCCATGTGGGTATATTGGCAGCCCGAATATGGCGGGCCTTTGGATACTGCACTGGCAGGATGTCTCTGAGATGCGTTGATCCTAGCAAGCAGCATGTCTCAGCTGATGTTGCCTCGACGCCAAGAAACATTTCTTCCTCTACGGCGCCGCTAAGCTGCAGTAGGCACGATACACGGACGGAGAAAGACGAATGGCGCTCCATCGGATGCAGACAAATGCAATGCCCATCGTCCTCTTCAACGTCGCTGTCTCTTGTTGGGCCGGCCAGCATTGGACGAGATTTTGGCAACGGGAGCCTCGCCCTCGTCACCGCTCGCCTCGTTAACGCTCAAGACGTCGTCCGAGTTGCTCTCGTCGTCGCTCTGCGCTCCACTGGTAGCACCAAAGGAAGCCTTCCTGGACAGAGCTTCTTCAGTGCCGCTAGCGAAACCCTCAAAGTCGCCGTTCTCAGATGACTCAGCGTCGTCCGCCTTGCCTGCAGGGACATCAACCTCGGCTTCTGCGGCGTTATCCAATGTCTCAGAAGCAGGTCGCTTCCGAGGCATCTCACCAAGCCTGCCTCCGCGGCCGTTGACGTTGCCACTTCCCTCCTCGCCCTCATCGGTCGACTTAGGGGGGGGAGTATACCATGGGATCTTCCCTCTCATGAAGTCATTGAGCATCATCTTTGCCACGCCGTCCATGTCAGGCTCTCCTCCGCGGAGGAGACGACCGCCCTTGCGAGCAAGGAGCTCGAGAAGTTCCGTTGCGTTCTTCCATCCCTTGACGTCATATGTCTTCTCCATGTGGTGCTGCTTGACACGGCTCAGGAGGGCGTCAATGTACTGCTCAGGATGCTCCACCTTCTCGACTCGCACGACGCCTCGTAGGACGAGATCCGTCGGTGTGTCAGTGCTTGAGGGCGGCACAATACCAGGGCAGTCAATGAGGTAGATGCGCTTCATGAGACTGACATACTGCCACACCTTGGTCTCTCCAGGAATGGGCGCGACGGTACACACCTTCTTCTTGGAGAGAGTGTTGATGATGGAAGACTTTCCGGTATTGGGACCGCCGATTAAGCCGACGGAGATTTGCTTTCTATCCGTGTGGAGAGCGGAGAATTGACGCAGCAGTTGAATCAAAGATCCTTTGCCGAAAGAGTTGTTGATGCTCGCATGGAACGCAAGTGTGGGGTGTTCCTTGGAAAGATGTCGTACCCACGCAGCCTTTTTTTTTATGTCAGAAAAATGTCCCAAGATGGATTCATTAGAAAAGAAAAAGAAAAAAGAGGCAAACAGTCAACGATGAAATGTGTGTGTCATCACTAAGAAGCTCCTTTGGATGCCAGCGAGGGCGAGGGAAGGCTTCAACTCATCAGACGCACAGCCGTCTCTTGATGGGTAACCAAAACGGCACCACATCAGCCTGCAGCCGAAGCTGCAGACAGTCGAGATAGCAATTGATCTCCCAATGTTGTAACAGACGGTCCTCCACGGAGAGTATGTAAGGTGTCCTGACAGGATTCATTGGGGGCCCGAGGCCAAGTATGGGGAGGGGAAGAGATCGAGGGGAAGACTTTGAAAAAGAACAGGTAACTTACAGCAACGCTGGTAGGTACCAGATCGCACTTGTTGAGCACAAAGATCAAGTGCTTGTGAGGCGCCTCCTCCTTGAGGTACTTTTCGACACTCCTGCAGCGAGTTCCAACGGGGTCTCGGGCATCAAGCACGTGAATGACCACATCGGAAGAGTCGATGACCTTGTACAGCTCGTTCCAGATACGCTTGCTCTGGCCCTTGTCGAACACAGGCTCAATGGCCATGGTAAGGGCATCAGCCTCGCCAGAGTTTCCACTCAGCAGCTTGTTCTGCTCCATCCGCTCCTCGTAGGTATCCATGCTCTTCTCGGTGTCGTCGGCAAGATCAGCGACGGTGCTGACACCGAGCTTGACACGCTTGCGCTGAGCCTTGGGCCCAAAGACACCGGCAAATGGCGACGTCTCAATAGTCATCTTGGCCTTGTGCTGCTTGATGCCATTGGTGGTGTCCTTGCCTCCGTCATGGATCAGGCTCATGGGGAGCTTGTTGGACTTGAGGAGGACTTGGTAAGGGTCCTTGGCCTTTTCAGCCATGGCCTCACGGAAGGCCGTCAGGGTGTCCTGAGAGACGACACGGGTGTTGGTGAACCACTTGCGGTTCGGCTCGATCCGGGCATTGGGAATATCCCTGGACTGGTAGCTGGCAGCCTTTGTGATCTTCCCGTCCGCGTCTCTCTGGGCCTTGCCGTCCTTGTACATGTTGAGGAGCTTGACCTTTTTCGCATCGCTTCAACCCATATTCATTAGCAGGGTCCTTCCAAGCGAGAAACGCCTCTTCGTGGCGAGCACCAGGCAGCACATACCGATAAAAGTTCTCGCCCTTGGTACGGACATTGCCCAAGCCATCGCCAGTCTTGCCCTGGCGCGTACGCCGGGCCGCTTCCTTCTTCCCAGTACCCATGGTGAAGTTTTGGAGCCTGCTGGTGGGCAAGCACACAAAGATCTTGGGAAGAAGTAAAGGGGAAAAAAGCAGAGGAAAAGAAGTTTTGGGGCTGTTGCTTCTTATCACGGAACTTTTTTTTTTTTTTTTCTCTTGGGAGAGGACGGGACCCCACTAGCCCACAGCTTTTTTTTCTGCAGGCGGTGGATGGTCTTCATTTCCTTTTACATAAGCTAGAAGAACAGGGGTCCGAGCGGAACATCGGAGGGCGTTAATCCGGGGCACCTCTGCGGCTTTGGCAATTTTCGTTTTCTGTAAGCCGACATCACACGAGAAAGTCGTTGAAGCTCAGCGGACGAGCAGCAACACAACAGCTGCCGGATCCCCCAGAATTCTTCCTCCAGCCAGAATGTCGATCGCTTCGGCGAGCAGCTGCCTCCGGCCAGCAGCGCGCCAATTGGCCTCCGCCTCGCGATCCTTCTCAACCACCCCCGCCATCCTCTCCAACGCCGTCCCGCCTCAGTCCCCCTCCTACATCCGCCTCCCCTCGCCTCCCCAGTCCCAGACCGACGAAGCCAAGCCGCCGCGGGTAAGAGGCTCGCTGCCGGTCCCGCGACAGGTCTTCCCCCGGGCCGAGGGCGACCGCAAGGTCAGGCCCGAGTACATCCAGCAGACGGCGCCCAGATCCCCGCACGAGCGCGAGCCGTCCAACGAGTCCCAGAGATGGAAGCGCCAGATGGCAGAGACCCGAAGGGCCAACCTGGAACTGGGTCTCAAGGCCCTCTACAGGCGCCGCGAGAAGAGCGACGCCGCCAGAAACGCCCGCGTCAGCCGTAAATTCAGAGAGAACAACGAGGCTGCCGCCGCCCCGGAGCGAGAAGACGACCGCCTCACCCGGAGCACTGTCCTCGACGCCATCCTCGACACAAAAGTATACCCCGATCCGGACCGCTTCGTCCGCGCCCAGCGCAGCCGAGCCAAGGTTCAGGCCAAGGAAACAGCCAAGTACGAGGCCCGACGGGACGCCCTCATGGAGCTGTACATCAACGCCTCCAACTTCATCGTCCATGAAAGCGAGCTCAAGGCCGAGATCGACGAGATCTTCAGCGAGGGCTACTTTAGGAAACAGAGCCAGTCCTTCCAGCTGTACGGCACGACGGAGAACGCCTGGGGTGTCTACGGCAGGCCTCCTTCCATCGCGAACATGCTGGAAACTACCACTGGAAAGTCGACCAAGCTCATGGACTACTACGAGTCAGAGTATGATCACTCTGTTAAGCGGCAAAAGCGGATTGCGGAGGAGTTTACGGGAGGCAAAATGGAGTAAGGGTTTGGGGTTTGCACAATGTAGAATTTCAAGCACCTGTAACCACTTGTATTATATCAGTACCAATTGTTGGACAATTCAGAGTCACGCTTCACGATTTCAAGCCAGAGAATGGTCTCAAGAACTTATACAGTGGGAGGCAACCATGTGTTTATTATGCCCACCTTAACCGGATGACTACAACTAATGCTCAAAGAATCAGTAGCCAAGAAATCAGGGAAATACAGTTCAAAGGGTCAAATCGTGCTCCATCAACGCCAATCGTGTAAATGCCCGCGGCGGTTCGCCTAATACAAGTAAAAGCAGGTATGTACATGCCGAACCTGCAAAGAAAATCGGTTCTTGGTGTTTTGGATAGACTCTAAGTTGCTAATCTATCGCTTCTCGACAAGCAAGATGTGCATCGCGGCATAGGCGAGGACGATGAAGGCGGCCGCGAAGATGCCCAGGTTCCTAATGTCTGACCAGAGGGCGGCATTCTGAAATCCAAAGGAGCTGAGAATAGCCGCTCCGGGGACGGTGATATCGAGTCCGTACTTCTTGTCTACCAGAGTGAGTTCTAAAACTTCGTTGACAATGAGTGACTCGAAGCCGTAGTGGAAGATGGACAGTGTTTGAAGCCACAGAGCACCCTTTGGCGTGGCGTCGTGGTTGAGGAGGAAACCGGCGAAGAGGAGACTGAACAGCATGACCAAGCTGCCGATCAAGTTGGCCACTCCGGGGTCTTTGCAAACGATGCCGATGAACAAGCAGATGGCTGCCGCCGCCAAGTTGAACAGGACCAGGACGAGCATGAACTTGAAGAAGTGTGCTGCATCCGGCACCAAGCCTGTCATCGGATAGATGATGGACCCCATGAGGATCGGCGGGATGATTCTCAAGGGAATAATGTCGAACAACACCTTGGCAGCGAAGTAGGTGGCGGGAGAATAGTAGCCGTTGGCTCTTTCACGAGTGAAGAGAAGGCGCTCGCTGGCAAACACGTTGAGACTCGTAAGAGTGCTGAAGCCAAAGAGAGCCAGAAGGAAGAAGAACAATCCGAGTCGGTTCTGGAATCCAGGGATATCATCGGTAAGGCCATAGAACAGGTATCCAGAGAACACTGCCAGGATAATGGCAATGGCGTAGTGAGTGAGCATAAGCATTGGGTTTCGGTACAGGTTCTTCCAGGTCCGTCCAGAGATGATGATGAACTGGCGCAGATATCCAACTCGGACGTATCCCTTTCCAACAGCGCTGGTATAAATGTTTGGTCCGTTGGGAGCATATCCGTTCGAGTTGGCTCCATTTGCAGCATCAGCTTCCCTGATGGCCTGTTGAATGTCTTCTCGGATGGAGGCGGCGATATACGACTTGCTGAAGGAGCGTGTAATAATGTCAAGGTCTGTTCCAGTCATGGCCGGAGGGGGCAGATCATGAGGGTCATCGGGCTGTTGGCTAGGCAGAGAGCTGGTGGGGTTGTTCTGCAGCCGATAACCGCCTTCATTGTCACCACCAGCATCTGAAGAGGCAGCAGTGTCGGTCTGCTTCCTGCGCGTGAAGAGCTCCCGTTCTTGTCGAAGTCTGACCGAGTCGCGTCGGCGGTTCTTGGGTCGCAAGGATGGCTCGGCGCTCGCTTCACCCGCGCTGGCAAGAGAGGCGCTCGCAACAGACTTTACAGCTCGCGTGCTGCTCGGACCAATACTTCCAGCGTCGGGAACAAGGCCTCCGTCGTCCAAACTCTGGGTGCTGCTCGCATGCATAGTGAGGTCCACGAGGTAGTCGGCAATGTTGAAGCCCGGGGGACACTCGTAGCCAATGTCATCGAAATATGGCTGGCACTGGGAAAAGAGTCCGGAGTACACCAGTTTACCCTGGGCCAACAAGATGAGCCTGTCGAAGAGAGCCACAATGTTGGAACGAGGTTGGTGGATGGTGAAGATGACGGTTCGCTTGTAGTTCTTGGCCATGGTGACGAGGCATTCGACCACATTGTAGGCATTATAGGCGTCCAGTCCACTGGTCGGTTCGTCGAGGAAGAGGATAGAGGGACTGGTGACGAGCTCACAGGCAATTCCAACTCGTCGCTTCTCTCCGCCGGAAATTCCACGGCCGTTTCCTTCTTCGGAGCCGATGAGGGAGTCTCGAATGTGGTAGATGCCCAGCTCTTTCTCGACCTCGGTGACTCTCTGTTCCTTGGCGGCGCGGCCCATGTCGCGGGGAAGTCTCAGGAGGGCGCTGTTGAGAATCGTCTCGTGAACAGTAAGCGTAGGCAGCATGGTGTCTTCTTGGTCGACAAATCCAACCACGTTCTTATACTCGGTGTCATTGACCTTTTCGCCATTGACATAGAAATCTCCGCTGACATGGCCGCGCTTGTTCTTTCGGGCAAGGATATCCAAGAACGTCGTCTTTCCAGCGCCCGAGGAGCCCATGATAGCAGTGACTTCTCCCGGTTGGCAGATACCTTGGATGCCAGACAGAATCTGCTTGCCATTGAGGGTATACGCAACGTTTTGAAAGTAGAGGGCAGCCGGCTTGTGATCGACCATGAGCTTGGTGCTCTCGTCGTCGGAATCCTCGAGGCGAATTGCTCCATAATGCAATCTGCGGCGGGATAGATACCACGTCCCAACGATGACGGCAGCGAGGAATAGTGCACAGCCGCCAATTACACCGGCAATGAGGGGAGTGTTGATTTGCTTGACGGGGCGGTGGTAGCCTGGCACTTCAGTCTCGTACAAACATTCCCCTGCTTGGCAGTCCAAGAGAATGCTGGAGTCTCCGATCAAGCTGACAATGAGGTTGTCCATCTCAGGCTCCTTGAAAGCACAGTCATGGGCACCGCCGCCCTTTTGAGAGCATTCAAATCGGCCGGGGCCTTTGATGGCTTGGTCCAAGAAGTCCGTAAGGTCGAGCGAGCCATCTTTGCCACACATCATGCGGCCGGGGATGCAGCTGCAGCTGATTTTGTCGCATTTGTACGCAGTGGTGTTCTTTTCGCTGGAGTACTGGGCACCAGACGTGCAATCCGACAAGTGGCAGTAAAAGGACTCAATCTCGTCGACCCAGACTACAAGGAGCAGTCAGTATAAACAAAACAAAAGAGGGGGTGGCGTGTAGAACTGACATTGAAAATCGCAGGTCGCATCCTCCTCCTTGCAGGTAAATGTGACTTGCGGCTTCTGCCTTCCAAGCAGATCGGTGATTTTCTTGTTGGTGACTTTGCAGACCTGATTGTTGTATTTGACGAGCTCGCCGTTCTGGTAGCAGACACCGCCGCTTCCGGTTTCCATCAGAGCATTGCAGGCTTGGTTCGTTGTGCAGACATTGCAGTTGATACCGGTCCAGCCCTCGTCGCATTCACAGCTTGAGCCTGAGCGCATCGGCCGATCCTTGCCTCGGCCAAGAGAGCCGCACACTAAAGAAGAGAGAAATCGCAGGTTAGCAAGCCTTGCGCGCGCGATTCATCAGGACAATGCAAAGCGCTGGTCTGGTAGCATGAAGTGGGCGATGTGGACGTACATGGCTCGAGACAATCGTCACCGCCGAACCCATCAGGACAGTCGCATTTTCCGTTGTACTCGTTGCAGCCAGCGTACTGGGCGCAGGTGTGGGCGGGCAGGAGGCAGTTGAAGCTAGTCATTGCACATTCAGGTCAGCGGCGATGTCATTGTACTGGCCGTGATAGACCGGCATGCGATGCATCGCTTCGTGTCTTACCATGGCGGACAGTCCTTGGGGCGGTCGTCCATAAGCGCGAACTGCGCCCGCAGAGCATCGACGTTGTAGCTGGAGCTGGCGTTGGCATACGCGGCGGCCAGCGACGGCATCACCGCGAAAATGCCGACAAGCAGGCCGCGGCAGCTGAGAGGCGCCATGGCGATGAGCGTCGCGGAAGGCGGAGTCCCAGGGCTGAGGTTGCGAGAGTTGAGGGAAGAGGAAGATGGGAAGAAGTGAGGTGACAGTTCAAGGTGACGGCTCAGAGCTTGAGGTAAGGTAAGGTCCGGTCCTAGGGTACGTACCGCTGCCAGGCACCGCGCCGACCTGGAACAATGCTCGTCATCGAAGTTCCGCCTTCTGGTCTTGGTCTGCCAGGCAACTGGAGCTAACGACTTGAATCCCCAACCCCGCCTTGCTGTCTGATTGGTACGGCCGCTTCTCAGCTCTCGACTTGCTAGACCAGCGCGCGTTACCCGACACGTGGTGACGATCGGTATGCGATGGTTGGTACAGATGCCGCATGGCGGCCGTACCTTGCTTGTACCGCAGAGACAGAAGCTGTCCTCCTTTTACGCGTACCTAAGGTACCTACTTGCAGTGACATGATTCTCAGGCCACGATGGACGAGGAGAATGGGCAGTTGTGCTCCGCTAGCGGCTAGCATTTCCCCAGTGGGGGGAAGATGCATGTGGGAAACGGTGTCCATTGTCTCCATCCTGGTCTGGGGAAGTAATAATGTGACATCTCAAGTGATAAAGGCGGATGTGATTCTGGTTTCCAGCTCTTTCTTGTTGATATCAGTCACGAGCATAGTAGACGATGAAATAAGGTACGATAAGGAGTGGAGTGAGCTCAGGTGGCATAACGATACGCGAGGAGGCGTATTTAGGGTCGGGGTCAGACAGCTTGGGAGAAGGCAACTCCAGTTTGAACAGCGAATACTGCCTCATCCAGGTGTCGTCCTCAATTGGCAGAAGAACGACCCCGAATCCTTATAGAGATTTGTGTGACGAAAAGAACCCATGGATGATATAGATGTAAATTTTCCCAAGAGGCTTTGCTTGGCTTTTCCCCGCCCGGCGGATGCTCTTACAACAGTACAACGTCCATGCCGGACCAACGGTTGGGTATGGCAGATGAATGAATTGACCAAGTTTCGAAGTGTGATATGGTATAAGACATAATGCGACGAATATGAGATGACACAGAGCGAGAAACAGCAATAACTGGCAGCTTAAATAGGCAATTTCCTTGTTGTTGAGTGCGCGATGTCATCATGTGTAGCTCCAGGTTAAGCGTTACGAGGAGTGGCATCGTACTGTATGTTGCGAGACGCCTTCAACTGGGCTAGCATCAGCACCAGGCTACGAGTACCTACAGGTACTTGTACATGCACGTTGAAAGTCAATCTATTGAAGGTTTCCCTTTTACTGCGATAGTACCTGGATAGTAGATCGCGGACATGCAGACTGAACCAATCGATGTTCATGATCGGCCAGCCCAAGGCGCGCCCTGACTTCTCCAACAGCCGCCCTAGCCCCCAGATACTACCACGATTCCCCACACGGGGCTTGACACAAACGAACAGCTCGTCTAGACGCAGATTGTTGATAAGAAAAGGTCAATCCCTACCTACTTCTTGTTGAGGTTCCGTCGACACATGAACCAGACGAGCATAAAGTAGAAGAAACATAAATCGTCTCCGGAAGCCCTACACCGTCCTGCAAGACCTGACTCCAGCCCAAGATGGTCCGGTTCGAGAGGTTCGCGGTTGAAGATTGGATGGACACTTACGAAACCGTTGCCGGGGTCTTAAACATCGCTGAGACATGCGCGGAATCAGTCTCCATCGACGAGCTGGTGCAGCTATCCGAAGACAAGGCGGCCAGTCCGCTGCAGACCAGCACGGTGCTCACATACGGTGCCATCCGCGGCTCGTCTACGCTGAGGGAACGCATCGCATCTCTCTACGAAGGGGAGCATCTGTCAGCCGAAAATGTCCTCATCACCCAGGGCGCAATAGCGGCCAACTTTCTGGTATTCTATGGCTTGGTTGGACCGGGAGACCACGTAATCTGCGTATATCCCACGTATCAGCAGCTCTTCTCTGTGCCCGAGAGCCTCGGGGCAGAAGTATCGCTCTGGCGCTTGAGGCCTGAGAGTGGTTTCGTGCCTGATGTGGACGAGCTGGAGACGCTGGTCAAGGCAAACACCAAGGTCCGTGTAATGACTGCGAGCCAGCCGTATTCCACAGCTGCCGGGAGTAATCACATCTTGACGCTAACCCCGCAAACGAAAGATGATTGTCATAAACAACCCCAACAACCCGACTGGGGTGCCCATACCGAGAAATGTCGTCTACAAGATTGTGGACTTTGCCAAGGCCAGGGGCATCATGATCCTCTCCGACGAGGTCTATCGCCCGCTATTCCACGACGGCATAGAGAACAACGCAGACATGCCGCCGTCGGTGGCAGATCTTGGCTACGGAAAGGCCATTGTGACCGGATCTCTGTCCAAAGCATACTCGCTCGCCGGCATCCGCGTGGGCTGGATTGCGTCAGGCGACGACGCCATCATCGAGAAACTGGCCGAGGCGCGCCACTACACGGCAATAAGCGTCTCCCAGCTGGACGACCAGGTGGCGAGCTACGCCCTCTCGCCGGCTGTCCGCGGGCCACTGCTGAGGCGCAACATCTCGCTGGCACAGCGCAACGCCGCCAAGCTCGCGGCCTTTGTCGAGGCGCATGCCTCGGTCTGCTCGTGGGTGGCGCCAAGCGCGGGCACAACGGCCTTTATCCGCTTCCACGATGCGAGCGGCCAGCCGGTGGATGATGTGGCCTTTTGCCGCGACGTGCTGGACCAGACCAAAGTCTTCTTCGTGCCCGGGTCGCACTGCTTCGGACGGGGCGTCGACTTTGCGGGATATGTCAGAGTCGGCTATGTGGGATCATCCGCCGTGCTCAACGAGGCGCTGCGGAAGCTCGGTGAGTATGTGCGGCAGAGGTTTAAGCTGTGAGCGAGCCAATATTGAAGGCAGAGGACGACGAAGAGGCGCTGGATTTGTCACTTGTACCAGGAGCTGCTGGTTACATAGACCCCGTCCGGCAATAAGGCATGCATGGAATCAGCGCTCAGCCACGCCGTGCTGTCGGAACAGTGTTTTATTTTTGTAACATGGCGTGCATGGGGCGTGGATTACCTTAGCTAACTCCGATGATCGAAATTTGTCCCCGATGGGCTGCCAAGCGCCGTTCGTCTTGAGCCTCTCGTGACTGAATCTCACCTGCGGACTTACACTGAGAGGGCCTTCAGCTCTCGAGTCGTGCCATGTTAGACAGTGTGGCTTCAACGGAGGCGGACAGACGAATGCGCCGGCGGACAAAGAGATGCATCACGACAAAAAAAACAATGACAGAATCAAAGAACAAGAGCCTTCTCTGGAGCTGCGATGAGGCTTCGGCGTCGTAAGCTGCCCACGGAAATCGGCATCTATCCCCGTTTGCCGGCGCTTGTCCCCACTGACAGCATCGGTTTTTGGGCGCTAATGACGAAGCCTCCCCTGCGGTTTCAGAGGCTGTGACCAGACGTCTCATTTGATTTCACAGCCGCATCCGTTCTCATCAGCGTTGCGTTGGTGATCCCTTATAACAGCGTCCTGGGGCCCTGTGGAGCGCGGCGTCTTCTGCTCTGCTCTGTTTCTGCTGCTGCTTTGCTGTTGTTGCATCTTTCTCTTGAGCTGCTTTCCTGGGGTACCTGTTCATAACGCCCTGTCTTTTGTACAAACTACCTATCTTGTTGACATTCTCTCCTATCCGTTGTCCTATACGTCTTCACCCAGCTCTACAGCAAGACGCGCGGCGATCCATCCCCCTTTCCTGACCGAAAACCCCTACAAAGAGGCCGTCGACATTGTAGAACACAAAATTGTAGATCGCTCTACCATTGTCTACATACCTACCTACCTGATATAGACCAGTAGCCCTGCGCCATGAGAGCCTCGCCCCTGGCCGTTGCGGGCGTCGCCCTGGCCTCTGCAGCCCAGGCGCAAGTCGTCCAGTTCGATATCGAGAAGCGCAACGCGCCGCCGAGGCTCAACCGCCGAGACGACACCCTCACCGGCACTCTGTCCAACCAAAGGGTCCAGGGCGGATACTTTATCAACGTCCAGGTTGGAAGTCCTGGCCAGAACATCACGCTGCAGCTCGACACAGGCAGTAGCGACGTCTGGGTCCCGTCTTCATCGTCTGCCATCTGCACTCAGGTCACACAGCGGAATCCCGGATGCCAATTTGGAAGCTGTAAGCCAAAGCCCTCTCTGTCCTTGTCCTCCGCAGCTCAACTGACCATCACGCTCCTCTAGTCAACCCGGATGACTCCGATACCTTTAATGATGTCGGCCAAGGCCTGTTTGACATCACATACGTCGACGGCTCCTCGTCCAAAGGCGACTACTTCCAGGACAACTTCCAGATCAACGGCGTGACCGTCAGGAATCTCACCATGGGTCTCGGCCTGAGCTCATCGATCCCCAACGGCCTGATAGGCGTGGGCTACATGAACGACGAGGCCTCTGTCAGCACGACTCGATCCACCTACCCGAACCTCCCCATCGTCCTGCAGCAGGAGAAGCTCATCAACAGCGTGGCCTTTAGCCTGTGGCTCAACGACCTGGACGCCAACACGGGTTCCATCCTGTTTGGCGGCATCGACACGGAAAAGTACCACGGCGACTTGACCAGCATCGACATCATCTCCCCCAATGGCGGCAACACCTTTACCGAGTTTGCCGTCAACTTGTACTCGGTGCAGGCTTCGAGCCCCAGCGGAACCGACACTCTCTCCACAAGCGAGGATACGCTGATCGCCGTCCTGGACTCTGGAACTACCCTGACCTATCTGCCACAGGACATGGCCGAGCAGGCGTGGAACGAAGTGGGAGCCGAATTCAGCGGCGAGCTCGGCCTGGCCGTCGTCCCCTGCTCCGTGGGCAACCAACAAGGCTTCTTCTCCTTCACCTTTGCTGGCGCCGATGGGCCTACGATCAACGTCACCTTGTCCGAACTCGTCCTCGACCTCTTCAGCGGCGGACCCGCGCCTCAGTTCTCGTCTGGTCCCAACAAGGGCCAGTCAATCTGCGAGTTTGGCATCCAGAACACGACCGGCGCTCCTTTCCTGCTGGGCGACACGTTCCTCCGCTCCGCGTTCGTCGTCTACGACCTGGTCAACAACCAGATTGGCATTGCACCCACCAACTTCAACTCCACCAGGACCAACGTCGTCGCCTTTGCGAGCAGCGGCGCCCCCATTCCGTCTGCCACGGCGGCTCCGAACCAGAGCAACACTGGCCATTCCTCGTCGACGCAGTCCGGGCTGTCTGCTGCCAGTGGCTTCCGGGATGGTGACGACGAGAACGTTGCTTCGTTCACGGGCGTCTTCTCTGGCCCTGGAGTGGCTGTTGTCGGCATGACCATCTGCTACACTCTGCTCGGAGGCGCCATGTTTGGCATTGGGTGGCTGTAATTGTGCACACCGTGTGTTTTCTCAACCGTATGAGTGCTCTTTAACGAACTGTTGAACTGGGGTATAACAGGCGCATTGGTATTTTATGGGATTTTGTTTCCTTGTCTTTCTTCCCTTCTGTCTCTCGCTTTCGCATAACTAGCAGGCATTCGCTGGAGTTTGGGTGGGTTTCCAGGACATTCGCTGAAAAGGAGCGTTCAGATACCTCGGACACTTTGTACAGATGCACATAGACCTGCAGACTGCATTATATATGTAACAAAATATCATTCCTCGCAATTTCTAAGAGAACTCTCATGTTTGCGAGGGAATTTGCGTGGCTGCGACATTTCCATCACTGTAGATGTTCCGTAGTGGTCCGATTCATGCCGCACGTGAGGCGGCGAACCAATTGGAGGGACCCCGATAGACTAAAAAAAAAAAGTTTCAACCATGTCTTAGAGCGGGATGATCGATCCTCGAGCGTCAAACCCACCCACTTTGCCCGTGGACAAGCTCACACGATGAGGGCATTTGGGACGTTCAGATGGCTTAGCTGCCATCTGTTTGCAGATGTCCAGACGGCGGCGTCTTCCGGAGCTCGCAACTTCCAGGCTGCTGTTGTTCCCTTGGCCGCGCAGAGCCAGCGGCGGGCGTTTGGCGCATCGGCGCTGCGGTTGAATGCTGCGCAGGAAGCGTGAGGACCACCGATCACGGCTTTTGTGTTTACCAGAAGTGCTTGGACTGATTACTGACGATGAGAGTATCGACAGTTTGAAAAAGGCGCAAAATGACGCTGCCAGCCTCACTGCCGACTCTGTGGCCGCCAATCTCTCGCCCGAGGAGGTTCAGCGCCTCGCACGAGTTCGAAACATTGGTATCGCGGTACGAGACGACTGACCCCTGCATGCTCTCATAGCTGGAAAATAGAGGAAGAATCCTAACGAGAATTTGAATGCACAGGCGCACATTGACAGTGGCAAAACTACGGTAACGGAACGGGTTCTCTTCTACACTGGTCGAATCAAGGCAATCCACGAGGTCCGCGGCAAAGATGCCGTCGGCGCCAAGATGGACTCTATGGAACTGGAACGGGAAAAAGGCATCACCATTCAGTCTGCGGCTACATTCTGCGACTGGAAGAAGACGGTAGACGGAAAGGAAGAAGAGTACCACATCAACCTGATCGACACCCCCGGCCACATCGACTTCACCATCGAGGTCGAGCGTGCTCTGCGCGTGCTCGACGGCGCCGTCATGATTCTCTGCGCCGTCAGCGGTGTCCAGTCGCAGACGATTACTGTCGATCGCCAGATGAAACGCTACGATGTTCCCCGGATTTCCTTCGTCAACAAGATGGACCGCATGGGTGCCAACCCCTGGAAGGCCGTTGAGCAGATCAACACCAAGCTCAAGATCCCCGCGGCCGCCATCCAGATCCCCATCGGCACCGAGGATGAGTTTGAGGGCGTCGTCGACATTATCGAGATGAAGGCCATGTACTTTGAGGGGCCCCGTGGTACCAAGGTTCGCGTTGCCGACCAGGTCCCGGCCAATCTTCAAGAGCTTGCCGCCGAGAAGCGCCAGTTCTTGATTGAGAAGCTGGCCGACGTCGACGACGAGATTGCCGAGCTGTACCTCGAAGAGCAGACGCCCACCAACGAACAGATCAAGGCTGCCATCCGCCGCGCTACCATTGCCCGCAAGTTCACTCCCGTCATGATGGGCTCTGCCCTGGCCGATAAGGGTATCCAGCCCATGCTCGATGCCGTCTGCGACTATCTGCCCAACCCTGGTCAGATCGAAAACACGGCTCTGGACAAGTCCAAGGGTGAAGAGACGGTTGCGCTGGTCCCCTACAACTCGCTTCCCTTTGTCGGACTGGCATTCAAGCTCGAGGAGAACAACTATGGCCAACTTACCTACATCCGTGTCTACCAGGGAACGCTGAGCAAGGGCACCTACCTGTACAACTCGCGAACCGACAAGAAGGTGCGCATCCCCCGCATCGTCCGCATGCACTCCAACGAGATGGAGGATGTCAACGAGGTCGGTGCCGGTGAGATCTGCGCTGTGTTCGGCGTCGACTGTGCCTCCGGCGATACCTTTACCGACGGCGGTCTCCCCTACACCATGTCTTCCATGTTCGTCCCCGACGCCGTCATGTCCCTGTCCATCAAGCCGAAGCGCACCGGCGACGCCGACAATTTCAGCAAGGCGATGAACCGATTCCAGCGCGAGGACCCGACCTTCCGCGTCCACGTCGACGCCGAGAGCGAAGAGACCATCATCTCCGGCATGGGCGAGCTGCACCTCGAAGTCTACGTCGAGCGCCTGAAGCGCGAGTACAAGACGGAGTGCGTCACGGGCCAGCCCCGCGTCGCCTACCGCGAGACCATCTCCCGCCGCGCCGACTTCGACTACCTGCTCAAGCGCCAGAGCGGCGGCCCCGGCGACTTTGCCCGCGTGGCCGGCTACATCGAGCCCAACGACAAGCCCGAGGAGAACCACTACGAGAGCCAGGTCGTCGGCGGGCACATCCCCGACAAGTTCCTGTCCGCCTGCGCCAAGGGTTTCGAGATTGCCTGCGAAAAGGGCCCCCTGCTGGGCCATCGCGTCATCGGCTCTAAGATGATCATCAACGACGGCCAGACCCACGTCACCGATTCCTCCGACTACGCCTTCAACCTGGCCACGCAGATGGCCTTCCGCAAGGCCTTCCCCGAGGCGGGCGGCCAGGTCCTCGAGCCGCTGATGAAGACGACCATTACCGCGCCCAACGAGTTCCAGGGCAACATCCTCATGCTGATGAACAAGCGCAACGCCACCATCCACGACACGGAGATTGGCAGCGAGGATTTCACGCTCATCTGCGACTGCAGCCTGAACGCCATGTTTGGCTTCAGCTCGCAGCTGCGCGCGGCCACGCAGGGCAAGGGCGAGTTCAGCATGGAGTTTAGCCACTATGCGCCCGCTCCTCCTCACTTGCAGTAAGTTTCTTTTGTTTGACTTGTATCGACTTGCATTTTTTACTAATACCATTGATAGAAAGGAACTGGTCGCCAAGTACCAAGCCGAGCTCGAGGCCAAGCGAACCAAATAAGCTCTCGCGGCTGGTTGATTGAAACGCAGTCTCCCGGACAAGTGATGCCATTATTGCTTTGTCTCGATGGACCAGGCTGCCTTGTACGAATAACCCCTGTGAATACGTCCTTTATATGGTGTACACATATGGATGGAGAGCATGCAATGCGACTGGTCTAGTTGTGATTTCTAGAACAGCTAGAACAGCTAGAACAAGTCGTCCACGTGCCCAACGAGGTACGTTTGGGAGTAACAAAAAGGGTTCAAGGATATACAAAAAAGCAAAGATGTCGCTGTTTTACCAGGGACAAGTAGCATTGGATCCAGATGGATAGACCTGCATGTACGAGTAGATGTAGTATGGAAAATGAAAATTGACCAAAGAAATCGGACTGAGGTCTCAAAACAGCATGCGAAACTGTGAGTTGAACCCCCGTCTCGTGCAAGCCAGGCCCTCCTAGTATATGCTTCGTCGCCGAAACAAACAAGATCCATCTCATCTCACAACGACAAGGCTGAGAAAGAACGAGATGGAAATCAACAGTACCTAATATGAAGTACTACCCCCTCTCAATTGTACCACACGTACGAGGTTCAATTTTGTTCGGAGTTGTCGAGCAATACGAACACGCATGCCCCCCGAGCCCTTTTTAGTTCCCGTCTTCCCTCATTCGCTTGTCTGCCCGCGAGCAGCTTTAGTCCTCTCGCTTGTTTCTCTTGAACGGGTCAGGGGTGCCTTGTCTCATTATAGTGGATAAAAAGCAACAAGTAAGACAAAAGAAAAAAGGAAATAAAGGACGGGCACTTCCGCTTGACCCTTGAGGGGTCTCACTTTCGTCGATTCATGCCCAGATGGGGAGGGTATGTATGGTTGTGGACTGCGTTCAGCGAGCTGTGTCACTTTGATACTACTATGGAGTTCATCTTACCCAGCCATTCAATACCTACGCATGGGATAGTGACAGAATTGGTAACAGTAATACTTCAGAAAGAGAAAAGCTGTACGTAGTAGGTAGCCAGTAGGGCAATAAGGGTGAGAGAGGGGATCAGTATGGGGGACGTGCTTCAGCTTGGACCCCTTGACTATGTGCTGGTTATGCGAGTGATGCCGCATGGGAGGAAGAGAGGGCATCATTACCCACTCATTGTGCCAGTAGTAGTAAAGATGCACACGATGTCTGCTCTCCATACCTTATGACATCTCGTGGTAGGAAACAAGGTGATGGTCATGGCCCCCCCTCTCAATGCAAGGGGTGCCCGTCAACTTCGTATTAGTGTTCGGAGAAGGGATCTCGCCAATGTGACAAGAGATGCCTTGTGGTAACGGGAAACGAGCTGGAAAGCACCAGACGGGTTTAGTCTCGCTGTGACCTTGACGATAAGTAGTACCCCGAGAGCAGGACGACTCGTGCTTTGAGCGCGTCGAGGATACCTTTCATCACGTCATGGAACGCCTAAAAGCCGAAATGAACCAAGGTATGTAGAGAGGTTAATATTGCCTCTTTGTTTCGCTCACGTCTGGCATAAAAGCCACGAACCAGGAGATTACCCAGCAAGACCAGTCTGGCAACCATTTCGCTGGCTGGCCAATCAGCGCTGCAGATGATGAGTACTAAGGCATTACACGACCTGCTTTGTATGACCTTTGGTTCCTGACATGCTGCGAAGTAGAATAATATATATATAGCATTATCGCAATCCTTCCGACAGAAATGGCACAATTCAGACAGTCAGCAGCGCATAATCTGGCAGGACAAGCAAGAGCTGCTTCGATATCAAAGTCGGGTGCCGGGATTGGTGGTCCCGCAAGTATTTGTTAGTAGTACCAGCACTACGGCAGCACCTGTAGACGGCAGCACAGCACTGGAGCTGCTCCTTGCGGAAGGTCAATGGAAACCTTGGAACAGACATCCCACGGCTTCTGACGCCAATCACCGCCTGGGGAACCTCAATCAGTAGGCATTGATAAGCTTGACAAGCCGGAGCTGCTACTCGCGGCGTGGGCGGATCGGCCCATCCGAGCCTCATTTACACAACGCGCCCTGTGTGACGGGTGGCGCATTTGTTCTATTCGCAGCGTGGCGCGCTCTCACGCTCACGCTCCCAAGGCGCAGAGGCGCGTCTTGGTGCTGTGGGTTGACGGACGGCGACGTGTGATTGGGACGAGCTGCGCATGCAGAAGCAGCAATTGGTGAAGAAACGGGTGCAGAATCGACGTTATGCTGCATGCATGCACCTAAATTGCGTGTCCTTTCGTGTTGAGGCTGTTTTGCCGAGGTACCTGGAAGCGGTGCCGGGTCTACCTGGGGCCCCAGGTATCGCGGCTTCACGATGCCCTCAAAGTGAGACAAGCTGGAACACGGACAATGAGCAGCAGCAAACAGGCACTGCGGCAGTTGTATCAGCGGCGCATGTGTCGTTTGAACGTGTACACCAGCGACAGCAGCTAAAGAAGAGGCCACTTCATCACTTTGGTCTGGATTGCAGTACACCGATCCCTGGCCAGGAAGCGCAACCCCTGATCCCATTCGACCCGTGTCGCGCCATATGGAGATGGAGCCCCGGACGCTGGTACTTGTGCGACATGTACCCCCCGAGGTACCGGCCTTGCATCCTGCCTCCCTTTTTCCCACCTTAGCCTCTATTTTGTTCGTGATCTCCCCGACCTTGCGAGAGCTGCTGCTACGCTGGCAGCAGTTTATACCTTTACTTTTTATCCTTCCTCTCTCCTCAACTCCCCTCGCGGATGGTCTTCCCACAAGCCTCCAGTGTCGATTGCGCGCGCACACCCGTCTCCCCAGAGCCTCCGCGGACGCGGACCCGTCTTTCACCATGAGCGCGGTCAAGAACCTGCGAGCCATGTTCGAGAACAAAGGGGACGCGAGCCCAGCGGACGAAGATAGAGGTAGATCCCTTGGTGTCTCAAGCCCGTCTCCAACCCCAGGAGGTAAACAATGCCCTCAGTGTGTGCTGATGATTTCCGCCGTCTGCCTTGTCTCTGCTCCTCCTGTCCAGCCTTCCACTATGTGCCCATGAAGAAGCCGCAAGCTGCCTGTTGTTGTCCAGCCCAGACGCTGCTCAGCTGCTCCTGTAGCTGTTAGTCCCAATGTCCGCTTGCTTTCTTACCTCCCCTCCCTCCATATTCACTGCCCGCCATGGGCACGGCAGCCAGACAGAGACAAGAGCGGACGACCCGGCCGGAGCTGTCGAGGGTTCGAGAAACGCTAACTCGCTCTTCTTTCCGCCACTAGCTCGCAGCGGCGGCTCCCCCAGGCCGGTCATCAATAAGGTGCGAACCAGCTTCGTTGCCGTCGAGCGCAACGGCGTCATCGGCCTCGTCAGGGAAGGCAGCTCCGCATCGCGAGACTCGTCCGCCCGCCCCAGCCTCGACATCGACCGCGAGCTCCCCAAGACGCCCAAGAGCGAGAAGTCGCCCCTGTCGCCCGCCTTTCTCGCCAGCCTCAACTCCGCCATGTCTGGCATCTCGGCGCGATCCGCCCGGGCCTCCCTAGAGTTCCAGCAGGAGCAGCAGGGAGCCGTCACCGACAAGCCCAGCCACAACCCGGACAAGGTCGTCGACGAGGAGACGCCTACCGGCATGCTGTCGCCGGCCGACCCGACCGTCACCAAGACCGAGCCCGAACCTAAGCCTGCACCTAAGCTTGAACCCAAGTCTGAACCGAAGCCTGCGCCCGAGCCCGTGTCCACATCTGCACCTACGACGAAACCCGAACCTGAGAAGCCTGCGCCAAAGGAGACTGCCCCCTCTGCTAGCAGCACCGAAAATGCTGCTCAGAAGACGGCCAAGACGACGACGAAGCCGGCCGCCACCAGGACCGCGGCGAAACCCGCAGCAACCAAGGCTACGACCACCACCACCAAGACTGCAGCTACAAAGACGGCTGCCGCTCCCAAGGCGGCGGCTGCCAAAGCTGAACCCGGCTACTGCTACCAAGGCCGCTACCGACTCCTCCCGGAGAGCGAGCGTTAGGCCTTTGCAGAGGACGGCCGAAGCTTCCAACGTCAAGAGAGCATCTTCCGCTACGGCTGTTGCCAGATCGTCTGCCGCTGCGAGGTCAACTTCCGCTGTGAGGTCGTCTTCCACCGTGAGACCAGCCTCAGCCGCAAAGTCTCGCACTGGAGCAGCTACCACGACTGCTGCCAAGAAGACGCTGCCCAGCAAGTCTGCCGATGCTATCGTGAAGCCGAGAACCAAATCGCCTACTAAGCCGGTCACCCTGCCCGCTTCTCTTACGGCTCCCACTGCTGCTTCCGGCTCCAAGACCGGTGCGGCAACCGGATCGACTCAGTCGAGATCGGCAGGTAGTTCACGACAGTCCACCAGCCGGCAGAGCGCACACTCGTCAACTTCCACCGCTCGCCCAGCCAAGCAGGCCACGCGATCTCGACCCAGCATCGGGCCGCCGCCCGCCAAGCCTGCCCGTGAAGCGCCCAAGAAGGCAAAGGAGGTTGACGAAGGCTTCCTGGCCCGCATGATGCGACCTACCGCAGCCTCGTCTAGCAAGACGGCCGAGCCAACTACGCCTCCCAAGAAATCTGGCTCCCGGCCCTCTACTGCCGGCACCGCGACATCCGGCGGAACCGATCACAGCAACTACGGGGGCAGTCCCACCAAGAAGAAGTCCTCACCTAAGAAGGCGGCTTCTCAGAAGTCTCCCTCGCCCACGCAGTCCGAGGAGAAGCTGGTCATTAGGCCCAAGGAGGAAGCCGTTGAGGAGCCTGTCAAGCCCGCGGCTCAGGAGGAGGCTGCCCCTGCGCAGCCTGCGGAGCCCGAGCCTCTCCCAGTGGAGGAGGCGGCTGTCGAAGCTGCCAACGCCGAGACTGTTGAGGAAGTGGTTGCCATTGCTGAGGAGGCCGAGCTCACTCAGCCCGCCCCTGAGGCCGCTGCTGAGGCTGCTGCGCCTGTGGTTGAAGCTGAGGCTGCCCCTGTCGAGGCGGCCGCTGAGGCCACCGAGGAGGCCAAGGCGGAGGAGGTTGTTGAGCCCGCGGCCGAGCCCGTTGCCTCCGAGACGACTGATAAGGCAGACGAGGTCGCCCCCCAAGCATCTTCATAACCAACGACTCTAATCAATGGAAAAATAATAATAGCAGTTTGGTGTTTGTTAGGTCATGGATGGCGTTGTCAGTTTGACTAGGCGGAGACATACTTTTTCCTGTTTTTGTTCCCCTTACCTATGATTTATATCGAACCCACACCCGATTGTCTATGTAATACTGGGCAGGCCCCCCTCCTGTGGCCCTCTGTCGAAAAGGGGAGATGTTAGTAGTTCATCAAGATACCTTAGATACCTTTGTTTATAGCGACCACTGGTGATACTTTGCTTGTTTTTTTGCTTTGTCATTTTCATCTGTTCCTTTGTTGTTTTTCCTGGGGGGGCGTTTGGGAGTGTTACGCATGTATATCTGCGCTTTTTGTTCTTTTTTTGCCGACTATCGTCGAGGAGGTAACAGAATTCCTCGGACTTGTTGATTATGCTTATTTGCTTGTAATTGAATCTACTATACCTATTCTTACAGGAAGATGTACTTTTTCCCCTCCTCTATTGCTCAGTCCCTAACACACTCTCCTTTGTGAGATACACGATATATATACATACATAATCACGACAAGGTGAAGCCGTTCTCAGCGCACTTCCTCTCCCCCACCGCTTTGCTCTAGGTATCCTCTCCTTTTCCCTTTCCTTTTCTCTTCCCCATTTCACGTATTCATATTTATGATTTGAGCTTTGTCAATCATGACACCCGGCACATGAGCACGCCCCCAACCTTCCTCGCCAACGCCTCCCTCGCCTCAAGCACCCCCCTCGACGTAGACACAAACATGCACTCGCCCACGCCCAAGCCCTGCACGACGCCGCCCTTTAGCTTGGTCGGAAAGCCCCTCGTCAAGCGGCCGAGCTCGTCGACGTCGACGGTGAGCTGCCGCGAGGGCTTGCTGATGACCTGGGCCTTGGACAGCACGGGCTTGCCGTCCCAGTACTTGAGCCCGAGCCAGATGCGCATCTGGGCGACGGTGGCGGAGGTGACGGGCTCGGGGACCTGGGACACCATCTGCTCGGGCGTGGGCGGGCGGGTGCCCGGGGAGCGGTAGACGGAGGAGAAGAAGCCGGAGCGGTGGAGGGCGAGGGCGAGGTGGAGGTTGTACTTGTTGGAGGGGACGGACGTCAGGCCCAGGCGGGCTTTGGATGCGTTTTGGAGGTGGGAGCACATGTGTGCTATGTTGAGGATGGAGGGCATGGCTGCGGTTTTGTTTGTTGCGGAAGGGGTAGAAGAGACTGTGGTGGCGGTTTCGAGGGTTTCGAAGGTGTGTGTGTGTGTATCCTCCTGCGGATTGGGTTGGTTGTTTTTAGTTTGAGGTTGGGATGGTGGTTTTGAGGTTTGCGGTTTTGCGAGGTTGACTTACAGCTACAGCGCATTGGCTGGGTGATACAACTCCTACCGGCCCAATCGCCTGGCTGCAAATGTTCGTCTGTGGCCCCCAATTCGCTCTCGGAAAGGATGCGCCTGGTGCTGGGGTTCGTGGAATTGAACAGGCCGTGGGAAAAAAGTTCTTGGTTCGAGATTGTCGCGATTGTTGTCGATATGGCGGTGCTTTGGATCTAAGAGGAATGCGGTTGTCAAAAATTTGGAGGGGGATGACTAAGCCGGTCTGCCAGACTAAATGTGGCAACACCACTCTACCTATTTCTCTTGAACAGAGTCAACTGACGAGACCGGCGGGATTTGAAATGGTTTGCACAGCAGTTCTGTCTTGCTTTTGTTTGGCTTGAATATTGACTTGATGATTGGAGCTTTGATTTATACATACAGATTTCCGCTTATTACATCACGACGCCGCCCGTATGAACCCAGTTCTACAACTTTTGTGCAAAATAACCCGCTCCACCAGGACATCCCATGTTACATGATCTAACACTGCCTTGAGATCCGTTGAGCCTATCGAGATGAAAAGTGCCGTGTTCCAGACACACACCAGCTCCTGAATAGCATCAATGAGGAAATCAGACTGCTAGGAAATCTTCTCGCCAAGTTGGGAACTTCTATCGGTAATCACTTCCAACCGAAAAGCCTGCCCACGAGCGAAAAGACCGATGCACGCCGCCTATACGCCAGCACCAGCGCCGTCAACACCACAGGGCTCGACACGAGCGCGACGAAGCTCCGCACCAGCAGCTGGCCCTGGCGCTCGCTCTTGCGCACGACGTCGGCGTAGCCTTCGTTGCCGAAGCTGACGCGCGAGTACTTGGTCTGCCAGCCAAACGAGGGGAAGTGCACGCTCATCAGCTCCTCGAGGAACTTGCGCAGCCGGTACCGCCGGGACAGCACGCCGGAGCGCATCTCGACGTAGTTTTGCAGCGCCAGGTTGTTGATGGCGTAGGCGTCCTCGGCGCGGACGGCCGAGTACTCGGCCAGCGCGAGGCCTCGCTGGAAGGCGGCCGTGGCGGCGGAGTCGACGAGCTCGCCGTCGTCGTCGTCGTCATTGTCCGGTTTGTTGGTCTCCGCGCCGAGGCTGGCGTGCTTGTCGAGGATGGAGAAGAGGATGCGGACGTCCTCCATGCCGGCGTTCATACCCTGCCCGTAAAAGGGCACCATGGCGTGGGCCGCGTCGCCGACGATGACGCCCGAGGAGCCGTGGTGGTAGGGCTTGCACTTGAGGCTGATGAGCGGCAGGTGAGGGTTTGTCGTGAACGACTTGATGAGGTCTGATCCCGGGATCAGGGCCGTCACCCCGGGGAAGTGCTTGTCGAAGAAGGCCGGCACCGTGGAGGGATCCCGCTCCAGCTCGGCGATGTCGGCGCTGGGGATGAAGAGGGTGCATGTGAATGAGCCGTCCTGGACACACACACACACACATTAGTAACCCGCGGTGATATGAAAGTCGCATTTATAAGCAGACAAAAGACGAAAGCTGCTTACCATGCTCGGGATGGCAATGAACATAAAGTCCTTGCCGGGCCAGATGTGCAGGTGATTCGGCGATATGCGGAACTTGGCATTGGGGTCCCTCTCGTCCTCTCCCACGACACGGGGTGGCAGATGGAACTCGCACCACAGCGTGTCGATGTACTCCTGCTGGTAGTCCATCCTCGTGTACTTCATCAGGTGGTAGCGGACGGCCGAGTGCGCGCCGTCGGCTCCAATCATGAGGTCAAAGGTGATTTCAATCTCCCTGGGGCGGCCGTTGGCGGCAACGTCCTTGTCGCGGGCCTCGAGCCAGGCCTTGTTGGCCTTGAAGTCGGCGCCCGTGAGCTTGTGGTTGAAGAAGAGCTTGACGTTGGGCAGGGCGTCTAGGATGTCTAACAGACGTGCGTTGAGGCTGCCCCGGTCAATCGCATTGATGGCCTATGCAATTTCGTTGATATAAACATCTCAAAACCCAACATACATACTTTGACTGTGAAAAGAAGAGAGACTTACCCTTCCATTTACATCGTAGTTCTGAGAGTGCTCATACAAGCTGCCATCCGGCGACTGGCCGTGAATCATGCGCCCTCGCATGGGGATCGTCGCAGACATGACATGGTCGACGAGCGCCGGCTCGCCAGACTGTTTCATGGCATTGATGCCCCGTTCGGACAGGGCCAGGTTGATGGACTTTGTAAAGTTGAGCGGCACGATGCTCGGATCGCGAAGGTCTGCGTTGCGGGCGCGTGTCAGCGGAGCGAGTTGACAACCATTTTGGCAAGACAGGGGAAAGCTCCTGAAGATGAGAAACGCAGAGGACAACAATACTGTGTCGTTGACAACCTGGAAATGAATCCAAAGATCTTCTAATACATAGAGAAGCACAATAGTGAAAAAAAAATAAAAAAAAATATGGTATGAGTGACAACAACAGAGTCAGACCGAGTTCGGAGGCGTCGGGCTCACCTCACCACCTCATACACATTCAAAACGCAGAAAAAAAAAATATAGCTTCACTCACCCGGCCGCAACTCATAGACCTCGACCTGGTATCCTCTCTTGGCGGCATATAGCGCTGCCAGAGACCCGACGGGGCCAGCGCCGACGACGACAATCTTAGTGTCCGCCATGGCCATTAGGGGGGTTGCTTGTTCAAAGCTCCAGCGAATTTATGGCCATGAGAGGGTAAGAAAGGGACAGGATCGGGAGCTCTGGGAGCTATATAAGAGATGATTCTAGCATTTCGGGCCAAAGGGGGCGAAAACATGTTGGCATAACACATGGTAGTATAAAACCCGCGTCTCCGTAGCAGCAAATTCATGCTAAGAGAGCACGAGTAATACCTTAGCCGTGCTGTTACAAATGAGTCCTGATCACATCATGCTACTAAGACGCTGCGCAAGGCCACAGTCCAGCAAAAGCCACACTTTGTTGTGCTCTCTGTATCATTGGCGAGAACTTCTTTTAGCGGTTGCGTCCTATTTTCTTTAGCACTGTATTGTAATCAGCCTCAGGGCTGCCGTATGATTTTGTTTATTAGTGGGAGAAAAGCATTGGATGGCCGGATTTTATCGAGAAAAAAAAGAAAGGCGATTTCCACCCATGTCCTCGGAACCTTTGGCAGGGCGAAAGAAAAAGTTTCTGCAGCAGAAGCCCAAAACGGCTTTCCGCCACAGTTTTAATTGCCCCTCTGCCACGCCCGGCTTCTGCGTTACAGAAACCTGAAGGGACCGAGCCAGCCAACTAAGGTACTAAGGACTTGGGACGCGGCGGCTGCAGAGGTACCAGGTACATGTACGCCTTTAACGGATCGGAATTTGCCAGCCCTTTTCCCGTATCGGTCCCTATCGCACGTTATTTTTTTTTATGGCTTGATATCTAATCCACCCCTGCAATAGCATCTGCATCCCTCCAGAGCATCACTTTTGGAGTCGCTTTTGTGCCACTCGTTGTCTTCATACGTGCCGTTATCATCTATTTGTTTGTGCTTCTAGTCGCTCAAGATGGCATCAGAACCCCCCGCCAAAAAGAAGTGTCTGGGCTCGGACTGTGGCAATGACGCCGGCGCGCTGCAGTGCCCGACATGCTTGAAGCTAGGCATCAAGGACAGCTTCTTCTGTTCGCAGGAGTGCTTCAAGAGGAACTGGGTACGTACAACAAGATCTTTGTCGTGTTGAATCCAGCACAACGTCTTGAAATGGGATATAAAGAAGCGAGGAAAAGAGAAAGGAACCAGTTCGCAGAGGCACGGACTGACCCGCGGGACAGGGCGAGCACAAGAGCATGCACAAGACGCAAAGTAATCTCCTCCACCACTTCGTTGCACCGAAAGCAATCTCACCAGATGCAGTCACCGGATACTACAACCCCTTCCCGAGCTTCCCCTTCGCCGGCCCGCTGCGCCCTGTCTATCCGCTGTCCGAGCACCGTACCGTGCCCAAGTCGATCCCTCATCCCACCTGGTGGCAGGACGGCGACCCCAAGTACAGCCGGTCCCTCATCAACCGCAACAAGATCGACATCCACGATGCCAAGGGCATTGCCGCCATGCGCAAGGTGTGCAGGCTGGCGCGCGAGGTGCTCGACCTTGCCGCGGCCGCGGCCAAGCCCGGCGTTACCACCGACTACATCGATGAGCTTGTCCACAAGGCTTGCATAGAGCGCGAGGTGAGTGGCGGGGACCTTGTAATGTGAGGGCATGGCATGATGACTTTGTGGCGCTGACTCTGCTTTGGCAATCCAGTCGTATCCCTCACCTCTGAACTACAACCACTTCCCCAAATCCTGCTGCACATCCGTCAACGAGGTCATCTGCCACGGCATCCCTGACCAGCGGGTGCTGCTCGACGGCGACATCCTCAACATCGACATCAGCTTATACCACGGCGGATACCACGCCGATCTCAACGAGACCTACTACATTGGCGACAGGGCCAAGGCCGACCCCGACAGCGTCAGGGTGGTGGAGGCGGCACGCGACTCCCTCGACGAGGCCATCAAGGCCGTCAAGCCCGGCGTCCTGATACGAGAGTTTGGCAACATTATCGAAAAGGTCGCCAAGCAGAGGGATTGCAGCGTCATCCGGACGTACTGCGGCCACGGCGTCGGAAAGCTCTTCCACTGCCCGCCCAACGTGCCGCACTACGCCAAGAACAAGGCCGTCGGCGAGTGCAAGCCCGGAATGACCTTTACCATTGAGCCCATGGTTGCGCTGGGCAAGTACAGGGACATTACGTGGCCCGACAACTGGACGAGCACAACCATTGACGGCAAGCGAACAGCCCAGTTTGGTATGTTCTAAAATCCCCAGCCTGGTGCTTTGAGCGTGGACGTTGTGAGACAAGGCACTAATCGGTGATTGCAGAGCACACTCTTCTCGTCACGGAGGACGGCTGCGAGATTCTGACGGCACGGACGCCCGATTCGCCCGGAGGACCGGTTCCCATGCCGGAGAAGAAGGTGGACGGGGTGGCGGCTTGAAGATTTGTTTGCAAAACTGGAAGAAAATGGATGGCTCTGACCAAGTGATTTGATACCACGGTTATGTAGCGTTGGGCGATGCTTTGGGTGTTGGCGTCGTTGGGTGAGCGAGCGAATAGAGCCGCTGTTGTCATTTGCCGTTGATTATGGTTGACATGTGAAAGGTTAAGATGGGTGGGATATTGAAGCTGTTTGTAGGACAAGCAGAGCTCATCCTAGGTACTTATGCACTGATGATGTCTTACAGCAGGCAGTTGAGCTTGGGTTACCTCGAGATAAGAGACGTCGAGTACCTGTACCTGCGGGGTTGCGCGTTGCCCTTGCGTCAGTGAACTCACATGAAAATCTGCTGCTGTGTCTCTGTGCTGCAGTGGGATATGCAGATGCGGCTGACAGCAGCAGACGAACAGATATGTGTCTTCTATCAACGTGAGGACAGCCTCATACAGATGACGGTCATCATACCGACACCCACCTGAAGTGTTCCCTCTATTAAGCTTATCTGGTTCCTGGTTCGGAGTCCATCGAGGCCTCTCAGCTCTTCTCTGTTCGACAAGGTACAGTTACATCCCCCCTGCCCTCAGTTCGGTACCCCCAACCCAAACCCGCTGGCGCTCGCGAAACAGCGCTCATCTTCCCCACCGAGCGCAGATTCGGACGGCAGTGGTTGGCCACAGCACAGGTCCAGGACCCCAAAATCTCTCTCCCCAGAGTCATCGCCACTAACAAGAACAAGAAACAGCTGGAACCAGGCAGCTTGACCAGCTGTCCAGGTTTTCGCTCCTCCCAATTGCCTCTCGTCAAGTCCCGCCCACAAACTGCCCCCCTCCATACCTCTTCTCCAGCTCCTTCATCTACCGACTATTTGTTTTCAGGCCACCTCGCATCTTCCCTTTGGGTTTCGCGCCCTCACCGATTCTACCTGGTAATCTATATCCCGCCAGCCACCGGCCCGCAGCTCCGAGCGCAAGCTTTTTTTCTCTCTCCAAACAACCCCCACTAATATCAGCCAGTTCCCCTCCCTCGCTGCCACGCCGCGCCGCAAAGTCGAAGCTCGTGACGGAAGCTTGAGCAACGCCCAACCCGCTACCGATAGCGAAAGCAGTCGACAGAAAGCACCTTTCTCTCTCCCTCCTCACGATCCTGCTGCGCTTCTGCCTCTGCCGCCGCCGCAGCTGCTGCATCTTTCGCCTCGCCTCGTCGTCCTCGCACCTCTTGCTGTCCACCTAGCTCCTCGTCTCGGAAACACACGTCATGATGTCTGGAGAAGCGTGGCTGTTCCTGTTGGCGGTGTTGATCAACGCTGTCAACCTCTTCCTGCAGGTCTTCTTCACCATTATGTACAGCGACCTCGAATGGTACGACGCCTCCCCGAGACAGCCCCGGCAGCTGGCACATGCGCGCTCAACGCATCCTCCGCAGCGCCGTCCCCGAGCGTATAACTAACTTGAGCCCTTTGGTAGTGACTACATCAACCCCATCGATCTCTGCAACCGCCTCAACGCCTACATCATCCCCGAAGCTGCCGTCCATGGCTTCCTTACCTTTTTGTTCCTCATCAACGGGTACTGGGTTGCGCTTGTTCTCAACCTGCCTCTCCTCGGATACAACATTAAGAAGTGAGCCGCTCTCGAAAAGCTGGATTTTACCGTAACCGGAACACGTGTCTTTCTAACCTACAACCACTAGGATCGTGGACAACACCCACCTCCTTGACGCCACCGAGATCTTCCGAAAGCTCAATGTTCACAAGAAGGTTCGTCATTTATGAGCGCAGGATATTCGACTCCGCCGAGCACGTCGCTGACAAACTGCAACAGGAGTCGTTCATCAAGCTGGCCTTCCACCTGATCATGTTCTTCTTCTACCTCTACAGCATGATCGTCGCCCTCATCCGTGACGAGTCTTCGTAAACGATGTCGAATTGGACGGCGAAACTACCCTAACCCATCACACCAATTTCTCTGGCAGGGCCGATACAACGAAACACGGCAACTCTGACGAGGGAGCGCCGGTAGGGCAAGACGACTATGGGACCATGGACAAGCATCGATTATGACTAGATTTACGCTACGATGGAGCTCATGTATTGATGGCGTGGATGACTGGGGGAGCGGCTTCGACAGCAGTTTTTAGCACAGTGTCTGGTGGCATACTGGCGCTTGGAGCTCCATACCGAGAGCGCGACCTTTTCTCCTAGGAGAGAGGGATTTCGCAACGTGGGATATGGCAGCTTCGTCTTTTCTCTTAGGAGGGCGGACGCTGTTGGGTCGGGCAGGGTTGGAGTAATGATGACACTTGAATGTGAGGAGGATGATGATTTAGCTGGAATGACCAATACCATTAATTGTAAAGAAGTATGATCATCATGCAACGCACTTCCGCTTTCTTACACCTGCTTTGCTTTTGTAGGTGACTTGGTTGTTTGATTTTGATTTCACTTTAGTTTGCTGCATATCAACGAGGCTCACAAGGGTCGGCGATGCCTCAGCATCAACGTCCACCAATGTTCAGCCAACAAGTGCTAAAGATTGATTATAAAATTCCTCCAATGAAAGACTTGTGCGCAACTAACCAGGAACTTCAAAGATAAACCACCGGGCAGTATATCGACGCAATTGCGAACAGCAGCCATCCGCGCTCCTTCAAAAAACAAGCTGCACTGTCGTCATAGTGTGTCACGTGACCCGTCCTTGCCCAAGACGCGCCACGACTTCTTCCCTCTCGACCTCCTCTGCTTCCAACCAAACTGCCGCCCACCGCCGCAATCATGGCCGACTTTGGCGAGTATCCGCCCAACATGGCGCCGCAGGACGCGCTCGTGGTGCGCCAGCAAGCGCAGCCAGACCACGAAGTCGTCAAGTACACAGCGGAAGACCTTTCCCGGCCCCAGGCTGGCCCTGCCTATCCGTACAAGCAGAAGGAGAACACGCTCAAGCGTAAGAACGTGCTGACCGGCCACGCGGAGGAGATGTTTCTGAGCGAGCATTCGTTTCGGCGGAAACACAGGGCGGTGGAGGCCAAGGACGGGCCCAAGGTGAAGGTCGAGCGGGAAGGCAAGGGTGATGCGAGCATCGCTCAGGGAGACAACGAATATGTCGGGCCCTGGGCGAAATTCAAGAAGGATCGATACGAGGAGGTGGAGGAGGTGGGCGAGGACGAGGATGGGTACGAGTACGAGTACGTGGAAGAGGACGACGAGGACGTTGTCGAGAGCGGGACGGTGTTGCAAGCACCGAAGGGTGCGCTGGCTCGACGCAAGGAAGTCGAGGATCTGGGCGAAGAGACGACGACATTCCACGGCACGGAGGAGTACGACTACCAAGGCCGCACATATATGCATGTCCCACAGGATCTCGATGTGGACCTGCGAAAGGAGGTGGGCAGCGTTACCAACTTCATACCGAAGAAGCAGATACACGGCTGGAAGGACCATTCAGGAGCGGTCACGGCGTTGCGCTTCTTCCCAAAATCAGGACACTTGCTGCTGTCGGCCGGCGCGGACACGACGGTCAGGATCCGCGATGTGTATCACGACAGGGAGCTGCTGCGGACGTATTCAGGCCACTCCAAGTCACTGTCCGACATTTGCTTCAACAACTCGGGAACGCAATTCTTGTCTGCTTCGTATGACCGCATGATCAAGCTTTGGGACACGGAGAAGGGCATCTGCATCAGCAGGTTCACCACCGGCAAGACACCCCACGTTGTCAAGTTCAATCCCGATCCTGAGCACTCCAACGAGTTCTTGGCCGGCATGTCAGACAAGAAGATTGTGCAGTTTGATATACGCACGCCAAACCAGGTGGTGCAGGAGTACGACCATCACTTGGCCGCCATCAACACCATTACTTTCGTCGACAACAACCGCCGCTTCATGACGACGTCCGACGACAAGTCGCTGCGCGCATGGGACTACAACATCCCCGTGCCCATCAAATACATTGCCGAGCCGGACATGTACCCGATGACGAGGGCCGCGCTGCACCCGTCCGGCAAGTATGTCGCGTACCAGAGCTCGGACAACCAGATCCTCGTCTACGGGGCCAACGACAAGTTCCGGCAGAACAGGAAGAAGAGCTACCGCGGCCACAACAATGCCGGCCTGGCGATCGACCTGGACTGCAGCCCCGACGGCCAGTTCCTGGCTTCCGGAGACCAGGCCGGCTACGTGTGCTTCTGGGACTGGAAGACGTGCAAGATGTACCACAAGCTCAAGGCGGGCAACCAGGCCGTGACGTGTGTGCAGTGGCATCCGCAGGAGACGAGCAAGGTCGTTACGGCTGGTCTGGATGGCGACATCAGGTATTGGGATTAAAGGCTGCGGGTGGAAGCGCATTGGAGCATTGGTTACGGCGTTGGGGGGTTGGATATCCTAGAAAATTGGAGTTTGTGTACATAATCAGACTTGTTGGTATGCAGCGGGCTTGCTTTATGAAGGATCTTCTTTGGCGCTTCATATGGAGGGAGTTATATCCTGTCTAGTAGTACGTATTGCGGCCGTCCATGTGATAGCATCGAAGCATTTTGAGCCTTGTTTCGTCGGCATGAGAGAATATGGTTTTGAAGCCATTGACCCAGCATACGAATACATTCATCTAGGCCTCGGTCTAAAAGGCTACATCACAGCATCGCCCGACTCTGTATGGAGTTGTCATCCTAGCGAATCTCCTCCCAGAGAGTTCTACGATATTCACGTGCTTCCATGAAGTCGGAAGTGACCTTCTCCCCCCCTTTTGACGATCATAGTATGTATCCCCAGTGTCACCATTGCCCCTTGCCCGGCATTTAACCTATCGACTTTGCCAGTTTGGGCTTTCAAATTCTATCCAACCCCTTTGTAAAGTCGGTACATAAATCTAGATACATCACAGTCAATGGTTCATATCATATACACAGACATACTCAAGAAAAAAAAAATGAAGAAGTGAAAGAACAATAGGGTATCAATTCGCTCAAAGCTCTCAAAAAAAAAAAACACCATCTTAACAAAATCCATAACATCTTTGCCCAAATCTTTTGCCATTCAGATCCCGAAAGATGAAATAACGCCAACACGAAAGAAGTGTCCGGAAAGAACTTTGCCCCCCCCCCCCCCTTTGAAATCAACTCTCGGCGGAAAAAAAAAATAAAAGTCTCCGCTATCGTTGATTCTGCCTCTGAAGCGGAGGGAAGGCGTACGCCTCCAAGAAGAGCTCGCTGGCCGGGTCCGTCCAGTCGGGAGGATCCATGTCTGCGGCCATGGCTTCGCCTGCGAGGTACAGGAGGATATAGCTTTCCTCTTCCTCCTCTTCTTCCTCCTCCTCCTCCTCTTCTTCCTCCTCCTCCTCCTCTTCTTCCTCCTCCTTCTCGTCTTCGTCGTCGGCGTCGGCGTCGTCTGCGCTGTCTTGCTCGACGACGGCATCTTCATCCTCATCTTCGGTGTCGTCTTTATCGAACAACAAGGGAAGAATTAGCATCAGATAAACATGCATCTACAGATATATATATATATATATATATACATATATATACATATATATACACCAGGGTAAAACAAAAAACAAAGTAAAATTCAACTCACCACTGCTCCAATACCCAACACTTCTCCAGTCCTCCTCATCCGTATCCCCCACAGAAGACCCATCCGACAACAGCCCCGGCAGCAACGACAACACGCGCACCGCTTCGTCGCCATGCGGAGGAGCCATGCGAGCGGCTCGGCGGATGACGGCGGCGTACCCGCGGAAGCGCAGCAGCTGTTCGTCTTCCGAGCTGCTGTCGGGCTCGTCGTCGTCGTCGTCGCTGTCTTCTTCCTCGGGCCAGGGAGACGACGCCCCGCCGAGCTCGTCGAACTGCGCAGCGTCTTCAGCCGCAAGGACGAGCACTCCTTCGTCGTCGTCGTCGTCGTCGTTGTTGTAGACGACGCCGCCGGCAGCTGCTGCTGCGGCGAGAGCGTCACTGGTGAGTGCGAAGAGGGGCCCGTCGCCGAGGAGGGGGAGGCGCACATGTTCTCTGGGAGACATGGTTTCTGAAGTGTCGTGTGCCAGCAAGGGGAATATAAGGAATGATTGTTCCGGCGAGGTGGGGATATATTTCCTTGCTGGCAAAAGAAGACGTGATTTTTGTCTGAATTGTTCTGAGCATGAGGGGGGGAGTAAGGGGGGATGTTATAGGCCGGCTGGTGCCTTGTACGTGTCCCATCATTGCAAGGCTTTGTTGAGGCTGTTCATATAAAGTTCTGTGCTTGAACGCTAGAGGGATACGTTTCCGTGTGGATATGTGGACAGATCTCTTCTTTGTTGAGGATCGTGGGATTTGAGGTTTTGAGTTCAGGGCTTGGGTGTAGGAGGAGGAGTCGGCCTTGGCCCAGAGGAGAAAGGTCTTCTAGCACTGAGTCTACCACGAGGGTTTCATGGCTGAAGCCTTGAATCGTATATTGCCGAGTGTGCCATGCCACTGAACTCTTGAGGCAGAATTATTGCTCTCGTTCAACCGAGATACGATACTGCATGCGGTACTAGGTCGCTTAGAACACAAAGGCGATATACACATGTCCACGCATACATGACTTCATCCCAACTCTCACAAACTCCCCTTAGTTGTCCGCCGGCGCCTCCACTGCCTGGGCGACCATGAGTTCGAGAATGGCATGGACAACCTCCACGGCCGCAAGAGCAGTAGTCTCGCCGTTGTCGTCGTAGGCGGGCGATACCTCGACCACGTCGCCACCGATAATGTTGAGTCCTTCCAGACCAGCCAGGATGGTGGTCAGTTCACGGGTGCTCCAACCGCCGGGTTCTGGCGTACCGGTTGCTGTGTATTTTCCACATTGTCAGTTAAGCTTTTCTCTGACAAGTTATACCAAATTTGTCCGTTGAGTTGCGAGTTAAGGGGGGGAAAGGGGGGGGAGGGAAGTACCCGGAGCAAACGCAGGATCGAGAACATCGATATCAACGCTAATATAAGTGCTGCTGTTCCCAACACGCTCTCGGATCCTGTCAATGATGGACGGGATGCCCTTGGTATCAATCTCGCGGGCGGTGATTGTGTCGAAGCCGCAGCGTCTGTCGTTGCGCATGTCTGCCTTTTGGCGCATCACCGGGGCGCGGATTCCGGCGTGGATGGACGAGTTGAGGATGAGATTCTGGGAGAGTGAGCTGCCGTTATGACCACATGCAGGTATGAGGAGGTGAAAGATTTACCTCTTCATGAGCGATATGCAAAAAGGTTCCGTGATTGAGGCCCCTTGCGGATTTTTGGTTTAGTATAACTCAACAAGACGAGACAGATTGCTACTGTTCAACTTACGCATAATCTGAAATACCGCCGCCTTGTTCAATGTCAGTATCAAATAACTCGGCCATGGATGGAGAGTTTTCGTACCTAAAACTGCCGGATCCCAAGTATCTGTATCAAAATGTCAACTTTAAACTACTTCAAGCTTCAATAAGTGGCCGAGGCCTCAATCTTACCGATATGGCTATCAAAGTGAACGACCGACACCGGCCCCCATCGCTTAAATGTCGACCGCAGCGCAGACAGAGTCGTCGTGTGGTCGCCCCCAAGCGTCACAATCCGGGGAATCGTAGACTTGTCTGGATGTGCTGTTGCTCTCCCGGAGACTGCTCGGTGCGCTTGATCAAGCGTCTTGAGGGCCACCCGGTTGTCGAGGAAGGTTAATGGGGCGTCGAAGCAGTCGACGACTCTGGCCCAGTCGCGAACCGGGTCTCGGCCTTGGTTCTTGTTGATTAGGTTTTGATACGTGAAAAGAGTATTGTGCGAGCTATGCTGGCCGTGCTCATCTCACCGGTGTATATGCTGTAGCCATATGCCTTTCGTTCACTCGCCGCTCGAATGGCCTTTGGCCCAAAGCGCGCTCCAGGCCGTGCCGTTACAGCCTATATCTCGTCTATCAGTCTCTGACTCTCATGAGACTCAATAGGCGATACTGACAGTGTCAAAGGGAGCCCCAAGAATCGCAATATCGAAGCCCTCTGACGAGTCGCTCTCGGCAAAGCAGTTCTCGTACGGGACATTCGCATACGTGCCAATGCCGCCAAAGTCGTACGTCGACAAGTCGATCTCGCCCACGGGGCTCTCAGAATGAGCCCAGAAGGGAATCTGGTTGCCGCCTTGAGCTGCGAATTGATGGGCGTGGACGCTCGCGTGCAGCAGCAGCAGCATCCATGTGAGGAGCTTTGTGGAGGGGAGGAGGCGAGTCATGGCGAATCGAGTGTTTCTTGACGAAGAGATTCTCGTATCAAGCAGTATTCAATACACAAAAACAGAAACATGCAGCAGTGACGGGTGATGAGGGAATCACAAGAGATCAGCAAAAGTTACAAGATGCATCATCTAGTACCGAGGTAGTCGTTCCATCGCCACATGTAGTTCCCCGCAAATTTCCCATCCAGCTTCGCTGATACAACCTCATGCCACCCAGGTAAAGCGTCAATGTCCGCACATCTCGCATCCTCCTACATCACCAACCATCAACAAAGCTTTGCCCATCGCTATGCACATGTACAACCCGCGAGAAATACGAGCATCTCCCGCAGCGATATGCTGAACCGCATGCTCTGTTGAGTCACGACCATCTCTCTTCTTCAGGAACAAGCTCAATCTTTCCTCGTCGACGCAACTGAGCCAAATAAACTTTTTATATTTCCGTCTTTATCGATCGCTTCATCGAAAGCCGTAGTCCTCCCAAACATACACTTCGAAGCGGCCGTCGCGGGATTCTTCTTGTCGCTGGACGGGGCGAAGAGCCCCGTCGTGTACTGCGGCTGTTGGATGTACGACATGGCAAGGTCCTTTGCAAACTCGGGCACCTCGCCCATGAGGCCATCCAGAATCTGCTTAATGTCCAAGCCAAACGGCAGCTCAGTGATTCTCAACCTGACAGTCTCGATGACGACGTCGCGGAGACTCTTGCTGCACTCGGCTTGCAGGTCATATACAGGCTTGACATACTGCGGGATCACGCCGGGCTCCTTTAGCTTCTTGACAGCCTGCGTGAACTTGGTCTCTGAGAGGGTGCGCAGCCCGTCGATGAGATACATGTCGGCCAGCGTGAACATGGCGACGTGGATGAGCATATCCTGAACCGCCTCGAGGTTGTCGGTCTTGCCGTCGTAGTCTCCTTTGTAGAAGAAGTCAACCATGCGCTGGACATTTGCAAACTCGCAGTCCTTCATCTCGTATTTTCCAGAGGCCTCCTGTAAGTTGCAAAATAGGAATCAGTTTAGAAAGCACTCTTTTTACTCTCGGCTTTTGGTGAGGGCTGGCCACCTTGAACGAGCCGGTGCATGCCGCTTTGATGACGGGAGATTGCAAACAGGCAACGAGCTTATGGACTGTGATTGTCTGACCATTGCAGACGAGTTCGAGATCGCACAGCTCTCTCTTCTTCTGCGCGCTGTTTGAAGTGAGACGAGGGGAAAAGCAGATAAACCGGGCGATTGCTTCGATGCTCACCTCGCCATGAGTATACATAGATTCTGGGCGTGCGATCCAAGTGTTGGTCCCATTTTGCCGGGTCTGCACAAGAAATGATGGAAGAGAAACGAGCGAGCTAAAGGAGCTCAGCGTGCAGGACGAGCTGTTGCTTTTAATATTGAGGAGCCCTGGATAGCAACAGAAGAGAGAGTCCCAACGCACATGCGAGCTGGGAGCCCCGTCGCTTCTGCCCAATTGTGAAGAGGCAGAGTTACGCGCCATCCTAGGCCTGTATCGCCGAGGCCTGCAAGAGGATTCGAAAACATACCATCTCCGCCAATCACTGATGATGTTACTTGCTGTTGGTTGTGCGACATGCATCATTTTTGGATCGCTTGCAGAATTACTACCTCTTCAGCAAAGGGACATAGACACCAAGCCCGCGAGATGAATAAACGCGCTTGCATCATGGCAAAACTGCACTACTGCAAGTGTTGTGTCTTCTGAGCATACGGAGCATTCTCAGCCATGTTTATATGCTACCACGCAGCCCCTTCACCCCCAAGCCATTCCGAGAGCTCTCACGCAGGAGATCATGCAATGAACTGGATTTCCAAGGCGAGAGCGAGGCGAAAGTGCGGAGGATTCTCATCTCTCTCCGCCTCTCAAGGATCAGGGATGTCCTAGAGAGAGAGGTAAGGTAAGCGACCTTCAACATTCAGTACCACGGCGCTTAGTTAATAACCGCGCTCTTAGCAATAGAATGGAAGAATGCGTACACCGACACAGCAGACTGTTTGCTTTCATATTTAAACATAACACACAGCGCTGGGCTGAGGGTTGGAGATTTCGTGCCTTTGCTGGGAATGTACATACTGGATCACCACTTCCTCACCGCAGTGAATGAGATATCCTAGAAACCTCATGGTGTGAGAAACTGCTTGACACTATCCATATAGATATACACATAAAGAAACCAAAACAGAAGCAACAAGAGATCAAGAATTACAAGATTAGTAGTTCCGCACTCGTTCATGCCGGTTCCCTGCAAATATGCCATCCAGCTCTGTCGATACAACCTCTTGCCACCGAAGTAAAGAGGCAATATCCGCATTTCTCGCCCCATCCCTAGGTAGGTATTAATAGCTAGAACGGAATCTGCTCTCAAATTTGGCTATTCGTTTTGCCTGCTCTTTTGCCTTCTCCGCAGCACAATCACACTTGGGACAGTGCCCAGTGTTGCCAGTCAATGGCCTTCGAACAAATGATGTCGCAATATCACTTGCAAATTCTGGTATCTCGTGAAACAGGCTTTTCATAAACGTCTGTTTTGTCTCGTCCATACCGGGGATTCTTTCTCTGAGCTGTTCAACCATGATCTCGCGGAGGACTTCGCTTGAATCGCACTGCAAGTCGTAAACCCGCTTGACGTGTAGGAAGAGTACGCTGACCATGCTCTCTGCTTTGACGGCTTCCCTGAACTTGGTCTCTGCTAGGGCGAGAAGCCCGTCGATGAGGTACATGTCCGCCAGACCGAACATTGTAAGATGAACGACTATCTCGTGAACCTTATCAGCTTCGTCTGGTGCCTTGTGCTGATAGTCTCCCGTATAGAAGTAGTCGACCATCCGTTGGACAGTGTCGAAGCTGCAGTCTTTGATCTCATATATTCCAGAAGCCTCCTAATGAAATACTCAGGCCTGCTCTCCTTGATCTTTTTCGGGGGAGTTACAAGATTACCTCGAACTGGCCGGTACAGGCCGCCTTGATGACTGGCGATTGCAAGCAGACAATGTTCTTATGCACCGGAATTGTCTGGCCGTCGCATGCGAGGACGAGATCGCATAGCTCCCCGTTCTTTTGCGCACTATAAAACCGGAAAGAAAACGTCAGAAGAGACTCAAAAGGCTTTGTATGACCTCTTTCAATGATCGCTACTCACCTTGCCAGTCGGATACACAGCTCAGATGAGTGTAGTGGTAAACCAGATTGTGCCATGCTGCCAGACACTCGAGACGAGATATTAGTAGTACGGCAGGATAGGCTTGACGAAACCCTGTTCGGCTGGATGCGAATACTGTGAGCACCTTATGACTGGATGCGAATATGAATCTTTGTTTCTATTCAGATTTTCAAGAGGTCGTAGCTTATTATACTGCCGTGAGGATTAGGCGCCTCACAAGGCTGCCCGTCACACGCCGCCCAACCCGTGAAGAATTGCCCATGCAACCATCCCGCAGTACTTGTTGGCTGTGCAGCGGGAGGCCTACAGTACAGAGGATACAATGCCATCTCCGCCAATCATCGACAGAGGTACTCGCTGTTGGCTACAGATATGCGACATGCATCCTTTGTTAGTAAATATAGACTTGCAGAATGGTTCTATTTCCTCAACAAGCGAGAAATGGAGACGCCGTGGCTAACTTACACAGCAATGTCAGGCTGCTGGGTATGTCAGCTACTAACAGCTATTACTACCTTAGCTGTAATAGATATAGCTAGCATAATAAATATAGCCAAGTAACAATAGATATGGCTAGTCTAATAGATATTGAAGGAAGACAAGCTGTTTTAGTAAGAAGTAAATTACTTAAGCTATAACATCTTGTATAAGCCTTGTGCAAGGTAAAAATCTTGTAGAAGCACTGTCTGAGAACCAGCCCCGCTCACCTAGGTATGTATCTCAGGAATTGAATGAGATACGCTGGACGTGATAACCAGACTGCTTGCTGCTGCTGCAATATGTAAACACAAGCACAAAACATGCCAACCCCAAACACTACTTGAGAAGATAAACCGGGGGAAGAAACGGTAGGGAGAAGGTGTTTAGGAATGTCTTCCTCATCTGTCCAATGGGGGTATATACACCATAAGCAATAACGTCCTCGAAGCCCCAAAAGAGACATGCTTCGTACCGCAACCCATCACCCATCCATACCTATACTCAAGCATCATTCCTCGGCCTCTTCCAATCTCTTACCACCCCCTTACCCCACGCCCCTAACTATACCACTGCAGACTCTCAAAGAGTTCGATATCCCTCTCGCTTAGCCCCTCGCACCCCCCACACCCGCACCGAAACCCATAGCACGAATACAAGAGCTCTGGACTCAGATTTTTCCCATAAGAAATCTTGAGTTCGCGTCCAGCAGCCACGTCCCTCCTCACCACCATCTCCAGCGCGTGCTTCTCCTCGTCAAACCGGTATTCCACGTTGTTCACCGGGAAGCAGGCGTGGTTGAAGCGAGCCGCGATGGGGAACAAGCCCGCTACATGATGTCCGACGGCGAAACTGCGTCCACAACTTGTATGTTAGTTGTCGTTTTGGCTGGCGGGAATGAGCGTGATGAAAGGTTGAGGCAGTGAGACTTGCCAGTTGGTGTGCCAGACCGCGGTGACCTTGGGAGTGTCCCCCTTGATGAGCTCGTGTGCGTGGAGACTCAGCGCGACTTCTCTGTCCTGCAAGCTGAGCTTGTAAAACTCTCGTATGATATTGTGGCTTTCTGCGACGAATAGCGGAATTTCTCTCAAGATGATGTCTCCTCGTTTGAGGTCTCGTTCGGCAAAAGCTCCCCAGCCGGCAACGGCAGACTTTGCAACTTGGAAGTACTCATTTCGGTATTCGGGGCTGGGTGACAGCTTGCGGGTGAGGGAAAGAATGAATGGTGTTTCTGGCTCGTCTTCTGCTTCGGCATTCTTTTCCTCTTCTTCTGAAGTGTGCTTTATCTTCAAATCGACAAGTGCCTCCAGTGTCTCTTTTTGTAGCGTATCAAAGTCGGTCGCCGTAGCCTGGAGCGTCTCGCTCATGTTGTCGACACATCCACACGTCGTTTCATCTGAGCTCAGCGCATCGCTTTGCGTCTCTGTCGTGCTACAAACTCATTAGCTAGATCCCTCGTTGAGAGAAACTGTAGGAATCAACCTGATGGTGTCCTCTTCCTCAGTGATCTCATCTCCAGTCTCATCTCTCGTGATGTTGAAAAGCCATGGAAGCTCAATAGATAGCTGCTTCTGGTGCTTTTTAGGTTTTTGTATTAGGAGTGGATGCCTGTCGATTGCTGGTGGCTTGTTATCGAAGATGGTCCCTCTATCTCTGTACAGAGGCAGGCTGCAAACGAGTTCTAGCCGCCCCGACCAGGGGTGCAATAAGGCGGCAACTGTTGAAGAGTAAGCCATTGTCTGAGTGAATAAAGATGTAAAGAGCAAAGTGACTGTGAGTCTGTCAATTTCGGGCAGCTCTTTGCCACCGGTGGTGCGAACTGAGCCCGTTCTGAATGAGAAAGTGAGCAGGAGCAAATCGATGCGAAGACGTGTTGATAGGGAGCCAAGTGTAAGAGCAAAAACAAGGTGAAGCGGTTGCCGAGGATTGGAGTTGAAGAGTTGAGAAAATTAAGAAGCAGTAAATTGCTTAAGTACATGCAGAACCCGTTTGCTTTGAATCACGTCACGAGGCTGCAAAGAGAACAGCTACTTGACAGATAATACCAGACTTCTCGCAATCTATCAAGTATGAACCGATACACAACAAACCGGTATCGTGGCAATCGAGGCACTTAACCACTTCCAGTAGACAAAGCCGCTCTCTTCTACGGCTACGAACCGCCATCACACCGCCGTTTGTCCCTTAGCCAGCATCACCACAGCAATCATTCACCATCTTCAAAGACCATGCTGTGACACACGAGCAGATACGGGAACTGCATAATGTATATACTAACTCGAACAAACAGTAACTCTCCGTGTATATTCCGTGACGCCTTGTGAGCAACCACAACCTGATACCCAAGCTCCCAAAAGGACCTCTTGACGCCAGCAATGCATGGTTTCTCCTTGTGCCCATTCCCGTCTGTGTAACAGAGCTACCCTTTAGAGTTCCAGTCCACAAGGCCGTAAGTATTTCTCTTCCAAGATCCATCCACATCTTTGCCATTATGACCAGTATCAATGCTCGTGTATATATGCCCACCCCCGATGGCAGCATTCCTGACAATGAGTTGACCGCGTATTCAAGCAAAGACAACTCGAGTTATATAAACGCAACCGACAGAGTGCCATCATGCACGATCCACGCCCAGCTTCCTCCTTGGACGAAGAGGACAGTCTCCCTGACAGTCAGGACACCGCAAGCAGCCAGGTTTTGACCACACTTTCCGGCACCTGCAGACCCAGAGGTCCCGTCCCGTCCTTGTAGTAAGACAGTCGAACGGGGCGTGGATCCCCGTGTCCACGCCGCACGAGATGCAGAACCTCCGAAGCATGACGAGTCGATCCGACCGCGGGTCCGGCTCTCGATCACGGACAATGTGTCCACGGACGTCGACGTAGACGGACAGGGGCTGCAGCATGTCAAAGTGCTCCGGCGACCGCACGCGGAAGCAGACGTAGCACTCAAAGTTGCCCGGCTTGTAGTCGTGCCCCTTTTCGCTGGGCCGGTGTTGCGGAAAGTCCTTCGCGGCTCTCATGACGAACTGTGCCTTGTCTGCGGGATCGGCCATGCCCTGGGGGTCGATGGTCTGATGGAAGTATCGGTTCATGGTGGACAGGTGGATGAGTGTCTGGTAGTCGAGGTGAGAAAAGACGAGCCTCTGGAGCTCCTGCGGCAGGCGTTCGATCAGGGACGGCATGGTTCGCGAGTGATGACGACGGTGAGAGGGTTGAGGCAGCTGCGGGGAATGATACTGCTGCTGATGCCGCTGCTGGTGGTGGTGGTGGTGGTGGTGGTGGTATTGTGGCTGTTGCTGGAGCCCCGGATTTCGCCTCTGAGGCTGGTGATCCTGTGGGGGCAGGTGGCCGTGCTGGTGCTGATATTGATGGCTCATCTCAGATAGACTGCGATGATGGTGGTGAGTGTGAGGTTGACGTTGATGTAGAGGTTGGTGTTGATGTTGATGTTGTCGTTGAGGGTTGTTGTAAGGATGATAGTGTTGGACGAATCGAGAAGTGGAAGACTCAATGGGTGTGTTGTGAGCACTAGGGCTTCCCAGATCCGGAGCCATAGTAGGCCTCGGAAGGACGATCATGGCGGGCTAGTAGAGAGATTTGTCGACGAGATTGATCTCGATATTATCATGCAAGACAAGGCATGCAGAGAAATATAAGCCTGTAACCCCGGGACAGCCAAGTGCTACTTCTGGCAGATTATCCTGGATCAAATCTAATAACGAGCCACTCGTCCACGGGGGGGAGGGAAAAGCGCCGCCGCAAAGGTGGCATGAACAGGGAGAGGGGGTGAGTGGATGTTCGAGTAAGGACGGGGGCCGGCTCAGATGCATTCAAGCGGTCTCTCGAGCATGCCCGCATGTTGGGATCGCAGTGCCATCTCCTCACAAGCCCGCCGTTGGCTGGGTTTCATCTGTTCCGTACAGCTGAGACAAACTCGCCTCGGACATGGGCGGTGGGCCATTTCGAGGAAAGCATGGCAGTGGAAACAAAGGAAGCGCACATGGAAAGCGCTCCACCGGAGGGAACACAACACCAAAACCCCCCGGAATGCCTCTCTCTTCCTCTCTCTCTCTCTCCTGGTCACGGCCTACGGCCGAGCGAGATTCTCAGCCAGCAGGGCAGGACTCAGAGGCCCCTCCCCGATGAATCCCTAACATGGGACCGGCAGCATGGTTTGGCTAGCCCGTTGAGGGCATGATAAACAGACAATCGCCGACTGACAGATCCCGTAGCTAGGCCACATCTGCATGGATACCTTACGGTAGCTCGCGGCACTGACAAAGTTAGCAGATGAAGGCAAGGGGGGGCGATATAGCATCACCTCATGTGTGTGGGGGTTTAGGCATGGAGATGATGCTACTAGCCCTGATTTTTCCCAAGTGGTATGTCCCAAGTCCCAGACATTTCCATCTCATCTCTTGGCTATCCACCAGCCCAACGCTTGTGAAAGTAAGTCGTTACTATTTGGGGAGGGCGTGGGCCATGAAATGCGACTCGATTCCGGTGCACCGCTCGCCGGACCAATTCCCCGGCCATCAAATCAACAACCTGTCAGGCACTTGGGTCATGTGTGCAAGATTGGAGTCTCAGAGGACCCAACGGCGAACCGTCCTGCCGGGTGAGCCGCATGGGGAACATGCTGTGAGCCAGCGCATACTACTCGTATACCGCTGGGTATGATATGCTCCCGTGCGATCCTCGTGCCCAAATAACAGCCAGCAACCGTCCAGCCAGAGCGTCAGAAACAGTAATGCCCCAGTGCTACTACGCACGAGCTGTATATTGTCTTGGAAGCCTCGCAGATTGAGACGCACTGACTCTTGAAGCTGCCTTGTACGTGCTTGTACCTGAGGCACAGGAGTACTACTTGCAAACGCACACGGGCCAGGTCGCCAGATGTTCTCTCATGCGTTCGGCGGCGTCGTTGGTTTCCGCCACCGTTTCGCGGCGGTAGCGATTTTGCACGCATAAGTGCATCCACGATCCACCGGCAGTTCTCCAGGTCTCAAAGGGGGGCGGCTCCAGTTTCTCGTATGCACTTGCAGCGGCGATGCCAGCGCTGCTCCCCTGTCCCGTCGCGGCCAGCGCGGTGACTAGGGAGGACAGATACCCTGACGGCGTCGGCCGTCCGCCTCTCGACAGTGGCTATCGCCCGACATGTCCGCTGGCGACAAGCATTTCTGACCGATCCAGAGAGCTGGCTCACGTCTGTGCCGCACGTGGATCACGCGTGCGAGCCTCGACGCTAACCTTGCCTTGATGAAGATAGGGGACGAGGCTCCATCCCTTGCTTGCCTTGGACGAGGACATCCTGACAGACAGGGCATCTCGCGCGGCGATCGTTATTACGGGCGACTAACGCTAAAGATCTCCCCCAATGGTCTCGGCTGAGAGGCGAGAGTCGAATCGGGACTAGGCAGCGTTACACGGCATTCTTTCATATCGCACAGCTGCCTCGTCCAGGGCTCTGAGGACTCGATATGATTGATCCAGTCAACCGGTAACGGAGCGTTGCGCTGTAATGTCTCAGGTGTCTCAAGAAGCTCTGAGACTAGTGGCATTGTGTCGTTCTGTTCGTGAGATGAAGTTGTGGCCACGATAGGCTGTACATACGAAGTACTCCGTTGCACCCCATGCTTCTATCACAAAAAGCTTCATCCCGTTTTCCTGAGATTTGTTCCGCTTTTTTTAGAACCAAGTCATGATCCCTGTGATTACAGCTTCGTTGCAGGCTCGTTCGATTGGTTAATTGTCTCCGTAGAGGCGTAGAAGTGGAGTTTGTCAAAGGTCGGCCGCAAGTCTGTCCCGACAGCTGGGGGTTAGAAGTTCAGAGAAGTTCAACCGGGGGGAACGACAAGGCAAGGGAAGACACAGCCACGGTTCACGAACTTCTTTTTCCCTTTCTTTCCCCTTTGGAAACAAGCATCCAAGCACGTCTAGATTGCATGGCCACGGCACTTACATGTATCAGCGTAGGAATCTCAACATCCAATTTCATCAAGGGTCGATGTGGTGCGACAGCAATGAAAGACATGCATATGAAGTAGTAGTACTGCTTCGTACTCCATGCTAGCAGCAGCAGAGGAAGCCGCCCTCTCTTTCCATTCCCGGCTCCCAACCGTCACAATTCATTTCAGACCGAAGGAGCTAGACAGGCAGGCCGCGTGCTGGTAGGCTGACACGGCAGAGAAAAGATGAGGGTTCCCCTCATGTGATTGTCGTCGACGATATGTAATACAACTCCCCAGCGTCGGTGTTGGTGGGAATCCATGATACCCTGCATGCAACTGCACATACGGTCTCTGAGCTGCAGGGTTGCAAGACGTGCCTCTCATCCAACGCTCGGTGGAGTCTGGCCTGCCCAACTGCCGGGGTTCTATGGTGGCGGTAAGGGAAGTGGGACAGCGCACACCTCCCGGGTCGAGGTGGGTAGTGATGATCATCGTCCAAGCCCTTCTCCCTTTGGGATTGGTAGAGCAAGAGCAGATCCTGGTCGTCGTGATCCTGCCCTCCGCATTGTATGTATGGCTGACTTGGTTGCAGCCTTGTCGCGCAGAAGGCCGAGCCACGAGCCACTTGTGGCAGAGGCAAGCAACCAGGGCCAGTCAAAGGTGAGCGGCTCCCGCAACCCAAACATGTCGTCCGCGTTTCAAGGCGAGCCGCCCAAATGCATCATCGGTCTTGTCCGTAGATGTCATAGTAGACAGTTTGGGTAAAAATAGCTTCCCATCGTCGCCAAGACGCCATGGGTAAATTTGCTTTTTAAAAGTAGAAGAGACGCTGGTGGGTTCACTTTTGAGATTTGATGATGCTTGTTCGCAATTTGCCCCATTTCATGGACTCGTTCTTCGACGCAGCATAATCACCATCATCTTCCACCATGGGGACACTGAACTGCACGTCCGCACCACAGACGACCCCTAGCGATTCGGGTGTCGCAGGGCAAGGAGTACGTTGACAGGCTCTCGCATGAGGAAACCCAGTGTGGAGGAAGCCCAGGCACCCGTCCTGCCCCAAGCTCTATTGACCATCGTTTGTTCATAGATTCTCCTTTCTTTCATGATCACGGCCGCGCTGGCCCTCGTGCTGTCTGCGAGTGTGATTCTTGCAGACTTCCGAGGCAAAGAGTCAACAACCCGGCGAAAGTTACTCAACGGGTACAGCGACTCACAGATCATGCAAGGGATCGGCATCCAAAGTAAGCTGCATCACGACCCCCGGATATCTCCTGGTAGCACGACGCTAACGAGAGGCTTCCGCAGGCGTTGGTTTAGCCAAGATGAACTCCCTGGTGCCGTATCACTTCTTCCTAATCTGGATGCTGTCCCTCCTATCCATGGCAACCCACAATGCAACGCTTCTGGCCCTGGTCCGAGACTATCGCCGGGACTGGGTGCTGAGATGGTTGAGACAAGTGCTCATGTTCGTCAACCTGGCGTTGTCGACAGTCTCCGGGATCTTTATCCTGCAGACCGTGTCCAAGGGACTGGACAAATCGACTCTGCCCATTGCCTGTGTCTGGCACGTTGACGGAGAAAAGGCTCCGTCCAACGCGGGCCTGTCGTATGTTGGCACCATTGCGGCAATGGCGGGAAACGGTATCATCTTCGTCCTCGCCACATGGTACCTGCACAGTCGGCAGCAGAGGTTCTACAAGACGGTACAGATCGTGGGCTGGGTGCTCATGGCTGCCGTTGCCATTGGGGCTGCGATCCGCATCATCCTGCTGTCCCAGGCGTTTGGACATCCGTCGGTGAAGCTGAGCGACCAAGGGGAGAAGGACTGGAGCTTCGGCCAGCTTCTCTCCATGCTGCTGCTCGCCCTCCCTCTCGTCTCCGTGATTGAGATCTATCGCGGTGAGATCAAAGTAGCGCCGCCGGTAAGAGACGACCGCCAGCGGATGTACGACGGCGAGATGCAATCCGATCCGCAGGCCCTCACGCCATTTCAGCCGAATCCCTTTTTTGGCTCCGAGACAGACCTGTTTAAGAAAAGGGGGAACAAGAGGTGAAGGGGAAGAGTGAAGTTGTGTGGGGTGGCGAGAGAGATGGATGATTATTGGTTATTTCTGTGCGACAATTAGAGTTTATGAACGATCTGCTATGAGGATACCCGAGCCAAGCATAAAGAAGGTGGCAGGCGCGGTTAAGATACGAATACGTAATGCCCAGGGACTGAGGGATTCAGATCATACCGTACGATATGGTTCTATAATGGGGTGATTCGCAAGGTCAGAGAAATGAATTGACTTCAGCAGTACCTGCCAACATGACGCTACGGAGAAGCAAGGCAGGAGCTATCCCTTATGTTGACTGAGTATGGGAGCAGGTGCCTCTGCTTCAGTCCTTCTTTCCTTTTGTTTCCCCCGACTTGTAGGGCAAGAGGGACAGGATGAGAAAGAAGCTCTGTCGAAGCCTCCTTCTCAATGACCACTTGAGCAGCACTCTCTCTTGCCTACCTTACCTTCCTAAAGCTTCATGGATCTCTCACCAATTGCAATGGTTCTCCTTCAACATGACGAACCTCGCACAAGTCCAATCCTCGACCCTTGTCCACATCATCTGAAGATCGAACCAGCGTCACAATGTCTGGCACGCGGAGTCTGTATCTGGTCTTCGCTATAGCCGCCAGCTTGTTCGTCTACGCTGCTTGCCATCAATGGGGCAGCGCAACGGCAGAGGCTATCCAAGACAAATTCGGCCCTCGCCTGTTTGTGTCTCCTTCGAACATGGTTGTGGATTTATCAGTACATGTAGCTGACAGTCTTTCGGAAGCAGCCCCGGCACCAAATCCACCAACGGACGCCTCAGCTTTGAGCAAACTGCCCAGAAATACGGCACGGACAAGGTCACCACCCACAAATACCAGTTCATGTACGACAAGTACTTGTCCGGTAGTCGGGACGAAGAGGTCAAGGTCCTGGAGATTGGACTCGGCTGCAACATGGTCAGCAATCAATGCTCCCAGTGTATCACCAAACCAGATCAGACAACCATATTAACACAATTCGCAGGACTACGGCCCCGGAGCGTCGTATTACACTTGGCTCGAATACCTGCCATTCGTCGATCTCTACTTCATCGAATACGATGGGCAATGCGCCCAAAAGTACCAGGACAAAACCGCCAACGCACATGTGTTTATCGGCGATCAAGCAGACGCCGTCTTCCTCACACAGTTCTCCTCCGAAGCAACGGCAAGCGGCTTATTCGATGTCATTATTGACGACGGCGGACACACAATGGTGCAGCAAATCACATCCCTCGAGTATCTATGGAAAACCGTCAAGCCCGGCGGCTTATACGTCATTGAGGATCTGCAGACGAGTTATTGGGAAACATTTGGCGGGGACCCCGCTGGCTGGCGGTCGTCGAAGGAGACTACGATGACTTATGTGTTTCAACTGATTGACGATTTGATGATTGGACGGAGCGAGAAGAAGATAAGCCATGAAATACTCTCCATCGATTGTATGGCGGAGATTTGTGCACTGCGCAAGAAGGACAATATGTAAAGGGGGATATCACAGGAGGACACAAAGGTAATATCGTAGATAGAAATATACTTCAATTCTATTGCATCTAGACATTAAAGCAAAGAATTGCGGGGGATATATAGAAATGATTTTGACAGTTATTATTTTTCTTTGACCTCTCTCCTTCACATGATGGAACACTTGACAGGAAGACCGCAGAAGTGGTCCTTGCCGTCCTCCTGCTCCGGGACAGGCTCCTTGGTTGCTGCAGCAGGCGGCGCAGATCCATTGGCCGGGGCAGCCTTTTTCTCACTGCTAGAAGTGGTGTTAGTGTTGCTGCCATGTAGTCAGCCGGAGAGGGCCTGGGCAAAGGCCTCGCCCTGGGCGGTAGCAATCTTGAGCTCGAGCGGGGTGGGCTGGCGGGCGCCGGTGGGGCCGGCGTAGGTGCCGGCGCCCCAGGGGGAGCCGCCGTGGACCTCGTCGAGGTTGGTGATGTCGGCAAAGGTCTTTGCGTAGCCGAGGGGCACGTAGACGATGCCGTGGTGCGTCAGGGTGGACAGGGCGGCGAGGGCGGTGGACTCCTGGCCGCCGCCGGGGGTGCCGGTGGAGATGAAGAGGCCGGCCTTCTTGCCCCAGTAGCCGCCGGAGGCCCAGATGCCGCCGGTCTTGTCCCAGAAGGTCTGTGCCGAAGGGAAAGCTTGTCAGTTTTAAACTTCTTTATGGTGGTTGTATCAAAGGAGGGGGGAAGGGTTGGTTATAACGTACCTTCCACTGGGCGGGGAAGTTGCCGTAACGGGTGGGAATGCCAAAGAGGAAGCCGTCGTACTGGGTGAGGGTGGCGGGGTCCTCGAGGACGGGGATGTCGGTGGGCTTAGGCGGAGCGTACATCTTGGCCAGGACCTCGTCGGAGAGAGTCTCGGGGATCTGGTAGATGTCGACCTGGGCGCCGGCGGCCTCGGCACCCTTCTTCTCGGCCTCGGCGAGCTGCCGGATGTGGCCGTACATGGAGTACTGGAGGGCATTGCGTGTTAGCGAGGGAAGCAGGTCTCCCAATTAACGATCGTAGAAGGTCGACTTACGTAGACGATAGCGATCTTGGGGGCCATTGTGATGTGTTCTTGGGGGGTTGGGTATCTCTAAAACAGAAATTGGAAAGAAAAAGGAAGGCTATTTGTGTTCGACTCTGAAACTCTGGAATGTGATGAGTGCTTCCGAGATGGCTGAGAGGAGGGGGAGGGCCCTCGAGCTCTTATAGCTGAGGGCGGCTTCGACGGGAACCCCTCCAGGATGGGAAAAGAAGGAGGATCGAATCGGTGTTAGTGTCGAATTGTAAGGTTTCGGCTGCATTCTCCCGTGGAGGCTGCACACGTCTTCCGCTGCCGCGCGGGTTGACATGCGCTGTACTCTGGCGATGGCTGGGGATCAGGCGATGAGATCATGGCATCTCGATGTACTATTACCGGGGGTGGCCCCCTCTTTTTTCGTACCTATCGTATCGGTGATGGCGCACGTTTTCGCAGAAATTGCTAGTCTTTCTGGTCAAAGTAGTGGTAGTATTACACTACTACCTTAGGTAGTCATCAGATACGTGGAGGACCGGCCGTCAGCCATGGATCTCCTCCGTCCCTCGTCTTCGCCGGGACTGCGAGGAATGTGCCTGGCCTGGCCGGGTCCTCAATTGGTAATCAAGGTACCTCTACGATTCATACCCAACTCGGTCCGGCGAGACGCCAGAAACAGAAGATTCCCAATTCCAAGCAAAGCACAAGTCATCATCGTGTCAGCAGCAGCTGGCCGCCCTTCACACATTGTCTCCGCGTATCGGTACCTTGCCTCACAAGCGTCCCAACTCTGGCCGCAACAATCAGCATTACTTGAGCCTGACAAACTGCTGCCGCACCCCGCATGTGGGGCCCGTGGCTGGTGGGGCCCGGACTGAGCTTAGCTAAAGCTTTGATAATGTCGACAGAAAGAGCGATGATGCCTTTTGTTCTACAATTACATAAGGTGCTGTATTATTATTGCCTCTTTGTCGTTTTTTTCCCTTGTCAGTACGGAGATTAGAAAAGACAAATCATGCCGCTCCTGGTCGTGAGGAATGGCTCACAGAGAGAGATATTGCTGTAGTGCATACACGCGTAGTATCATCTCCATCTGTCAACGAGGCCAAATCGCGATCACAACCCAGTTCATCAAGGTGGTGGGTGGGGCATCACCAACATGAGAGCCCGGCGATGAAGAATTGACAGCTCCCCCCGCAGCATCGAGCCATCGCCGAGACACGATAAGCTATTGCCTCCCCTGGCAGTTCGAGCATCTAAGCTTTCGTCCGCAATGTCTAAGCAAGTGTTTGTCTCATCTCTGTGGACTTGACGATGCTCTGCTTCTTCATTCTGCTGATGTCAGAAGGGACCAATTCCACCCTCCTCCCTCATCGTCCGCCTTCGTCCGCTCTTCAACGACAGACAACTCACTTCTCCGCCGTGATCAGCCGTCTTCTCACGACTACTTACTCACCTACGGAGACCTAGTATCATGTACTGACAACTCATCTGCCGCTGGCAATTCCCAGCTCCCTCCTCTCCCGCTCGAACCGGGCTCGGTTGCGTCGCCCGGCTGTCGAGCAAAGCGCCACTTTGGTGCGTGCTGACCTGCATCACGCCAGTGAGAAGTGAGAAGTGGGATTGAAGCGCTCCAGCAGTTGTGTGTTCTCAGACACGCCCGAAAAAAAAAAGAGAGCTAAAGATTCCAAACTCTACCCGCTTCGACAGACCGCTCAAGGGGGGGACAAAGTGATGAGGGGGACTTAAAGTACTCCAGCAGTCGCCATCATGACAATTTCTGCTCTGGTGAATGGCCGTGTCAAAAAGCTCGAGGGATTCAGATTTGGAGCAATTGAGGATTTGCGCGACGATAAAAAAGGGCTGTCTAGGTAAAATCTCGATGCTCCCGACGCGGAACGAGTCTCGACCCGGCCTCCGATCGCCCGATTTGTGCCAACTCCTCCCCTACGACAACGAATGCGATGCAGCAGAACTACGTTGACAAGCCGCAGCAGGCGAATTGAATAGTAGTACAAACAGACGGTGTTCCGCACGTGGGATTGCGCAACCCGTGGGCCGACAAGTCCAATGAGGAGAAGGTCGGAGCGACATTATCATGCAACGAGACGGCGATTTCCATGTTTACGACGGGCGAATCGAAGAGAGACAACACATATTCTCTCTACGAATTCACAATGGAAATGAATGGCGGTCTACTTGATATTTCGAAGCCTCTTCTATTCTCTTTTCGAATAAATTAACAAAGCACCAGTGGCTCTACAGCGTGTTCCAGCGACATCCGGCGCAGTCTTACCAGGTACCCAATGAAAGGAGGATATCACCTCCAGTCAGATTGTCACGTCACAGATGACAACTCCAGCTCAAAACCTCTCGTTCTTTGAAAGATTTCGATTACTTAACAAGCCTCAGCATAGCAGCCGGAGGGCATTGATGATGCAGAGGGACAAAAAAAATTGAGGAGTGCCCCGGCGTGACCGCTTACAGACTCTCATCGGATGACCATAAAACCCCCCCTCTCATACCGAAGCAGTAGGTGAGGATACTGCGCGGCGGGTAGGTAGGTAAGGTAGGTAGTAGTAGCCACCAAGTGAATCCGTAGGATCATTCTGCATGATCAAAAGCCCAAACCACAACTCCTCATAGGTGGAAAATAAAGACACGACGTCCTGAGGTACTGCATGTCCAGAGACTGTAAGTAATCAAGTAAATATAGGCTACCTTTAAAACAATGCAACTTCCTTCTACCTCACAACTCTTCGTACTACACGCAAAACCATTCACAATCTCAGCTTCAATCCTCCGTATTGTTCTATGCTGGTAGCAACCACAACCAAAGAATCGACCCCCCTTCGTATATAACTCGCCAAAACACCGCCCCCCAAAGAAGCAGAGAGGAGGGAAGAAAAGGATTCGAAAGACAGCAACATTCCGTCTCCAAGGCAACAGCAATTCCAGAAATTAAACAGCAAGACGCCCGGCTTCGCATCCGTTTTGCAATAGAAGTATTTGAAAGGGAAGTATTCGAAAGAAGAGTGAAAAAAGTGTCCAAGCATTACAAAGCAACAACATCATCCATAAAATCATAGCTCATTTCCATCGACAAATAGAGAGAGAGAGAGAAGGGGTAGGGAGACGCAGAAAAATCCAAGACAAGGCTCCCATTTTTCTTTCGAAAGTCGATATTTACAGTCTTCGTTCAGCCTCAGCCTCAGCCTCGTGCTCGTGATCCGGCGGCTGCGCGCTTGACGGCTCTACCACAATCGCAGGGAGATCGCTGATCCTCAGACTCGGCAGCCGAGGGATGCCGCCCACAGCGCCGACCGCCGGCCGCAGGGCACGCTCGCCCGGGTCCCCTTCGCTCGAGGCCGACACGAGAGACGGCGACGTCTGGCCCCGCTGCGAATTCGATCGATGGGAGGATACTCCGGCGGCGGTTCGTGGATCTGTGACAATGACCGGTCCCGGAAATCGTCGTCGTCGTCGGCCAGGGAAACATCCTCGTAGCCCGGCGGCGGCATCGCTTCCTCGCCTAGGTCCGCCTCCACGAGCTCCGGGCTCGATCCCGCCCTGGCTTCGCTGGGAGCCTGGCCCGGCGTGTTGGTGTGCGAGTCTCCCGATCGTCGGGTCAGCGCGGGCGAGGCGAAGCCGGAGCTGACGCTCATTCCGCGGTTGTGAGCCTGAGATGATCGCGCATCCGCCATTCCGATGCTCGCAGAGTCCGAGAGCAGGCCCATGCGCTCGCTGTCGGTGCTGTTGGCGCGGATCCGTGTGCCGTCGTGGCGGGCCAGTCCAACGTCCGCATAAGACACGCTCGACACGGATAGGTTCCTGTTCTCCTTTGCCCGCTCCATTTCCCGGCGGAGCTCCTCGATGGTCTGGTTGTTGTTGCTCGCAGCGCGGGCGCGGGCACGGAGCTCGGCCAGGGTGGCGGTGTCGCCTCGTCGTCGAGCCTCCTCGCGAGCCGCCCTCCTCTGCTGCTGCTCCTCGATCATCTGCCGCCGCGCAAGCCGGATCTGATACATGCTCTCCATCTCTTCGTCGCGCAGCGCTTCCAATTCCTCCTCGGTGGGCAGATCGACAATCACATCGATGCCATCTCTCTCGCCCTCTCGGCCCAGAACCTGTTCGTTGTGCGAAGCCATCTGGCGGTAGGCCGGCAGGGTCATGACGGAGCGAACCGAAGTGTTGCGGTCCACGTTGCTAGCGGCGGCATTGTTGCGATTTGACGACGCGGCGGGGGGCTGGGTAGATCGACCGGTTCTTGAGTTGGTTGAGGCGGCGTTGACGGTTCGCGAGCTGGAGGCTACCTCGGTGGTGTCGTCTCCGTGGGCTCGCTCGTACTTGGCCTTTTTATTATTATTCTTCCTCCGCTTGATGTATCCGATAATGAGGACAAGAACAATGACGAATACGGCGACGCCTAGCAGGATCTACAACGGGCAGTTCCAAGTCAGTCAAACCACAGGAAGAATTCGCATCAACCCAATCGTAGACATACAGCGCCTATGATGCTACCGCTGAGGCCTCGCCGCTGCAGCTGGTGAACGTGGCGAGCCGATTGCGCCAGCCGAGCGCTGGCATCGGCACGTTGCGCCGTCCGACTGTGTAGATACATGCTCGTCGGCTGCGAGAGACATGTAGGAAGGACCGGAGTCCGATGATTTGGCGAGCAGCAAAAGAAGAGGCAACCAACGGTCTGGTTTTGGTTCGATGGCAGAGGTGAGATTGTTCGTCAACAGAAAAGAGCCCTCTTTCACGAGTCTGCCGTCCGCATTGGGCGTCTCGTCCGCACCAGTAAGCGTCTTCTCTTCCAGTGACCGAGGATCCAAGCAGACGATGGAGCAGCTCAGCCCGTTATTGCTGCTCTTTTAGCGAGGGTGGGCCGGCAGCGCCGACTCTTCCAGGTTGTCTTTGCGGTGGTACCGGTGCGGGGAACTGGCGGGAAGCAAGCAATCGCACTGAACGATAATGCAAACCGAAGTGACGGCGCACGGGAGCGAGTGGTGAGGATGGATGGACGGGGAAGATGAAGGGATTCAAGAGGCAGAGCGAGAAGGTTGGACACGCGAGAATGGATGGAGGAACCTGGACGGGACGGAGACGGTCTGCAGCTGGAGGATTGTTGTGGTGCCGTTGGCCTGATTCCAGCGGGCAGAAGCTGCTAACTTGCAGCGTCAAAGCCCCAAAAAGGCCCAGAGAGGCGCTTCGGGAGGACGCTAAGAAAGCGAGTGTCCATGTCAGCCCCATACATGACGCTCGTTTCTGCTGCTTGTTTACGAGGAGCCACGAGGCTAAGCCCAGCCACCGCCGGACACAGCCAGCTTCGTAGCAGCAGCAGGACGGGCTTGTCCAGCCACGCTGTGATTGATCCGGCGGACTCGGGATGGCCAGGTTGCACGAGATGAAGAGCTACTGCATGAATGCAATAGTAATTACAGTTTGCCATTGGCAGCATGCGAAATACAACCAGATAAGACGAGACAACCTGAAGCATTACCGACTCTGTGGAATCAACTGGGCTGACGCTTCACCTTACCCTCCTTCAGCCCGCAGGTGAAACCTTTTCCAGGCTGGGCTGGGCTGGACCACCAGTTACCCGCTGGACGGGCCGCCGCTGTGCTATTAATGGCTGCAAATTCGAGTCCATGGATCCGACCTGAAGTGCGATGGAGGCTACTAGTCTAGTAGTAGCGCAGCCTGTCATACGCGCTGTGTGGTTGCGTGCTGCTGCTTCATCTCAAGATACCACCGCTATTCACACTCATGTATGTAAGATGTGTAATATCGGATGGAGGGGAGACACGAGGGGTCTCAGATCGGGTGTGGAGAACAATCCATGCCGTACAGTAGCAGTCGCATTGTGTTGTGCGCATTCCATAGGTATGTATGTGAGGGAGTGGTTGCGCGGATGAGGTCAGACCGGTCCATGTGAAGACAAGATTGATTACCGGTGAGAGAACCTTGGTTTTGTCAACGAAAGTATCGTCAACCTTTTGTGTGGCAAATTCTTCGCCTACCTTGCCTGCGACAATCACCGGGTGCCCTGGAAGACCTGATAGCAAAAATAGAAGCAATGCTGACACCTTGGCAACCGATAACCACGGTCAACATTCGGACAAATAGAAAAGAGAAAAATCAAATCGCAACTCATTTCATAGTTCAAAAAGGAATCGTCATGTGACAAAACAAATCTTTGGTACAAACCCGGTACTCCTGCCATTGGATATTCCTGCTGCAGCCCTCAAAATCACATCACATCCTCTCTCCATACCTACCACACCCGTCTTCACACCGACCCATCTCCGTCTCCGCCACTATCCAAACTTCTTCTCAAACTTCTTCAGCATGCCCGTCACACCCCTCTCAATCCGGCCGGCGTTTTCCTCAAACTTTCCTTTGCCCTCTTGCTTCGGCTGATACTTGTGGCCTGCTTCGGCTTCCGTTGGCCTGTATACCTGCTGATGTATCGAGTAATCCACCGAGCCCGATGGTGCGTAGCCGGGCTGCTGCGAGTATGAGTAGTTGGAGTACCCGCCTGGCGGAGGACTGGCGAGGCCTTGGGTGGGCATTGGCGGCTGAGACGCTGGTGGCGGAGGGAGGCCTGGCGATGCTGGGAAGCCCGCCCCATAGGTGCCGGGAAGTCCGGGCGAAGGCAACGCCTGCGCCGGCATGGTCGTGGCTCTGTGAATTCCGGGATGGACTGGCGGTGCGGCGAACTGAGGAGGCGCGAACCCTGGGCTGGTGACTGCCGACGGCGGGAACTGAGACGGCGGGGGAATTCCTGGAGTGAAAGGCTGGCCGCGGTAGTCATATGCCACTGCGACCGCCAGAGGGTTGAGAGGATCCTCATCTGGAGGAGGCGTCTTCTCGCGATGGCGAATGGCCTCGGGCGCAGCGGGTGCAGCCGGATTGTATGCCATGGGCGCGAAGCTCGTTGGCTGAGGCTGAGGCTGAGGCGGAGGCGGCGGAGGCGGCATGGAGATGCTCGGTGTCCCTGAGGAAACGGCCGCGGCATCGCCAGGGCCGCCGACCGAGCTGTGCGAAGCCGACTGCGCCGACACGGAGCCGTTGCTGTACTGCGGATCCGAAATGGCCGCGCTCTCGAGCTTCTGGACGACGGCGCTCATTCCCGCGGGCTGAGGCGGCGGACCCGGCTCGTCGAGGACCTCGACCTGGGCCGGCGGCAGCACGCGGCGCACGCCGTTGACGAACTGCAGCGCATCCTGCTGCGTCCAGAAGTAGATGTCGAGCGAGTGCAGCTTGTAGTGGTACTTGTTCTCGTTGCGCGGGTCGTAGGTCGGCAGATGCCACTCGCTCTGGTCAACCGAGTCGGCGACGGTCAGCGAGACGGCGCAGTGCTGCTTGTACGAGTATCGAACGTGCGCCTGATCGAGGACTAAGCCCAACAAGACCGTTAGACACCAGACGATGAGCACGCGATGCTATCCATCCTTACATCCGTAGAATGCGTCTTGATCCTCTGTGCCTGGGTTGTTGGCAATCTCAATGCGACACCTGCGCTCGCCGGCATTCTCAAACAGATAGACGTAGGATCCCTTGTCGAACCGGTGATGGCGAGGCTTCACATTTGCCGGCGAGTAAAAGTAGTGGACATCGGCAAAGCTGCAATGTCTCAACGTCAGCAGCCGTTCCGAGCAGCACACCGGTTGCGACCGGTCATCGACTCACAGCGTAGCTACATTCTCCTCGCCTGGCCGTGCCGCCATCTTGGATCCCGTCGCTGGTCTGATCTGAGCGAGACGCAGACCTCCAGATAGCTTGAACGCGATACGATACGGACAACGCTTGAAAGAGGCCGGTTGTATGCAAGGAAGACAAACTTGCTTTTTATATCCGCTGCAACGCCACTCGACGACCCTTTATTCTCCAACCCGTTCATGGAACAGCTTCCACATGCCGACCTATGAGACGGTTCGTCATGGCGTCTCGGCGCTTATACGGCCTGCCGGTGAGGGGGGTGAGCACAGTCGCCGGCCAATGGCGATGCGCGGCAGGGAGTTTTGTCACAAAGCTCCAGTGGAGAGCAACCTGATCAGACCCCCGCCGAATCACTGGAGCGAGCTGCTAGAACTTGCACTAGACATTGAAGTCCAGTTGAGCCTAAAGAGACTTGACCATTTACTCTCACGTGATACCGTGTCGCTATCGTATTTGCTCCTTCACGGTCGGGCAACGCGCTTCATCCCATGTCGGAATTCCGCTCATGCGCAAAGTGCTACATGACCACGCCCTGAGATGCGCTCCTGTGCATGGTCAGCATGATCTCGACAACTCTTCGATGCTGTTCGCTACTTCACACTCAAATCGCGGCTTGATGGCTTCATCGACATGACGTCTGCGGAGGCACCGGCGCATACCCAGGAAGATCAAGAGGGGAAAATCCGAGAGGAATCCCGGGCGGAAACCCAGGGGGAGAGACAGGACGATGCTTCCAAGACTCTCAAGTACCACCTGCTTGGGCCTTCGCTGACCAAGGCTGGCCAAGACAAGGTCGACCAAAGCAAGGTCTTTCCCTCAATGGAATCTTTTCTCGCATCGGATCTGCATTTGTTAACACAGAGGCTCAGGTTTCGGAAATCATCTACAATGCGTCCAAGGGATCCAAGTTCTTCACCCGCGAAGAAGAACGAGACAAGGTCCTCACGCAAAAGATCGAACAGATCCTGTCGCGCAAGAAGAAGCTAGAACAGCAAGATCTTACACGGGACCTCCGAAACGCCGATCGTCTTCTCGCAGAGCTCGAGCTTTCGAGAGACCTCACCCAACACATAGTACACCTCGACTGCGATGCCTTCTTCGCGGCGGTGGAGCAACTGGACCGACCTGATCTCAAAGATGTCCCCTTTGCGGTTGGTGGCGGCGTTCTCACCACGTGCAACTACGCTGCGCGCCAATTTGGCTGTCGGTCGGGCATGGCTGGTTTCGTGGCCAAGAAGCTCTGCCCACAGCTGGTCATGATCAAGCCTAACTTTCAAAAATATGGCGCAAAGGCCGAAGAAGTGAGGGCGGTGCTCGCAAACTACGATCCGCGATTCGAAAGCGCTAGCATTGACGAGGCATATCTCAACATTACGGAATACTGCGACCAGCATGACATGGACCCGGCGGCAGTGGTGGAGCAAATGAGAAAGGAGGTCCATGAAAAGACGAACATTACGGTCTCGGCGGGCATCGCTGCCAACGCCAGGCTGGCCAAGATTTGTTCAAACATCAACAAGCCGAACGGACAGTACGTCCTTCCCAAAGAGAGAAGTGCCATTATGGCGTTTATGCGGGGCCTGCCAACAAGGAAAGTCAACGGAATCGGCCGAGTGCTCGAGCGCGAGCTCTTGGAGATTGGAGTCAAGACGTGTGGGGACATTTACGACCAGCGGCAGTATTTGAACCGCCTCTTTGGGGACAAGACATCCTATTTTCTCTTCCGCGTCTATCTCGGGCTTGGCCGCACATCAATACAGCCCGCAGAAGAATACGAGCGCAAGAGTGTCGGAACGGAAAGTACATTTCGTGACATGTCAGACCCTGTGCAGCTCCGGGACAAACTTCGATCGACGGCTGAGGCCCTGGAAAAGGACATGAGGAGAAACGAGTGCAAGGGCCGGACACTCTGCATCAAGATCAAGCTCCATACCTTTGAAGTTCTCACTCGGCAAGTCATCCTGCCAAAGGCCATCTATCTCGCCGACGACCTGTACAACTATTCGTTGCCGATGCTTGCCAAGTTGGAGCATGAGATTCCAGGCATGAAGCTGCGGCTCATGGGGCTGCGGTGCACAAACCTAGTCAGCACCAAGAAGCCCGACACCATGGCATTCTTTGGCTTCAGACCTCGCCGCCAGGACTCGGGAGAATCGAGTGAAAGCGGGACTGTCAAGAGGAAAGCCAGTGCGTCGGTGGAGAGAGAAGAGGAGTGGGAGATGTTGGGCGGAGACGAAGAGGACTTGACGGGCGAAATGGACGACAACCTGGGCGACATAACGCACGAACACGAAGAGGAGGACGGTGGCACGCCAAATCATAGAAGACATGGGAAGGAGATTGTGCCCAATCCACGTCCCGAAAGTGAGGTTCCGCCACAGGAGGACTGGTGGGATTGCCCGATATGCCTCCGCCCCCAGGCAGCCAACGAGCGGCAATTTAATGAGCACATTGACCTGTGTCTGTCACGACAGACCATTCGAGATGCGGTCCAGGCTGACGACCCGAAAGACACGAGGCCTGCCATCCCGCCAGAGGTGAACAAGCGTCCCAAGCTGTCGACGGAAAAGAAGCGGGGCCGCCCGCCCTCTACGGACCCAAAGCAGAAGAAGCTTTCGTTTTGGTAGAGTGGGATGATTGGTTATGAATGACGATATCTAGCATTGTTTCTTTGCTTATGGAACTTTTGGAAATAGAAATGGAACTTCCTCGAGGTTGAATACGTGATAAGGGCTGTTTAAACTCGTAAGCGAAGCTTTTGCGATGTCACGATGGCCCCCCACGTTCGATTACTTTGCTGGGCTTTCGACTCCACTGATCTGCCATATGGACTGATGTCTGCATTTATCTGCAGGTGAGAGTTGCTGCAGGGAAACAATGCCGCGATATGACGTACGGAACGGTGGACGGCTACTCCGAATCTCAAGTGTCGGATGGTTTACTCCGTACATACCGTTACCTTTGCAGATACTACGTACTATCTAACGGACGATCACATCTGGCTGAAGCTGAACGCCGCATACCGTCTAACAGATGATCACATCTAGACGAAGCTAAACTCCGAAAAAAAAAAGAAGCAGTGGTCTTGACGGAAACGTTGCATTTACTCTTGTCGTACGTAGATCCGCTATGCGAGCAAAAGGAAGAACAAGGTATTTTTACATAATCATCATATCATTTCTGTGTTTCTTTGGGTGCCCATTCTCGACCCTTTACAGCTCCCCGTGGCCCTCATCGGTGTCGGCAAAGACCGTCTTGGCGGCATCAACAGCCTCGGAGACGACGCTGGCAGCTGCCTCGGCGGCCTTTTCGGCGACGCCCTCTTCCTCCTCGGCGGGCTTCTCGACGATGGGCGTCTCGGGGACGGGCTTCTTCTCGGGGGCCTTGACGCCGTCGATGCCGAGGAGCTCGGTCTCGAAGACTGTGTAGCATCAGATATTAGTGAGTGGCCTGATTTCGGTGCAAGCGTGGGGTGGGCTTGGCCACGGGAGTCGAGGTGGAAAGATGTAGATAGGGGAGGAAGAGAGACGTACTCAGGGTTGAGCCGGCGGGAATGGGGCCCATGTTGCGCTGGCCGTAGCCCAGCTCGGGAGGGATCGTGAGAGTCCTGAATTCGGTGATGTAATGGTCAGCATTGGTCCGAATAGCAGCCCAAGGAGGCAGTGCGTGACGCAAGTTGGGTTGTGTCGTCTTACCTCTTCTCGCCAATGCACATGTCAAGGAGACCCTGATCCCATCTACAAGCCGTTAGCCTCAAAATTCGCCCAACGTCGTCGGTAAAGGACGAGGAGGAAGGGGGGAGGGTGCAAGACAAACCCCTTGATCACCTGGCCGGCGCCCAACTTGAAGTTGAATGGCTGGTTACGATCGTAGCCTAAAGTAAACAACACACAAAAAAACAGTCAGTCAATTTGGATCAAGGAGAGATCGTCATTGGGGGGGTGTTGAATTCCTCTTCCCGGGATGGGGGTGGATGGAGATGGGGGAAAATGAAAACGCACTGGCATCAAACTTCTCGCCGTTGCTGGCCAGCGTGCCGCGGTAGTGCATGGACAGCTTGTCGCCCTTTTGGGACTTGCGCTCGCACTCGACGGGGTGGGTGACTTCGATCTTGAGGTCCTCGGCGGCGACGAGGCCAATGGCGCAGGAGGCCAGGGCGGAGAGGAGCAGGGCGGCCTTCATTTTCGGGGATCGGGGTGGCGATGTTTTGTTGTTGTTGTGTGTGTGAGGAAGAGTGAGGCGGAGAAGGAAGCAATTTCCGTGGGTTACGTCCTTTGTGGTTGGAGATGGATGGATGGATGGATGGATGGATGGGAAAGAAGGAGGAAGAGAAGGAAGACAGAAGAACGAGCTGCTGCTGGTGCCTCCAAAGTGGCCAGCTATCACAAATCTCCACACTGCTTGAGCTTCCCGATTCGAGGCGCGAATCTGCATCTGGCTGAGATGGGCGCTCTCGGAGTGATTGGCCAATGGGAGCCCGGCAGCATCTCGCTTCCCCCGCCAATTGCCAGCCCAGTTCTGGGGCGGGCTTCTTGGTGCTTGTCACTGCTCTCCCCCCAATCCCCTTAAACCCAAGCTGCTAGCGCTTTCATGTGCCTTGACGAAATGGCTCGATTATGATGACATGGCCAACACGGCCACTACATGTAGGGAAGCCTTCAGCCTCAAAGGACGGCGGAAGCGTGGCAATGGGGATTCGCTGGCGGCTTCTGGAATGGCGTCACCAAGGGGCAGTTCAGCAGCGGACTTCTCTCGCGTGATCCAAAGTGCAGCCTAAACTCATAAGGTACATACGAGATTAATGACAGTATGCGAATCAGTGGTTATTGGCGGGCTTCTCGAACGCTGTATGTACAAGTACCTTTGGATGGATGGATGGATATATGTATGTACATACGGGGATGCGGCAGCAAACTCCGAAATGCATGAAATGCACGAGCAACTCTGATGATACTAATGTATTACTTTGTACGTCATGGCACTGCTGGACCCCCGTTTATTGGGGTCATGTGCGTTGCGGACGAAGGCAATGGAGAATCCAAAAGGGACTGCGATGATGCTATGACTTGGAGTACGAGGGCCAGCTGGACAGGGGGAAAGCACTGCTGTACCTGGTCTGGTATGTACTTGTATGTAGGTGGTGGTGGTTTTACAGACAGCCGAGGGAGACGACAGATGAAGGATCCGAACAAGGCGCTGTTGGCAGCACGCGGCATTGTCGCCGAACCCGAACCAATTCGAGAATGCTAATTTCATTTCAGGGTGCTTCGGCTGAGGTGTTCTGACAACTGCGAACTCCAACTCAATCCATCCCCAATCAATGGCATATGACGTAGTTGAGCCCTGAAAACACCAAGCCAATCAAGGTACCAAGACGCCATCAAGGGGACCAAGGGACCACCGCACATGCAAGGCTACTGGCTTCAATTCGTACTAGTAGGGAGGGAGATGGGGAGGCTAATTTGCACAGCAAAAGCCACATGACTTTTTTTCTCTCTTTCCCAAAGCCCAAAGAAAAGCAAAGACCCTAGCTTGGCTTGCTTTCCAGAAAGTCCATTCGCAGATCGTTCGAACAAGGCTTCGCTTCGCCTCCAATGGGCGTTCCTTGCATCATGGGGCCTTGGGGCCGTTTCCCCGGAGCGCCTCGCTAGCCCCCGTTCTGCTGATGAAGATGGCTCCGACCTACACGCCCTGTCTGTAGGGCCCTAAGGACGAAGGGCCTTGCTGCGTGGGCGATGCTACCAGAAGGGGTGTATGAACTAGTTGGGCAGAAACGGAGAGGAAGAGGCGAGCAGAAAAGGGGGATGGTTGCGTTTAGAGAATTGGTCGAGAAGGGGATGTGGAGTTGGGAAGAAAGACGCCCGCTTTCCTTCGCCCTCTCCACGTATCGCGAGAGAAGCCGGGAGTTGGAGGGCCATGCCGGCACCAGTTCCGCGAGTCGGCATCACCAAAGTCGCCGGTTGGCTTCTAATTTCCTCGCAGCGTCGGCCAAGTAAGCTCGTTGCTTTATCCTAGGTACTATAATGCGTCTCATTGCGAGAGTATCTACTGCCAGGACTTGTGATGTCGTCACCGAAGGGAAAAAGAAAAAAGCAGAAACACAGCCACTCCTCCCATCGTGGCTTGTTCCCGTACCACCAGGTTACAGTGCCAGCGCTCACAGCAGAGAGAGCCCTCACGTCGCACAGTGATTTTCTTCACATCAACTCCTTTGACAGCTCGTAGATCCGCGTGACATAGTGCTCGCATGCAGGCAAGCCTCGCCTGTGGCGCCTGTGAATGCACGCTCGCATACGGCACGCATAACCCTCATCTACATGTATGTAGATGCGGCTTGAGAGTACCTCAGCGGCAACAGAGCCAGCCACCCAATAAACAGCGTGAGGGGAGAATTGAGGGGAAGACGGGCAGAGAAGGAGAGAGAAGAACCAACAGACCATTCGACTCACTCTCATTCACCTTCTTTCTTCCAACTTCTGGCGACTCATCGCGGCGTTGAAGCGACGGGACATATCGCTGATGCCTGCTTCTGCGCTCAATGTCTGCCTAGCATGGCCTACAGGACTTGCGAGGCGCTGGCGAGTGGCTCGTGCGGTCACTTGGCTGGACTGCCGTCCCCCAGCCCAGGACTCTTGAGGTGCCAGCGAGCCCTGATGAGGCACGCAAGACCTCGTTACAGACGCGCTACCCGGCCAATACCAGTCCGGTATACCCGTTCGCTAACGCAGCCTCCGTCGCGGACCGCTGTTCCGCCGTTACGTGCAGCCATATCGACTGACGTGCCTCACAGGTTACTCGCAGGTGTCTAGCAGTAGTGGAGCGGCTGTGCTGTTGTGCCTGGCCGGCCCTCTCCTGTCTTTCCTCGTCCATCCATCTGCCATCTCCCAACCAGAACCTCACCTTACCTTTCCGGAAACGCTCACCGTCGCCCAGCTGTGACTCGAAGGCAGACGCATAGCCATGCAGACTTTGCCCTCCCTCCCACTGCCGCTGCCGTCCCCCGGCCGTCGCTGCTTCACGGCTGTGGCCATGCTGGCCTCGGATTGCACCAACAAGCAGAACAGCCCCCCCGGCTCGTGCTCCAGGCCCTCGTCCCATCGTCCTTGGTCCCTGGCCCTGCCTACCTACCTTAGCCACACACCCCCTGCTCGCAATCATGAGGCCGCTCAGGCCTCTTTTTTTCGCCACTTGCCCGTCTCTCCTAGTGCCAAACAACGACGACCCTCGCTCAGAGGCTTTTGGGTTCTGACGATGCTTGCAAGGCTTGCTCGTCCGAAAGGGACGACGCCAGCTCGCGAGGCCCAATCACGGGCGATTGGCGGCCCCTGTCGTCGCTCCCCGATGGGTGTTTGGAGTTTTGGGGGCCCTCGGCAGATCGCTTCCAAGGCGCGTTTCCGTTCGACTCGGGGGCGTGAAGTTTTGCCTGACTCACGAGTGCCTCTTGTGTGTCAGACCTAGCAGCCACTGCTGCCTCCCTCTCGACTTGTCCTATTCTGGCCGTCCGACTTCTCTGCCTGTGCTGTGCTGTCTCAAAGTGAATGTGCTTCTTTGTGCTGTGCTTGGCCGACTGCCGTGACGGCAGTGCTGTGTCTGGAAAACTACAAATTGCTGCTCATGCCCTGTTGTCCTGAGGAAGCATTTCCCATCATCTTCACCAGTCCCATCAAGACTACTTGAAACAGAGCATTACTACCACTTACTGATCATCAACTACAACTGTGCTCCTCTATCACTCTTATACTATATCCTTGCTTGGTCATCACTGTTATACAGAGTCATTCTTCATCTGCCAACAGAGTCAGCCAACCAAGCAACCAGCCGACAACAGACGGCCATACACAAACATACAAACAAAACACCCAGAGACAGACCAACAACCGTGACAATGTCCTCCCGAAGCAGCGTCTACGTCCACCAGGGCAGCTCTGCCAGCTCTCCCAGCCGTCCCAGCTCCTCTGCCTCCTATGGATCGTCTGATTCCCGCTCTGTTTCAAACCGCCGCGAGTACGATGCTGGTATGCTAGTGGACCCAACTTCTCCTGCCAGACGCAACATGCTAACAAGGCCTGTAGCAGGACATTCCGCCCAAGTCGTCCGTTCCGCCAGAACTGTAGTCATCAACCACAACAGGAAGGACTATGAGAAGGACTCCCCTTCTCCTCGCTATGGCGGTACCTACCAGTGACGACGCCTTCTGCCATCGTCTCAAGGCAGCAGGTCCATACCCTGGCTGCCTCTTCTTTCTCACCCCTTGGAGCCTTTCATGCGCCGGGGGTTACTGTTTTACTACATGCAACTACACACACGATTTCACAATCACATACAAAGCACTGGGACCTATCCACTCACTTGGGAGGCCTGGTAATGGTGACTACCATGCATGACTATAGCAACACATCGCTTGGCTATCATGGCTAGTCTCACACACACACGCACACACAATTCATCAAACGGCATGGCGCTGTTGGCGTTATTCTGATCGCGATTCCTTTTTCCTTCTATCTTGGCTGTACGATTCTGGGGCAACGGCGGCATGGGCACGGACTGTGGATGGACATGGGACATGGGAATATGACTGATCGACTGGGAACCATACGGGAGCATAGACAAGATAGTTTCTTGTAAAGTAAGCGAAGGATGGGAAAGTGGCGTTATTGATTGCGAATGCGATGTTTATTTTTACCTACTTTGCCTTGTTATCTTGGTGCACATCTTGCTCTATTTATATATCCGCGCTGTGCTTGAAACGAAACATCCGTCCCATCCATTCCTACGAGCAGGACAAATTTGATTTCGTGATTCTCTGGGCCCCCAAAGTCAAGCGTCATCGACTTTTAGTTTTTCCTTCTTTGTTTTTTTTTTTTTTTTTTTTTTCATTTTCGCTCTTCTTTTCTTTTCTTTTTCCCCTTTCTTTACGTTGTAATTGGACTGGGTACGTGTATAGAGAATGTCTTGGATGGATTAAAGCGTCATGGATATCTCACAGCGTATCAGCTAAACTACTGCAGGTACAAGATCGCCGGGAGGCAGCCTTGTTGGATAGAAATGGGCATAGTATCTATTTTTGGTAGCATTGAGGACTCACTGCTACCCTGAGCCGTTTGCGTATTAAACCCCCCAGGACTGCTCTGTTACTGCACGGGTTACGAGTACACAATGAGTTCTATGCAGTATTTGATTTTACATGTCTGATTTATTTGCTTTCATTTTTTTATATGATTTTCTGTAGTAGGGGTTTCTGCATTGAGCCTGATATTCGGCATAGCGGGACCGAGGTCCGAACCTCAGGTGGCAACCCATTCTGGCTTATAGAATGTTCTCAACTGGGCGTCATCTGAGCCACCTTGGTGATATGATTCCAAGCTCGCAAGCATTTATCTGCTTATCCCATCTCTTGCCAAGAACTAAATCTCCCCAAATGTGCAAGAAATCAAACATCACATACTCCTAACATGTAGATCCAGCGCGCAGGCTCTGATACACAGCACTTGTGTTTTAGAAGTAGAGACTGAATTTTCACGCGCCGCCCTCCCGCTTGGCGTACTCCTCCTCAATAGCCTCCTCGTACTTTTCCTCTGGGGAGCGCGGGTCTTCGTGCAGGACGCCGTCCTTGAGGAGGGCGTCGGGGGAGGGGCGGTGGGAGATTTTGTCGTTGAGCTTGTCTTCGAGCATGTGTTTTTGGAGCTGTGAGAATTGAGGGCACCGTTAGCAGACTTTCATAACTACCATCCCTATGCTTACAAACTGAGGGTTTATGGAATTTGCAGGGTTGCGGATGTTTTTTTTGTCTCTTTGCGATAGTCGAAGAGCGTTTTCGAGTGCTGGGAAGCTTACCTCTTTCTGGCTGGCAATGAGGCCGGGTGCGGCTGTGGAATCCGGGAGGATGTTCTCTGCAAAGATCGGTCAGCAATCGTGATTCCGGCAGAGATGCAACAGCGTTGTATTCCATCCTCTACCCATGCAGTCTGCGATGATACAACTTTCCCGCAGCAACATGGAGGGAAAAAGGCCGGAAAACTGGCTGGGGGGGCCTCGTGGAAAAACGTACTCTCTACCAGCTCGGAGCGTTCGGGGCGGTGCTTCAGGTAGTTGGACAGCGAGTTCTTGCGATCAGAGTTGGTCTTGACGGAGGCAATGGTCGTCTCGTCGACGGGGGGAACTTGGGTTTCTGTGGTGTCCGCCATGATGATTATCGTCGTCGAGTGGTGTTGATGACTTGATGGTTCTCTTTTGGTCGAATGATGAAGAGGTGCAGGATGTGAGAGCTGTGGCGAGACCGAGTTGGATCCGAGGTCTTGAAGAGCCCAACGAAGCTCTGGTGAATGACGTCAGGTGCTTTGCCAGATGGGCTCTCGAGTCTATCGTGTGGGGGTGGGGTTTTTGGGTAGCTGAGCCCAAGCTAGCCAAGGGAAAAGGGATGGTAGAAGTTGTCAGATGGAAGAATGAAAGAAATGAGTTATAAGGGAAAGAGAGAGCAGAAGCAGGTTCTTTACTGCGAAGCGGAAAGCGGAAACGAAAAGGAGGGGGATGTAACGCTGGTTTTTAAACACTGAATCCCGTCTCTCAGATGAAGGCATAAAGAGCCCACACCGCAACGACTCGTACGTTTTCGGCACTAGATTGGACTGTAAGGTGACCTGGCGATGGGGTGGGTAATTGGGCATGCGGGAGCGCTATTTTCTCTACCCCGCAACTTGTGCTGTTTCTCTTTGGGTGCTGTTTCTGGTTTGCTCGGCGGCTGGGTGTTGAGGATGAAGGGGAGGGAGGAGGGGGCAGGGATGCGGTTGATTAACGGAGGTGCTGGTGATGGGGTCACACTGAGATGCCAGACGGACGTGGTTTGAAGGTCATGGGCTGGGGGGGCTTCAAGGGGATGGTGGTGTCGCGTGGTGGCGCGAGAAACGAGTCGAGACAATTGGGGAGATTGTTTATGGGATATTCTCTGTAACTCGGGATCGAATTGCAGTTCTACAAGTGAGTTCTGTTTCGTGAAGGCATTGTTTGCGAAAGGAGGCATTGAAGAGGCATGAGATATCAGTACATGAGGCGGCATGAGTTTATGCGTCCCCGTCCCCAATTAAGGGGTCCCGACTCTGTTGCGCCGATGTTTGGTTTCAGTTACGAGACGCCATCTTGTTAGGCGAGGACCAGCAGCGGGTTGTCTCAGAGAGGCTGGCGCCAATTGCAAAGGGCCACGCGAGTGGCTTGCGTGGAAGGGCGACATGGCTTGGGCTGTGGATGTGGATGCTTTCTTGGACGGGGAGGAGATTTTAAGCATGTTTGACGGATGGATGGCAAAAGAGCCTCAACTTGGTATGCTCGTTTACATCTCAGATACCACACAATCTAGGCAAGCGGAAGGTTCGGTGCAAGGCTGCCTGTGAATGAAATCAAGTTCACGATCGAGTCAACAAATCGCGCTTGCACGAAGACACAGGGCATCTGGACAGCCAGCCCTCTCCGAGTTCACCTCCGTTCCCGCGTATCGTCCACCAGCCAGGAGGCGATCGTCAGGACGCACATGCAAGATCTGGTGGCGAGCAAATCAAATGGCGCGGTGCACTTGGCAGCAGTGCAGTGGACGCTCTGGAAAGGGAGCGTCTCCACCGCCAGCGGAGCGTTGACGAAGGCATCGGGCGCCAGCAAACAACTGGATATCCATCTCTCTTTGGCCTGCGACGGGCTCGAGAGGCCCGGCAGTGCCCATCGTGACCATCCAACGGCGCCGGAGCTCGGAATGGCAGAGACCGGGAACAAGAGCCGGAGCAATGAGGAATGATGTGAGCACCCGCAGGCATCCGCTTTTCGGCTACCAAGTGCCCAGGAGGGAGTGAGCATCTTTTTAGTATCTAGGTATGTAAATGGTAGCCTGGAAACGGTGCGTATTCCAGAAGGCAATGAAAACGAATATGCGCGATGATGCGAGGCTACGGAGGCGCCGGAGCGAACGCTGCATGGGCTCGTCGTATCAATGAGAAGCAAGAATAAGCAGCAGTCAGGGAACCTGCTGCACATAAATTACCACGCGGGTACCGAGATTTGAAGCGTCGTGCATTTGCCCAGCAAAACAACTGGAATTGCCCATCCCTGAGGGACTTTGTCTGGTGCGGAACGGACTTGTCAGCGGCGTGGCTGTGCTCATCAGGAATCAAACATCCACACTGTAATCGCAGTAGTGGTTGAATCCACCAGCCACGGAAAAAGGTCGGCCAGCGGCGCCAAACGTCACTCGTCAGGCACCGCATCATTCGGCCGCGAATCTCGACAAGCCACATTCATGGCCGTCGCCTTTCTGGGTCAACCAACGCATTCGCTCAAAACCGCCGATTCTGCCCTCGTCAACGCCCGGCACGGAAGAGGCGTCTGATGCTCGAATAGACCGTCGCTTCATCCTTCTTCTTTTTCTCTCTCTTTTCTCTTCTTCTGTTTTCTTGCCTTCTCCCTTCTCCCTCTCTTTCAAAACCCCCCCTGCTGTGCCGTCTCTCCATCATCCACCATGGTACGCACTCAAACTCCCGCTTTCCCCCCCATCGCAGCCCCTCCACCACCAAAACTCTGCGGCATCGTTCTAACAGGCGCTCCTCTCCAATCTCTAGGGTATTTCAAGGCGTCCCAAGGACAAAGCCGCCCGGAATGCCCAGGCGGCGGGCGGCGGCAGCAGCGAGAAGCCCAAGAAGGCGACATACGAGGTGACTAAGAAAAAGGAGATCGGTGTGTCAGACTTGACCCTGCTCAGCAAGGTCTCCAACGAAGCCATCAACGACAATCTCAAGAAGCGGTTCGAGGGCGCCGAGATCTACACATACATCGGCCATGTGCTGGTCTCGGTCAATCCCTTCCGGGACCTGGGCATCTACACCGACCAGGTCCTCGACAGCTACAAGGGCAAGAACCGGCTGGAAATGCCGCCGCACGTCTTTGCCATTGCCGAGTCCGCATACTACAACATGAAGGCGTACAACGACAACCAGTGCGTCATCATTTCCGGCGAGTCGGGAGCCGGCAAGACCGAGGCCGCCAAGCGCATCATGCAGTACATAGCGAGTGTGTCTGGTGAGCAGTCGGGCGACATCAAGAAGATCAAGGAAATGGTGCTGGCAACCAACCCGCTGCTCGAGTCCTTTGGCAACGCCAAGACGCTGCGAAACAACAACTCGTCGCGCTTCGGCAAATACCTCCAGCTCTACTTCAACTCCACCGGCGAGCCCGTCGGAGCCGACATTACAAACTACCTCCTCGAGAAGACGCGAGTCGTCGGCCAGATCACAAACGAGCGCAACTTCCACATCTTCTACCAGTTCACGAAAGCGGCCCCGAGCCAGTACCGCGAGATGTACGGCATCCAAAAGCCCGAGACCTACCTCTACACCAGCCGCTCCAAGTGTTTCGACGTGGACGGCATAGACGATGTCGCCGAGTTCCAGGACACGCTCAATGCCATGAAGGTCATCGGGCTGAGCCAGTCGGAGCAGGATGAAATCTTCCGCATGTTGGCCGCCATCCTGTGGATCGGCAATATTCGATTCCAGGAAGACCAGAGCGGATACGCCGAGGTGGTGGACAAGTCGGTGGTGGACTTTGTGGCATATCTGCTGCAGTGTACGCCTGAAGAGGTCATCAAGGGCATTACCATCCGTATTCTTACGCCCCGAAATGGAGAGGTCATTGAGTCGCCGGCCAACCCTGCCCAGGCAATGGCAACCCGAGACGCGCTGGCCAAGGCCATTTACAGCAACCTGTTTGATTGGATCGTCGAGCGTATCAACATCTCTCTCAAGTCCAGGCAGGCCACCTCCAACACCATTGGCATTCTGGACATTTACGGATTCGAAATCTTCGAGAACAACAGCTTCGAGCAGCTGTGCATCAACTACGTCAACGAGAAGCTGCAGCAGATCTTCATCCAGCTCACCCTCAAGGCCGAGCAGGAGGAATACGCGCGAGAAAAGATCCAGTGGACGCCGATCAAGTACTTTGACAACAAGGTTGTGTGTGACCTGATTGAGCAGATCCGCCCGCCCGGCATCTTCTCTGCCATGAAGGACGCGACCAAGACGGCTCACGCAGATCCCGCCGCCTGCGACCGAACCTTTATGCAGAGCATCAACGGCATGTCACACGCCCATCTGATTCCCCGACAAGGCAGCTTCATCATCAAGCACTACGCCGGTGATGTCGGCTACACTGTCGACGGCATCACGGATAAGAACAAAGACCAGCTGTTGAAGGGATTGTTGAACCTGTTCCAGAGCAGCGGAAACGCATTCATCCACACGCTGTTCCCCAACGAAGTCGATCAGGACAACCGCAAGCAGCCGCCGTCTGCGGGAGATCGTATTCGCACATCTGCAAACCTCTTGGTTGATACGCTCATGAAGTGCCAGCCATCGTACATTCGAACGATCAAGCCCAACGAAAACAAGTCGCCAACCGAGTACAACTCGCCCAATGTCTTGCATCAGATCAAGTACCTCGGTCTGCAGGAGAACGTTCGTATCCGAAGAGCTGGTTTTGCGTACCGACAAGCCTTTGATAAGTTTGTCGATCGCTTCTTCTTGCTGTCGCCCGCCACTTCATACGCCGGTGAATACACGTGGCAAGGCTCATACGAGGATGCCGTCAAGCAGATTCTCAAGGACACGAGCATTCCCAAGGAAGAGTGGCAGATGGGTGTGACAAAGGCCTTCATCAAGTCGCCGGAGACGCTGTTTGCCCTGGAACACATGAGAGACCGATACTGGCACAACATGGCCACTCGTATCCAGCGCATGTGGCGAGCCTACCTTGCCTACCGAGCCGAGTCCGCCACGAGAATCCAGCGTTTCTGGCGAAAGAAGCGTACCGGTGCAGAGTATCTGCAGCTGCGTGATCAGGGTCACAAGGTTCTCCAGGGGCGAAAAGAGAGACGGCGCATGAGTCTTCTCGGCTCGCGAAGGTTCTTGGGAGATTATCTCGGTATCAACGCCATGAACGGACCGGGTGCTCCTCTGCGGCAGGCAGCCAACCTTGGCTCAAATGAGCGCGGCATCTTCTCCTGCCGTGGCGAGATTCTCGAAGCCAAGTTTGGTCGTTCCAGCAAGCCGAGCCCTCGCATCATCATCGTGACCAACTCCAAATTCTACATCATCGCCCAGCTGCTCATCAACGGCCAGCCACAGATCCAGGTGGAAAAGGCCATCCCTCTGGGTTCCATCAAGTTCATTGGTGCTTCCACAGCCCAAGATGACTGGTTCTCATTGGGAATCGGATCTCCTCAGGAAGCCGACCCGCTCATGAACTGCGTTTTCAAGACGGAAATGTTTACGCAGATGCAGCGTGCCATGCCGGGAGGTTTCAATTTAAAGATTGGCGAGACCATTGAATACGCAAAGAAGCCGGGCAAGCTGCAGCAGGTCAAGGTCCTCAAGGACTCCCAGCAGCGAGCTGACTACTACAAGAGTGGTGCGATCCACACGCAGCAGGGAGAGCCTCCCAATTCGGTGTCAAGGCCGATGCCCAAGGCCAAGCCCGTGCCGCCGCGACCCATCACCAGAGGCAAGCTCATCAAGCCCGGTGGTCCGGGAGGCAGGCCGTCTAGGATCACCGCTACCCGCAACACTCAGCCGAGACCAACGGGTACCGGTACCAGGAGCGTTCCTCCGCCGCCCGCTGCTCTTGGTAGCATAGTCTCGGCATCATCATCAGCTTCATCTAACGCGGGTCCCTCGGCAAGCACAAGCACGTTGAGCTCGTCGACGCACCAGATCCCCGTCGTCGGAAATGCCCACAAGCCGGTCAACAGCCACGCCAGAAACCCGTCAGGCAGCGCTCGAGCGCCGCCCCCTCCGCCCGCCCCTCCTGCCCCTCCTGCTGCTAAGCCCAAGATCATGGCCAAGGTGTTATATGATTTCGCCGGCCAGAAGGAGAACGAACTGACCATCAAGGCGGGAGATATTCTTGAGATTATCCAAAAGGAGAACAATGGTACGTATCGTCCATCGCCGGATCAGCGCTGCTGTCAACTAACAGTATCACAGGCTGGTGGCTAGCCAAGAATGCTCAAGGACAGGCTTGGGTACCCGCAGCGTATGTAGAAGAGCAGGCGGCGCCCGCTCCTCGAGCACCTCCAGCGCCGCCCTCGGCCAAGGCGAAGCCCGTGCCGCCGACAAAGCGGCCCGTGGCAGGTGGACGCAAGCCCGCCGACCTGGCACAGAGGGACTCTGGCATGAGCCTCAACGGCACGGGCGGCGATAGCCGTAGTAGCACGCCGACGCCCAGCCTGGGAGGCAGCTTGGCAGATGCTCTCCTGGCACGCAAGAACGCCATGAACCAAAAGAGGGACGACGAGACCGACGACTGGTAAACGCCCACGAATGTCGATGCTGCCCTACGATGGTTGCTTGTCATGAAGGCATTTTATACAGTTTTCTTTATCCTTCTCGCCTCCCCTATTCCATTTTGCTCACTGAAATCAACTTTGTGTCCCATTGACAGGAGAAGAACCACCTCATCTTGTTCTCATGTCCTGGGCAGAATTTGTTGTATAGTACACAGAACGTGTGCGAGAGTCTGGGCAACCATTGTGTGTGCGTTTTTTCTTTTCTTGGCACGGTCGTTTCCTTTCTTGACGTACCTTACTATAGACCTCGGAAAGCGTGTGGTTGGTACTCATTAGGTCTGAGAAAAGGGGAGAAAGGAAGAGAGGAGTGGTGGAGGGAGGCACCGGACCTTGTGAATGAGCCATGGGGGGCCCCTGGGAAATGCCTCTTATATATCTTTTATATATATCTTTCAAATTTGCTGTTTTAGAAAAAATAAAGTTTCTTCATAGTATACTAGTACAGTGCCCATCTATTTATCGTATACGCCATTTACCAATGTGCTTGTTCATACGCCCTTTGTCTCTCCAACAGGAATGCTAAAGCTGGATTGTTACCTATTCATCAACATATAGGCCATTCCCCTTCCTCCGCCGCAAAAGTTCCGCAAGGGGAACGTCCTCATCCTGCTCTTCCGCATCCTCGTCAACGCCATAATCCCCCAGACTATCGCCATCCGCATGGGTCCACCCAAATAGCGAGCCCTCGTCATCATCACTCCTGCGCTGCTGATACACATCATCATCCACCTCTTCCAGCTCCGCCATCAGGTTCCTGTTTCTGCGCCGGAAATCCTCTTCCTGGCGCCTCCTGAATGCCTCGACCTGCTCCTCGGCGCTCAGCCCGTAGTCTTGGAGCTCCGCCTCGTAGTTGCGCCGCGAAACGCCCAGTTCTCGTTTCGAGAGACGGAGCTTTTCGGGGTTGATGGGCGGCCACATGCCCTCCTTGCGGTTGAAGCCGTTCTCCTCCCACGTCCACCCGGGGCCGGGCGCAGTCTTGCTCAGCCGCGGGTTTCCCGCAAGCGGGAAGAACCACAGGAGCACGTTGGACGTGCCCATGGCCTGCGCCATGTTGGCGAAGAAGCCCACGTCGTAGGGGAACTCGACGTGCTCGAACTTGAGCTTCTCGCCGTCCGGCCCCGTCAGGTCCCACCAGTCGCGCGCGCCGCTGCGGAAGTGCGCCTCGTGGCGGTCGTACTCGAGCTCCTCGATGGAGGTGCGGTTGAGCACCCAGCCCTTGAGCGTGCCGAAGAGCATCAGGCCCAGCAGGAGGCTCGTGACGGACCAGGTGAGCGCCGTGGCGGAGAGGCCGACGAGGCCGAAGAGCGAGGGGCCGAGGTGGGAGGGCATGTGGCGCGTCTCCCAGAGGGCGAGGAAGCGCTGCCAGAGGAGGTAGCCGAGCGTCCAGAGCGAGACGTTGGCGTAGGCGAGGAAGCGCAGGAAGTGCGGGAACGTGGTCATGGAGACGCAGTTGCTCGTCCAGGGGCAGTGGTGGTCCATCTTGGGGATGCAGCGCCTGCAGTGCCGGCAGTGGTGCGCCCGCGGGGGCTTGGGCGCCTGGCACTTCTTGCACCAGCGGCCGCTGCCGCCGTCGTCGTCGGCGGTCACCTCGAGGACCCGGTCCTCGAAGACGTACCGGCCCGGGTCGACGGTGACGGCGCGGAAGTAGCTGATCCAGAGGCAGAGCAGCAGCCCGTTGAAGACGAGGGTCTCGGCGCGGGAGGGCGGGCCGGGGAGGAGGTCCGGGTCGTGGAAGAAGATGTACTGGCTGAAGTAGCTGAGGAAGGCGATCAGGGCGCAGACGGCGGGCACGGCGAGGGCCTCGATGAAGGGCGCATCGCTGAGGCCTGCCATTGCGGGGAGGGCGAGGGCGAGGGCGAGGCTGGCGGGGATGCTCTCGATGTGCGAGGATGGAGCATGGCTTGGAGTTGTGTTTTGTTCGAGAGAGTTCACATGCTGTCAGTTGCTGACTACTCCAGAGTGCGTGAGGCAACGACCTCGTATTGATACTTGCAGTCGGAGTTCTCTTTGGCGGAGAAGCGCGGAAATGGTCCCATCCATCTTATGTAAGCGCCGCGTCCGCACGGCAGGTGTGGCCCCCTGAAACGGCCCAAAGAGGTGAGATTTGAGGCGATGAGGGAATGAAAACTCCGGTCAAGAGAAGAAACACACGAACACGCAAGACAATAGCTGGTCTCGTCATTGCTGCTCAGTAACAATTGGCTGCAGCAGAATGAGAGCTTCCGTCTACTGGACTGCTCGCGGCTAAGAGGTGCTTTTGCACAGACAGCGCACAAGAGTGCCTGAAAGTTGCCGCCTTTGGAATTCTTGAGCCATGGCTCGAGTCCCGGCTGTGCATGTGTCTGCTCTTTGGTATGGTATAGACGCTCTCTCCGCTCTGTTGTTTTTGACTGTTGTGGGATTGGGATTGAGTTGTTGCTGACGAGTCTTACAGCAGTGTCTTGTCGTTTGTCTACATCTCTCACTCGTTGGAGCGCCACTCGTTAACCGGCATGTGCATTTCCCGCGTCCACCAACACTCACCACATCAGCTAACATCAAGCCTCTTTCCCCTGCGCCTCCAGAACGCCCTCGGCTGTCATCCCTATTAGTACTGCTTTTGTCAGGCCTCATCTGCTATGGCATCAGCGCTGCAGCCAAATTCATCCCCGGAGCGGACGGCCGCTTTGTGTCCGCCGAGGAGTCGATACTGGGCGTCGCCTCCGATGACGCGCTGCTCAAGGGGTCAAACGCCCATCTTCCCAAGCGGCCCCGGAGATGGTCCGTCCCGGCCTTGGTGTTTCTCATCGTTCTTCGCTTGGAAGTGTTTCATCTGGTGAATAAGCAGCAGCAATGTGCTACTCCTGGACTCGAGGTAGGATGACGTCACTGAAGCAAGGAGAAGATGAGGATGAAGACGAAGATGAAGGGAGATGTGGATGTTGATGATGAGGAAGCAATGAGACGAAAGGGTAGAAACGCTAACAGATACTCTCTGCGGCAGTCCTTCCTATGCATATTCCTCATTGCATACGAGATATTCCAAACGCGCCGCAGATGGGGCTTCCCCGTCTCCGAAGACGACGACGACCCCTGGCGCAGCATCTTCGACGACATCTGGGACTGGTTCAGCGGCCCCCGCGTCGTCATGTTTAACACAGTCGTCAGCGCCTTTGTCTTCTCCCTGGGGACGTACCTGTCCCTCTCCAACATTCGGAGGTCGACTTACTTCTGCTTCCACCTCATCGACAGCCGGTTCAAGACCGTCTCTCTGCAGCTGTTTGGCCTCGTGCTCGATGCTGCCATCATCATCTTGCTGTGGCGGCTGCTGGCTTGGGCGAGGACTATCAAGCTGCGTCTGCGCATCCTTAGCACGGTGCTGCTGCTGTCGTCCGCCTCGGTGGGACTTGTATGGGTTGTCAACACCATCTTCAGGGGCACCCGTGGAGTGAGGGTCTCCGTTGGCTCCCTATATGGATTTGACGCCCTGGTGGACAGCTTTGCTTTCGCCTCCCTGCTCATCTCGTCAATGTTTTGGGTATGCGAGACGTCAACGATCTCGCCCGTCGGCACCCTGACGTTTCTGGTAGGCATTTGGAGCGCTTGCGATAAGATCTTCCACTACGGTGACTGGCTACACTTATCACGACTTGCTGCGCTAGGGCCGCTGTGGATGATTGTTGCCGGCACCATCGTCTTCCTCTACCTCCACGACCTCCATTCCGTCCTGTTCATCAAGCGGATCCTGTTCGTGTTCCTTCTCTTGTCTCTCCTCTTGGCTACGACCATCTTCATTTTCGTCAAGAAGCCCCAAACCTTCCGCAACGGCATCCATCCTGCCAATGACCTCGTCTACACAGCCCATGTCGAACACGACCGCTGGAAGGCACTAGTCAGCGTCAGTACGACGCTCTCGACGGCTGTCACCGTCTACCAGGAGCGACACAACGGGCGGCTGCCGCCCCCCAACTTCGACGCATGGTACAACTACGCCGCGGATGACTCGGTAATGATTGACGAATTCCAGCAAATCGACCGAGACGTGGGCCCCTTTTGGAACGTCGCTCCCTCTGTGCTCCGCAAGAGGGCGGCTGAGATGGCGGCGATGCCGGACGTGGCCACCATCACCGTCAAGGATGGCAAGGTCTCCCGCAAGGACACGGGGCGCGCGGACGACAACACGGACCTGGACGAGCTGGTCGGCATGATCGCCAAGTTCTCGCAGTACCTCCCCGACATGGTCCTGCCCATCAACCTCATCCCGGCGCCCCGCGTGTTACCGTCGTGGGAGGAGGCGAACACCAAGAACAGGGCTGCCCAGCTCAGCTCCGTGGCTGATTTATTGACTCGGCGCTCAACGGACGGGGCGGGCGACGGGAACGGCAGCACCATTGCGCCAGCAGAGCACGAGAAGGAAACGATCGCCGAGCCCAGCGCCCTTCCTCCTCCTGCCGCTGCCCCTATTTCTCCTCCTGGCCTTTCAACGCCAGGAATATCGGCTAGTGATTTTCGTCGGATGCTGGTCGACGCCTGCTCCCCCCTGTCGCGGAGTAGGACGAGGCCTCACTGGAACTTTATGGAATTTTGTTGGTCGTGCGCCAAGGATCACACGTACGGCCAATTCCTGGCAAAGTGGCAGCAGTCGCTGGACACCTGCGCTCAGCCCGACCTGCGGCTGCTGCACGGCTTCTCGCTCACGGACCCGCCGCGGGCGCCGCTCCGGCACCTGGCCCCCCTGTTCGGGGCTTCCAAGACGGACGAGTTCGGCGACATTGTGATACCGCTGCCCAGGACGAGGCTGGAGCAGCCCGACATCAAGTGGCAGTTTACACGAAGATACGATAGTCTGGTCTGGAGAGGGGTCGTGGGGGAACACGCGCCCAATGCCAGGCCCTGCGCGGGAGCCACAAGTACCGCCTGCTGCACCTCGCCAGCGCGCCGTACGCCCGCGACGACGTCGTCATGGTCCTCCCCACGCCCGGCGACGGCGACATCTTCAGCTACGAGAGGGTCCCGGCCGCCGAGGCCAACGCCCTGGTGCCCTTTAGCGTGGGCGTGACCAACTCGACGCCGTGCGCCGCCCACGACGGCTGCGCGCTCGTCCAAAAGGCCTACGGCCTCCGCGACGAGGCCGTCGAGCCCCTCGAGTACCGCTACGTGCTCCTCATGGACGACGACGACGGCCCGCCGCAGCAGCAGCTGCTCCGCACCCTGCGCTCCAACAGCGTGCCGCTGGTGTCGACCATCTTCCGCACGTGGTACACCGAGCGGCTCATGCCGTGGCTGCACTTTGTCCCCGTCGACCCGAGGTTCCAGGCGCTGCACACGACGTTTGCCTACTTCTCGGGCACGGTGGACCGGCCCAAGGTCAATGGCAGAGACACGGCGATGCAGGGCAGGACGGCGGACGCCGAGTGGATCGTCCAGCAGGGCCAGCGATGGGTGGCCAAGGCGCTCCGCGAGAAGGACATGGAGATCTATCTGTTCCGGCTCCTGCTTGAATGGGGGCGCCTCATTGACGACGAGAGGGAAGGCCTGGGATTCCGCAAAGACGACAAGGGGGCGTTCCAGAACGACGCGTGGACCCGGCATCAACAAGGCGGGGAGAGATAGTAGAGAGAAGGCGAGACGAAGAGGAACATCTACAAAGTATCTCACTTACCTTAGTAAAGGACTGACAAAACTTGGCATAGTAGTCTATGATTTTCCTTTCTTTTTTTTTTCCTTTCCCCTGGATGCCGGGACGGATGGGTTATTGGATTGCAAAAGGCCAGCGTTAGATTAGGTCGGAATGCATCTGCCACATACAGGTACAGTTGCACAGCAGCAAGCAGCGCTTTTTCTTTTGTTCTGTGGCATGAAGAGCAAAGTGATACCCAGCGTGGATCCTCACCACATGGACGGAGCACGCCGATCCAGTTGGGCTTAAATTCAAGTCGTTACTCCGTACGTCTCCAGACGACAGTGCGTGATTATTGGCCTGCGTCAAGCAGCGACTCTTCTCCCCTGAGCCATAAAGTACATATATGAGCCGCATGACGAGAGAGAGGGAGGAATTTTCTGACTACTGCTGGCACATGCATGTCTACCTCGGTGCCTCTCCATATGCCCAGGCATGACGAGCGGGTTCTTTGCTCTCCCCCCCTCTCTGAGTATTTCAAATGGTACATTCTTGTTGTAGCAGATGGAAGAGTGGCTCGGGTTGCCACGTGCATGCAGAAGCGGTTGGATGGCAGAGGCATATGGATGAGGAATTGCCGCCCCTTTCATGCAGAGAAGCGTTTTGGGAAATGGGCTGTGACAGGGATGGGCGCTTGCGAGAGTGGCATGTGGTGGCATGCTGTTATCATGGCCGCTGTCTCTTTGGTGCAAGTTTGAGTTCCAAGGAGGCTGGTGGTGGTTATACTGCAGCTCGCACCATCTTCCTAGCAAACAATGGACGGCCCTTTCATCGTCCATGCAAGGCGGCTGCAACCTGGGTGACGCTAGGCGAACCCAACAGCCTCTGCGGCAGGCCGAGCGAGATACTTGTTTTGTTGCCATTGAGTTGTGACCCCGGATGCGTTTCCTGCGTAGTCTGCCAACTGAGCACGGTTGAGCATCGAAGTGACCAAGCCCAGTGTTGGTGATGCGACGCGCTTCTTCTACTGCAAACATGAGCATCTGCGATATTGATATGTGACGTTGTGATACCCTCTGGACTATTATTATCGCACCGGGAGCACATGCACATGGGAGGGCATCGTCGAGATTTCAATGGAAGCACAAGAAGATGCGGTGGGAGTTTCGCAGGGCGCTCGGTCTGTCAAAGGATTGGCTCGATGCGAAGCAGTTTGGGGGGGGGGGTTGCCGCCGAGGCGGATTGGACCAAGGCCAAGGGGAAGGATAGTGGCGCGAGTCTTTGAACTGACAGCGCCTTTAGGGGCGAGCCGGGCCGCCGGTCAAGTCTCGGACGTACCATCGACGGCAGAAGAGAGGCGCGTTGACGATGCCTTGGCGTCATCAGTACCCAAGACACTGGGGGAGCCGCAGCATCGTCCGATATGCACGGCGGTTTGAGCAGGCACACTTTGCGGTTGGAGGTGCTCGGTAGGCTTGAAGCTGAGACTGTATGCATAGAGTGGCGCCAGTAGCTCGCGGAAGGGTTGTTTGCCATTCAAATCAACAGACAATAACAGCCTTCGAGATGCTCGAGACTTGAGGCCCAATATGGCGACGACTGCCAGGTATATCATAGGTGAAGACATTAATATGGAGAACCGGAGCAGTAATCTGGCAACGTTACTCGCTGGGGCTCAACCAGTGGAGTAGAAGAGCCCGACCGAAGCTGATGCGCAGCCTGAACGCTTCAGGGCTGCATATCCCAAGGAGGGAGAGCTGAGGGAGCCGACATTGTGCTGAATTGGAACCGACATGATGCTGCAGGCGGACGGAGGTCAAGGAAGAGGCGGGAGCACTCCTGCAACATGAAGGGACAACCTTGCCAGGGTACCAAGTATGGCCACCTCAGGTGGGAGTTCCAGCTGCAGTAACTCCGTGCTTTCACGTTGTCTTTTGCCAGATACTGTCCTTGTAGCCCCGTCTTGTGCTGACTTGGCTCGACGCTGGCGAGCTGGCCACGGGAAAAGGAATGAGATATGGAGTAGTCGGCCGGTAGGCGGTTTCATAGCCGTGCAAGTGCGTCCGTACAGGGTTTCAGCCGAGCATCCTGTTAGGATCGGAGCCATTGCCAGCGGCATTTAGTCACGGCGTGGGCGTTGATAAGGACAACAACCAGATCAGCCGGGCATTGGCTGTGAGACAATGCATGGGCATCCAGGGAGACGGGAGGCGCTTCACGCGCAGTAGCACGCTGTGTGATGTGCTTGACCTCTTTCAGCCGCCCCATTCTTGGTGTGATTGAGCTCTTTTCTTTGTGCTTTCCTTTTATCCTCTCCTCCTCACAGCATCCTCTTCCCTCACCGGTTGCCCCCCGGTCAGCAGGCTTCTTGTCTCATGTATTAGTTAGCAACCCGAGCTGGCCAGTTGCCAGAAGTGGACGATGCTGCAGCGTCTTTGTTTCTTTCCGTGGGATGCCGGTCTGAGGGCTCGTGATACCAGTAAGCACAAGTAGCACAAGTAGCACTTTGAAGCAACGATGTGAAGCTGCCAGAGAGTGACCAGGTGGGAGAGTCCTTGTACTCTTGCGTCTGATACAAGCAGTCGTTGTAATGGCATGTAAAATGTCGGCATTCCGTGCTCCGTGCCCCATAAGATCCCTAACAGGGTCGAGACGAAAGCGTTAGTCTCCGCAGTGAACTATCGGCCAAGGAAGCGGTTCCGCGGTGGGTTGAAGGAGCCCCTGCTGGAGGCCTGGAGCCGTTTTGGAGAAGGCAAACTCTCGCTCTGCGCTTGTGCTCATGATCGGGATCGGGTCAAGGTGAGGCGAGAGAAGCAACTCCCTCTCCGTGACGTCTTCACGTTGTCCAGTGTGGCAGATTGGGGGAAATTACAGCAATGGGAAGGAGCTGATTGAGATGCCAGAAGAGCAGTTGCCACTAATACTAGACCACACGTACCGCCTGTCAGTTGTGGCAGGCGGCATCCAATCCCACGGCTACTAACTGGAAGGTACAGGCGATAAAATACGCGGCCGGTACATGTACGGAACGATTGCGCTGGCCTGTGCGGCCGTGGCTCTCAGTGGCCGGCACTCCGCCATGGTCCCCCAAGTCCCCTCCCGAGTGCCCCCAAGTCCCTTCAAAGGCCCCCAAGGCCCCATCGGCCTGCACCCAATGGCCTGCTGCTCAGGGCACTCTTACCCACTGTTCGTGGCCCCTTGTACCTGGGAGGTACCGGCCGCTCGTTAGCCCTCGTTAGCCCTCCCCTCCTTCCCCCAGATTCTCGCTTGCGTCCAAGCGCTGCTGCCATCCGATCCATCGACAAATTTTTTCTTGTCTTCGGTGTGATCAGATGCAGCTCCAGCCGCTGGGCGCCTGATCTGCAGGGCCCTTTTCCGCTCGACTCTTGCTGTGACACTTGATGCCGGTTCTTTGCTTTTTGCGATCCCTTCATTTCGCTCGTTTTGCTCCGTGCAGCCGGCATGCAAAGCAGGCAATTCGTATCTATGTATTACTTGCCATGGTCAGGGACTCCTTTTTCTTGTTGTCTCTTCCCTCTCGTTGATAGAGGTACTATCTATACATTACACACCTCCTGTGCCCCCCTTGTCCCTGTCCGTCTCCGTGCCCTCTTGTTCTCCCTTTTTTTCCTTTTCTCTTCCCGCTGCTACACCTATTTACCCACCTGTATCTGTGCCTGTCGCCGGCTTCATCTGATTCGCACGTACTACGCCTCGTCTGCATCTGTCTGTCTGTCCGTCTGTCTGTCTAATATCTGTCCACCCGTCATGACACCCGGCCAAAAGCCCTCCTGGCTGTCCCTTTAATACCTCCATCTGCTATTACCAACTTCCTCTTTGGTGACACTGGTTCGTGGCGTGCTAAAAGCCTCATCGCTCCTCTAGCCTCTAGCCTCCGCTGCCCTTTGGGCCTTAGCCCTACCTGGGTAGGTTCAACCTGGCCCTGCGCATCAGAGACTCCGTACCTAATAAGCGAGCGTATTCGCGATGCCGCTTCTTGACGCTCCGCGTCTGTGCCCTGCCCGGCTCCGCCCTGGATGGCTTCTCGTCCGCTTCGCACAAGTGCAAGCACACTACAGCACAGTACATGCGGGACACGCCATGTTTGCACATACTACATACAGACAGCTCTTCCCGGCCTGTGCCATGATCCCTCCCGCCTTCTGACGACGTTCAACTTGGCTCGCCTGGTGGTGTGGTGGGCTGCGGCTTGGATGGTCTGAGCCTTGACCTTGCTCTCAAACAGGCTTGGTCCTCCGTGCCCGCCACCTGGGATCCTCGAGCTAGATCCCGAGCAAACCCGCTTGTTCACTCGAGCGTTCTGGTCGGCATGGCGCTGGGGCTCTGTGACGGCCCTCCTGGCCAGCTAGCAGGGGTCTGTGGTTAAATGCTTCCGGCAGGCCATTTGTCGCCGTTATTATCATTAGCCTCTGTGCGTGGGCTTGTCGTGCTCCGTAGATTCGAACTTGTGCTGCGAGTCCAAGTACAACCACGGCGTCCTCGACTTGTACCCCTTGGGGGCATCGCGGGCTGCATGCTTGGGCGTGGGATCGCCTGAGGTACACTTACGAGTACTCATACACACCACGGCTGGATGGTTGCCACCCTTGTCCACCTTGGGTCTGCCTGTAGTATCGTGTCCCAGACCGAAGCTCTTTCCATCTAACCTCGGCCCTGTTCCAGCTTCACAACTGCCCAGCGGACTCAGGCTGGCCTTGGCGTCCCGTCCCATCTCCATGTCCAGCCGGCCTGTGGTGGCGCCTCTCGCGACATAAATTGCACTCGGCTGCTTTTGCGCGGAGCTCAGGCCGCGTTTTGGGCCGCTGCCGCTGCCGCTGCTTGAGCAGACAGGCATCTGCTCGGTCGTCTCTCCGGCTTCCTCTTCCCTGCCAGTGCCAGTCGTTGGCCGCATCTATAGTATCTCCTAGACGAGACCCCGCGTTCCCGTTGCGCCTCTTTTTTCTCCCTCCCGACATTTTTTTCGCCCGACAATTTTTTTTTTAATCCCCTTGAATTGATTTTTTTGGCGGGGTTGAGTGGTCTTTTTTACGCGCCTCGCCACTACATACACACGCTCACTCACCTGCGCATTGCCTTGCCTTACAGCATTCCCTACCTAGCCTTACCTTGCCAGACGTACAGTACAGACAGAGTACGAGTACGCGCAAAGAGACGACGGCAGAGCGGAAGCGGACCGGGCCAAGGAAATAAAGGGAGCGATTCTGCGGTCGCCTGTTGTCCATCAGGTATCCCTACCTGACTTTGCCTGCTTGCTGCTGTTACTACTGCTGCTTCAAGTGGTATTGCTACCATCGTCCACCTGAACCCGTGGCCTCCCCTTCCCGCCATCACCCTGTCCGCATCACATCACCATAAGCAACACGTCGCTTTGCCTGGACGCTTGAGCAGTGGGTAATATACAAGCTCTCTGCCCTTCCCCCCCCCTTCCGCCAGTCGTGTCGAGTCTGCGTTTTTTTCCGCGCTAGTGCCACTCCGCTCCACTCCTTTTCCACTCTACTCCCGCTCTACCACTCTCAGACTCGGTCGTCCTGCCGGTGCTCCGCCCCCAAATACCCGGCGGAGGGCGGCCCGTCTACGGTCGTCGCTAAGCGCGCCGGCGTCTCGCTCGACCCTGCCTGTCGCTTACTCAGCCTGCGACGTCCTACGTCCGCTGAAAACCCGTGACCTGCAAACTTCACCGCGCCTCGACCACGCCGAACGTCCGCTAATCAGAGCGTCTCAAG